GGCTTTTAAATTCTGGGGAATTTTTACCCCCAATCGCCCTTCTTAAGTATTCTTACATTCATACAGTTTTATTACAATTTATCAATTAAGTTTTACTATGTTGTATCAGAATGTGCAGTTAAAATTTTGAAGTTAGGCTAGACTTCTCCTTGTACGAGTCAAGGGCTTCTCATGAGTCTTTCAGAGTCAAGCACTTCTCTACAAGTTAGAGTCAAGCTCTAGTCTGACCTTGTTCTATATCGCCTGCTTGTTGGTCTGGAGTCAAATCACTTCTTTAAGCAAGAGCTCAATCTTCTGAGTCAAGTGATTTCTCACAGATTCCATGTCAAGCTGAATATTACCATTATCATAGCTTCTCTGATTTTTCGAGTCACGTTGCTTCTCCAGGGTCTACCGAGTCAAGCTTACTTCTCATAAAGTCAGAGTCAAGCTGATTTAGCATGTTACTGCACAGTGCTTCTCTGTTTTTTCTCAGAGTCAAGCCTATTGTTATTTTGGTTAATGAGTGAGTAGCCCCATGTACGCCAAAGAAATAAGGTTTATATTTCGTTTGTGGTTTATAGTCTTCGGACTATCGTTAATAAACATTTTAACTGTTTCCTTGATTCTTTTAGTTATGTATAAACAGTGTATAATGTTGGAGGTGGATGATCACACAGTGTATAATGATGGAGATGGATGATCACACTGTATAATGTTGGAGATGGATGATCACACAGTGTAAAATGAAGGAGATGGATGATCACACAGTGTATAATGTTGGAGATGGATGATCACACAGTGTATAATGTTGGAGATGGATGATCACACAGTGTATAATGTTGGAGATGGATGATCACACAGTGTATAATGTTGGAGATGGATGATCACACAGTGTATAATGTTGGAGATGGATGATCACACAGTGTATAATGTTGGAGATGGATGATCACACAGTGTATAATGTTGGAGATGGATGATCACACAGTGTATAATGTTGGAGATGGATGATCACACAGTGTATAATGTTGGAGATGGATGATCACACAGTGTATAATGTTGGAGATGGATGATCACACAGTGTATAATGTTGGAGATGGATGATCACACAGTGTATAACGTTGGAGATGGATGATCACACAGTGTATAATGTTGGAGGCGGATGGTCACACTAATTGTATTATTATTTTATATCAATCATTCTTGTTGGCTCAAGTAGTAGTGTGCAGTGTTATTGAGCAGGTGATTCCATTTTTTTTCACACCCAAATTGAATTCCAGATGTCTTGGTGCAAGAAGATTGTGCTACCCACTGCATCCACCCAGTATCTGTGTTACAACTATAGTTCTAATACTTTCAATTCAAATGTATGTTATTTATAGAAGTGTAAACAATACTTACAGTCGACATAGTTTGGATGTTCTCGTAGAATGTTTTTGTATAGCCTCTCGGCCTCGTCATACTCATGAGTGGCTTCATATAGCCTTGCGAGGTTATAGGTCGTTGTCACAGAGATGGCACTGTAATAGGTCTCGTCATGCTGGGCGTCACTCTTTGATCGTTCCAAGGAGGCTTCATAACATTTCTGTAAATCATTTAAGCCAGTAGACTTTTTACATTTGTATAATTTCATAAATCAAAAAGACCAGAATGTTTGTAACATTTGTATAATTGTGCTTAGAGCCTGTAACAAGTACAGTGATTGGCTCATACACACACCCCTGACCAGCAAAAGTTAGTTTAGTTTTGTATGTATCTTGAATAATTCATAGAATGAAACTTAAATATTCAAGTATGAATAGCAACAATTTACTTTCAGACTGAATATGAATAGGTTTTATTTTCCTACAGCTGCTCGTGTAGTGTGGAGGTTAATTAAACCGATATGTGGGCAAAACCCTGTCCTCATGTGACCCTTGTTGTTGAGGACATTTAACCTCAAAGACAAAAGAAACCAATCTGGGCAAAATGCAGCTTCAAACTTAGTTTAAATCATACAAGAAACATGTTATGATTGCAACATTTATATATAACACTGTGGCCATTCAAAGAAGATAAAATAGGTTATATCTGCATGTGACTGTGTAGAGGAAGCTTTACAGTACAAACCTTGGCCTCCTGCAGGTTACCCAGTCTGAAATGAAGGGCGGCCACGTTGTTAAGTATTTCTGGTGGTACATCAGCCTCCACTTTCTCTTTAAGGATCCTTGTAGCAGTACCATAAGCAGACAGAGCTCCCTATTACACAATCAAATTTGACTTCCATAAATTGGTCCTTCCATAAGGCAAGTATTTATTTTCATTTCTCTAAAATACCAATTATTCATGTGATCTTTTAGTAACTAGAACAGTTAGCTGCAGGGTACAAACTGATACTGCCTTCAACTCTTTAACAAAAGGCCCATAGGGCCTGTATCACTCACCTGGATATCTAAGCAATCATGGCAAAATATTCTCCAAACAAGATCCAAGGGTTTATGCCAGACCCCAAGGCCAATCCTTGTAGCATATCTGTATTCGATTTTTCATGCCCAGCAATTTTATGTATGGTTATGGGGTGGGGATCTCAACTGTTTCCAAGCTGTGACTCAGAAACTAGGTCCCTAGGGTTTGTGGCCAGACCCCAGGATCAATTCTAATATCATGACTGCATTTGTCCCTTTTTCCCAGCAATTGTATACATAGTTTTTGGGTGGGGATCTCAACTGTTTCAAAGTTATGACCCAGGGGTTAAGTCTGCAAGGGTGGGGCAGACCCTGGGGTGAATTCTGATATCATGACTGCATTCGTCTCTTTATGCCCAACAATTGTATATATCATTTTGGTTGGGGATCTTAACCATTTCAAAGTTATGACCCAGGGGTTAAGTCTCCAAGGGTGGGGCAGTCCCCAAGGCCATCCTGGAAGCATATGTGCATTCATCTCTTTATACACAGTAATTGTATATATGGTTATAGGGTGGGGATCTCAACTGTTTCCAAGCTGTGACTAAAAAACTAGGTCCCTAGGGGTTCGGTCAGACCCCAGGGTCTATTCTAATATCATGACTGCATTTGTCTCTTTATGCCCAACAATTGTATATATCATTTTGGTTGGGGATCTTAACCATTTCAAAGTTATGACCCAGGGGTTAAGTCTCCAAGGGTGGGGCAGTCCCCAAGGCCATCCTGGAAGCATATGTGCATTCATCTCTTTATACACAGTAATTGTATATATGGTTATAGGGTGGGGATCTCAACTGTTTCCAAGCTGTGACTAAAAAACTAGGTCCCTAGGGGTTCGGTCAGACCCCAGTGTCTATTCTAATATCATGACTGCATTTGTCTCTTTATGCCCAGCATTTGTAAATATAGTTTTTGGGTGGGGATCTCAACCGATTTAAAGTTATGGCCCAGGGACTATGTCTCCAAGGGTGGGGCCAGACCCTAGAGCCATTCTGGAAGCAAATGTGCATTCTTTTCTTTATAATCACTAATTGTATATATGGTTACATGGTGGGGATCTCAACCATTTCCAAGTAATAAAATTTTTGGCCCCCATCCCTTAGCCCAGGGGGTCAGCCCCACCATTTGTACAATTTTGAATCCCTGCCTCCCATGAATGCTTCCGACCAAATATGATCGATATCCATGGCATAGTTCTACAGAAGAAGTCATTTATAGCAATATAGCCAAATTGCCCCCTTTTGGCCCTGCCCTCAGCCCCACCATTTGTACAATTTTGTATCCCCACCAACTAGGGATGATTCCAGTCAAATATGGTTGATATCCATCTCTTAGTTCCAGAGAAGAAGTCGCTTAAAGCAATATAGCCAAATAACCCTTTTTGGCCCCGCCCCTCAGCCTCCTGGGGGGTCAGCCACACCATTTGTACAATTTTGAATTCCTACCTCCCATGAATGTTTTTGATTTAATATGATTGATATCCAGTACATAGTTCTATAGAAGAAGTCGTTTGTAGCAATATAGCCAAATTGCCCCCTTTTGGCCCCGCCCCTCAGCCCCCTGGGGGGTAAGCCCAAACATTTGTACAATTTTGAATCCCTACCACCTAGGGATGCTTCCAGTCAAATATGGTCGATATCCATCTCTTAGTCCCAGAGAAGAAGTTGCTTAAAGCAATATAGCCAAATTGCCCCGCCCCACAGCCCCCCGGGGGGTGGGGGTGGGGGAGGGGGGGTATAGCCCCACCATTTGCACAATTTTGAATCCCCACCACCTAGGGATGCTTCCAGTCAAATTTAGTTAAATTCCAATCAGTGGTTAAGAAGAAGAAGTCGTTTAATTGAAGAAATTGTTGACGGACGGACGACGGATGCCACGGTATGGCATAAGCTCACCTTGGTCCTTTGGATCCGGTGAGCTAATAATGGTAATATTTGTTTGTGACAGACTTATCAACACTATTCTCAAAGGGAAATTAAACTATTACTTTACACTAGTTTGCATACAGATGAAGTGCAAAAAATTTCATTGAAAAACCTTAGGAGACGCAGTCCATGCAAACTTGTCTCTACAGACAAATGAACAACATTCTGAATCCCAGCATACTTATATTGTTGTATGTACCATGTACTTATATTGTTGTATGTACCATGTACTTATATTGTTGTATGTGATCCACCTGCTTACCTGTACATCAGTCTGTTCCAATATCTGGGCAAGTTCTATCCACGCCTCCACATCATCTGGAAACTGCTCCGTTACCTTCTTCAAATGTTGCTGTAGATACAATACAATGTATTAACTCTTAGACTGCTACTCAGACTTCTTAGCAAAGGGACACCACTGCTGAATTAATTAATTATTGAAATATAAATTAATTTACTTGATTTTTCAAATGTGCATAACTTGAAAAATATTTGTTATGTGTGAATAAAAGTTATAGGAAAATTGTTTGTCATTGTCTCTAGTTTATAATAACGTTTTTAATTCTAAAGTTGCTTCAGTATTTACCTGTACAGGTGGTAATAAAAATAAGAAAAGGTGAAACTTTTAATTAATCGGATTTAAGCACAAGAAAGATCATTTTAAAATTACTTTGTCAGCTAATGTGATTGGCAAATGATAACAGAGATATTTAACTTCATTTTTGACATAAGATGCTGTACATTTACACGGAGGTTCTCAGGTAAAAAGGTCAGATATTTCTTCAAGACTTGCATGTGATTTGCTACAGGTTTCAGGTTGTCATTCAATATATTTACTGTCACAGTCGGCATATAGATATAACTTAGCTACGGTCTAGTTTATGATTAAATCATCGATAAATAGTTTGAATAAATCAATCAGCTCAAAACGTATCAATGCCAATGTTCAATTCCGCCTCACCTGCAGACGACATGTGCGCCTATGTCTGCCAATATTTTCCTGTTTGCATAGGGCACAAAGCCGTTCATTGGAAAGTTACATATTATGTTACACCGAAGTATTTCCACATCAACCATGTCAAACCCTTCAAAACCTTAATTATCATCGTAGGTGACGCTGGAGAATAAATATTTACCATCATATTCATCACTTCAATCTACACGTCTGCCATTTTTATGACGTTTTTTTCGATTTGAAATTCTCTCGCACACCTTTGGTTATTATAATGGTACACTGCTGGGAATATCGAAAGTAATGACAAAACAACCAATCAGAACCCTTCTACTATACACATTCGGGTTTGGTATAGCAACAACCCGATTTCACATTTCCTGTTTACTGATCAAAACCTACAGATCGAGAAATGGCATATGCTGTGCGTAGCACTGACGACCCGTCTTAGCAGCATGAGGGTTAACAGGGAGAACAAGGGTGACTTTTGATTAAAATTTCATAACAGCTGAGTTTCAGAGTTTGCTTTTTTGAGGTAATTATTTATTTTGGGAGAAAGATGGCTACCTAGCAGCAATCTTGTTTTTACTGATCAGTCCAAAATGAAACATGCATAACTGTGGACCAAGGTAAGCATGCATATATAATGAAAACTGAGAAAGTTCTGTCAAGTACATCTTGTAATATTGTAATATAGCAATAACAGACATGAGCTCTCAAAATCAAAGATTTCCCGATCAGTCCCAATATGAAACGCGTACAACTATGGACCACACAAAGCTTACATATGAAATTTGAGAAAGACCTCTAAGGTAATACATATACATTGTAGCGATTTGTTTACACTCTGAGCATTACCTTGGCGATGTCTCTTTTTCCAAGGTCCTGAGAATTTGCATACAGTGAGCCGAGGATCTTCATGGTCTCATAGTTTCCTGGCTGGGTCTTCAACACCTTCTCAAAACACTGGGAAGCCTGTCAGACACAATAGAACTGCTTCAAGAAAATTCTTCATAGGACAAGGTAACTCACCAAACAGGACCAATACAGGGTTAATACATTAGCTTCAGTTAATATCACTGTATAAACAGTACATTTCACCTAATATCACGTCTGTTAATGTCACTTTTCGGTTATTATCATGTTTTTTTGATGCACCGTTTTTCCTGCTTTATAATCTATGCAATTCAATTATTTTATTATCACCTGATTTTATGTCAATTTCTCTTAATATCACTTTATTTTGGCCACTGTCACAAAAAAAATGTAAAATACCTTGTTAACTGTAAAACAGAAGCATTTCGACAGAAATGAACTTTTAGATATTGTAACACTAACTTACATTTTCATTGTCTCCACGGTAGATGTACATCTGCCCAAGTCCAAAGAACGGGAGAACAAAGTTGGACGGGGAAAACTGAGTGGACTGGTAATAGTACTGAAATGCCTGGTCATAGTCATTCTGAAAATAACACATGGCATGGTAAATCAAAATGACATCAATCAACGTCACATCAAGGTATCAAACTATACATGAGAGCAGGGGATCGGACGGCACTTGAACCACTGGTCCAAACGGTACAATTAAATGTACTGGGAAACCTTCTCACAAATAATTTTAAACTTCTAGATACTGACAGGTTCAGATTTGTTGTTTCCACTTACTGTACATATCATTTTGAAAGTATGTGATTTCAGAATATTTTTGAAGATTTCTATGTTAGCCCTTGACTGGTCATTTTACACGGTTCAAATTCTTTCTAGTATGGATCATAACCTATTACCTGTACATGGAAAGCTCTTGCCAGCTGGTAGCAACTCTCTGCCCTCATGGCTTCATTTTCTGTGTTGTGGAAGGCATGTAATGCAAGATGCTGCACTTTTTGGTAATCCTGTCAAAAAATAACCTTCTATTATGATTATGTTTATAACAAATAGTTCAGTTCAGGAAACGGATTTCAAGGTTATTTCATTGTGATCTACTGATCACATTTTTTGTCAAGTTATAGTAGTATTAAGACCTTTCGTTTCCACACATCTGTTGATGGTTTGTGCAAATACCTTCAATGTTTCTTTATCTGTCAATGTGTTCTTATACGATATATATTTTCCTTGTAGTCTTTTTGTACAAATACATTCTATATGACAGATTTTCATTCATCTGGGATGTTTCGTCAAATTTATTGATTGCTTGTCAGCCAAATTAAACAAATCACTTAGTTTTGTCTTCCTACACACAAAGTATCTGGATTTGTCAGTGTACCTGTAAATGATCAATGTACATACATGCATATCATTTTTGCGCGCCTTCTTGAATGAAGCTATTTGTATAAACTTTTATGTGTATCAGTTCTATAGGCATACCTTCTTGTAGAAGAAGTGGTTGGCGAGGTGGTTGAGGACCATGGGGTTGGATGAGTCGATGGTGTAAGCCTTGGAGAGAAGCTGAACACCAGACATAATAGACTCCTGTGTCTTGGCATTCACCTCAAGGATGGCCATTCCTACCTGGGCACCTACACACTGGGGGTCCAACTGGAGAGCTCGCTCAAATGCCATTCTGAAACACACAACATACTTTAGAATTCATAATTATGGGCTAAAGCTTATTTATGCATTTAAACTTTAGTATAAATATTAAAAAAACATTAGTCATAGTCTTACCTTAAACTACTCCACATAGAACCGTCTATTATAAGGTCATTTCTTGGTCTAAGTCAACTAGGGTTCTCTAAAACTCTTTATACACAAAAAATGTATCCAAATGAAATATCAATATCTTGCCAAGGGAAGTAACTCTAAATAAGAGGAAGCCTCTTCCCAAGACTGAATGATGCTTACCTTGCTTTCTCTAACTTGTTAAGTTTGACAAAGCATTGCCTTATCCCAAGCCTGAATGAAGCTTACCTTGCTTTCTCAACTGTTAAGGTTTGACAAAGCATTGCCTCACCCCAAGCCCGAATGATGCTTATCTTGCTTTCTCTAACTTGTTAAGTTTGACAAAGCAACTGCTTCATCCCAAGACTGAATTATGCTTACCTTGCTTTCTCTAACTTGTAAAGTTTGACAAAGCAGTGCCTCACCCGAAGCCTGAATGAAGCTTACCTTGCTTTCTCTAACTTGTTAAGTTTGACAAAGCAGTGCCTCATCCCAAGCCTGAATGAAGCTTACCTTGCTTTCTCTAACTTGTTAAGTTTGACAAAGCAGTGACCCATCCCTAGTCTGACTGATGCTGGACAGCTGGGGTTTGTTCTCAATGCTTTCTTGTAATAAGCCAAAGCTCCTCGGAAATCCTTTTTGTTGAAAGCAATACAAGCTTTCCCCAGTAATGATGGAATGTTGTTGCTGGTCTGTACAAAAATACAATTGTAATCACTGTGACTTAAAATTAAACCTCATTATATTCCACTATTTGTGTAGCAAATTCTGCCGTTATTAAGGGTCTGATATCAATGTTTTACAGAAAATTACTCTCAAATATCAATGTTTATTGAAAACTGCATTACACCATATGTTAATTTACTGTAAAGTAATTTACACTCACACATTTAAAAGGGGCAATTTGTACAGCGACAAAATGAAACTATTTAAACAGGTGAGGGAACCTATGTTATATTAATATTTAAGATACCATCAGGTTTACATAAAACAAATTAAAGAAGTTAGATAAGTTTAAGAAACAGATGAAGTAACATAATCTCTAGTTTGGGTACTTCAGTCTGTTTCTGTAACAGCCTAGAATGCAAGTTTAGTCGTGTACTTCAGTCTATTATAGTCCAGAGTCATGTGTTTATAATACTACTAGTACTGTATTTAAACAATGATACCTGCTCTAGTTTGTGTGTTGTCATGTTTGTATAACAAAATACATACCTGTCCCAACACAAAGTTAAACTGGGCATCAGCCTGGTCCATCTTGTCTCCTTCCAACAGACAGAAGTATGCTCTCCCCAACAAGTGACTCTGTCAAAAACAACACAAGTGTTAGATGTTTGACAGATAGAAGTATGCTCTCCCCAACAAGTGACTCTGTCAAAAACAACACAGATGTTAGATGTTTGACAGACAGAAGTATGCTCTCCCCAACAAGTGACTCTGTCAAAAACAACACAAGTGTTAGATGTTTGACAGATAGAAGTATGCTCTCCCCAACAAGTGACTGTCAAAAACAACACAGATGTTAGATGTATGATTTGGTTTGTTTGTGTTTATGTCCTATTGACAGCTATGGTCATTTAAGGACGTGCCAGATTTTGGTGGTTGAGGGAAGCTGGAGTCCTCGGAGAAAAACCACGACATACAGCCAGTACCTGGCGACTGCCCTACGTAGGCCTCGAATCAGCGAACCAGTGTTGCAGGGCTAGTGGTAGCAGAAGGTCAGACGCCTTAACCACTTGGCCACCACAGGTCATAGATGTATGACAGACAGAGGTAAGCTTTAACAAGCGACTCTGTAAAACAGCCAGTTTAATGGAGTCACAATTTACACATCAGCAAAATTTATAAGATTGACAGCTTTAAATATTATTGTACATCTAAAACTAGAATTGTAAGCTGAAGGTTAACTTAAATACATTTATATGTGAGTAAAAAAAATCATGGGAATTATAAGCTTGACTTCATATGATGGTGAATAACTTTACAAGGTTTCCAAGAAACTGAATCCAAACTTATGAGCGGATATAACTGTAATAATCGAAAAGGATATTAACTTCAACTGTAAATAAAAAATACAAGACATTAATGACTACCTTGCTGATAAAGTGTACAATGGTTCATTGAAATCTACAAAGTGATTTCAAAGTAGTCTGGACATGTTATTTTTTTCTGAACTCAAGTTTGGAAAATGTTTGCCTACAAACAGGTGACAGGCTAATCGGCAGATAACCTGATTCCAGTCCCTGATAATTTTGTTGTGTCACTGTTGGTATATCATACACCTCTAGCAGTTCCAGCAACATAGTTTTATGCTCCTAAACATTCTTACCATGCTGCTATTTTAAGTATTTTTTTCATTAACAATAGAGAGAATTTCACATGCTGCTATCATTTTTCAGTGTGCTGTGGTTTTATATAGCATACTGCCTTAACTTTATTTACCACTATAATTTTAGCTAGTATGCTGCTGTTCTTTTACTTACCATGCATTAACTTTATTCCGTATGCTGTTGGAATTTTACTTAATTATCCTGTTGTAAAGAAGAAACACATGTTATAATACTTTCAACATTTTCTAAAGAGAACATTAAATTCTTATCTTGAGGATCTATTTACCTGGTCGTACATGATGATTTTATCAGCGGTGGTGTAGAGGAGAGTAGCCTGGGTGAACAGTTCTCTCTTCTTGTCCTTGTTCTTCTCTTTGTGGGCCTTCTGTACATAAAATGCAGCCAGTGTGTCAAGTGCTCGCATCTGATCACGCTCGAAGTTTGGGTAGTCCAGTCCCGCATCTGTTCGGGATGCATCTAGGATCTTCACAAAGTCCTCTACATAGTTGGACTTGTAATACTCCAGCTGAAAAATGGAACAAATCATTTATGCATTTGAAAATTACGTGAGAAATCAATGTAGCTTTAAAAACTTTCACTGTTACTTTTGGTTATTGTTACTGAATGATTTATTTCTATCGTCACCTATATTCCTATTTAATTAGTATGCATTTCATGTGCACAACTACAATCCGCCATGTAGGATATTGGCAATACCACAGTAGCATCAGTGAAATAAAATGTATGTATATCTGAAATCATTTGCATAATACGGTGTTAAAACCTGACTGTTATATATTTATCATCCTGGTAGTTCCCCAGAGCTGATTAATAATTAATAAATAGTGAGTAGATTGTGAAATATGCTGGATTAGTAATTACATGGACATTTCAAAAAGTGAAAATGAAATTACAAATAATGTTTTTCATGGTGATTAGTAAAACATCATTTGACGCTGAGATGTGACTCAGATCCTGATTATTATGGGTTGAATCTACAATACAGCATCCCAAAATTCCTCTAATCATGACTGTCACAAGTTGGAAACTGATTTAGACTTACAGCAAGAGTGACCCAGATGTGAAGTGGAGCCACTTCCTGTCGCAAAATACTGAGAACTTCATCTCCCTCAGGCAGCTGGTCAAGATCGAGCTCGATCACCTAAAGTAACAGAATAACAAAAAGCTTTTATGCTGTATCTTATGCATGTTCATATTCAATAAATATATGTTAACTTATAAAATCACAGTGGAAAATAGCCAGTCCCTGCAGTAGGTTTGTTACTGATCCAGTGTGGAGGGATCTTTTTCCTGTTGCTAAATTGGCATATGCTAGTACATTGTATTATCTTTTTATAAAGCAAAACCTGCCTCCATTACACATTGAAGTTGTTTTGGGGCTGAAAATGTGACTTCCAGTTTGATAAGCAGTGAGGTTTTTCAGGTCGAACAATATTAATTAATGTCCCATAGTTGTGAACTATTAATAAACATCATTCATTAACACTGGATTAAGTTTGTGGAGACTCCCCATATGATGTTGTCTGGTCATCTCTTTGAATTGTTCATGAAATAAGTAACCACTTTATATATATCTCTATTGTACATTTCAGCTGGAATTTCAGTTATTTTTGTCAGCCTTTAGTCTGGAAATTGTCTAAATTGATAGAAACATCGCGAGAATTATACTGACTAATTTTTCCTCAAAACAAAGAATAAAGTTGTTTTTCATCAATTTTTGTTGGTTTCATAAATGTTTGATTGTATTAATTCCATTAAACTACAGGCAGTTTATCATTTACTTAGCCTTCAGTTGAGAGCATGGTGAAACATGTGCAAAAATGTGTAAGAAACTAGTGTATTGCACTTTCCTGGGGCAAGTGGGCCAGCTTATTGCACTTGCCAAAGCATTAAAACTGGTTGTCCTGGGCATTGGGCAAGTAGATTTTTACACCCCTGCAGACCTTACTACATTTACTTGATAAATGTTTAGAAAACAAACCTAGAGATTGGCAATCTCATGTGAAATGTTAACTTTGAAAACATTAAATATCGGTTGAACTAATTTTTCAAACAATATGTCTGCAACCTCCACCTTCCCAGTCCGACACAATACCGATCAAACTTAAGGAAAATTCCTTCGACAACAGAGCTAGGTGACCATAATCCTATAACTAAAGTCTGTCGCACATCATAACCAGGAAATCATGGAATATCAATGAAAATTGCTGTTATTTTTTTCATTAAATGTTTCCCTTCTCAAAAATGCCAACATCAAAGTATAGACAACACCTCACACTTAGTAAACCGATAAGCGACAAGTAGAACTCTTCCAACTTCAACTGTACTGCAGTACACTACTGTGACTCGCTCATCATGTCAACAAACAGACAGCTGCAGACAAAGGTCCGAACGCATTGTTTACATTTAATCTATTTGGTTCAGGCTTACGACGAAGCATTGAATGTCCGAAATTTATCCACTCAGATAGCTCGGGATAAAACATGTAAAAACCAGTGCCTCCATAGCATAATATGCAGTTGATCGGTTATTTCGGTTCAACGTAACAATGATAAAATTCGAACTCAGCATATCAGCATATTACATGTAACATGAGGAAGTATGTTTACTCATTTGTCATTCATATATATAAAAAAAATACGAAGAAAATATACGATATTATATTTGGTAAAAACAGAGACGAAATTCGAGTTTAAACAAATTATTCAGATTAACATATTGACTTCTTACTTCATCTGTATCCCGGAGAGGGATTTCAATCGAGCCGGCCGCCATGCTGCTTCCTGGGAGCGGTGTTTAATGAAGTTTCATTTTGGAAGACATCAATTTAAAGATGAAGAAAATCAACATTATTATGTTCGTAAAAAACACAATATTAATTTATAATAAAATAAAATGTTATACAGATAAAAGGTGAATCAAATGTGAACAGAAATAATGAACGATCCTTGTAAACGCGACATCTATATTTCTTGTATTTAACTAAGGACCAACAACTCTTTGATGTTTTCAAACTATTTAAGCGGCAACTTTTGAAAGTTATAGCATAGGGTGACCAGTTTCTAAAATCTAAAAATGAAATTTGACGTATAAACAAAAGAGCACAATTAAAGATCAATTTGTTTCACGTTGTTTATCAACAATGTTTTAAAAGTCTTAAATTTTAACCGGAAAGTCAGTTTGCAATCACTCCATTTTAACAATACATGAACTTTCTTAATCAGCGTGTTGTCATAAAACGATGCCATTAAGTGACCAGTTCCTTTTCCTGTCAAGTGTCTGTTTGTATACATTGCTACATTTTAAAATCAAAACAAAATGTTTCTTTTTGGTGCCGCCTCACTGCCACAGGGCGAGAACAATCAGGAACCATATTTTCTCGTTTACGGAAAGGTCACGACGGTTCCCGATTGACCACAGATAAGTTTAACATTTTTGCTATTAAATTTTTTAGCAGACAATTATGAAATGTTCTATATAAATTAATGTGTTTTTTTTTACCTTTTCCAGGTGTATTTCCATTGTTTTCTAATCCAAAGGTAAAGGTAGAAAAACTTAACTTTTCCTAATGTTTGAGCAAAACAATATTGATATAATTTGTTTTGCTTCCTTTTCTTCACTTAATCCTTGCAGATGTTAACTAGGAGTATTTACTTTCATTACCAAAAAAATAATGACGTCAAAAACTCGCAGTTTTGTTCACAGCATAAATGCATAAAATCTCTGGGCACAGAAACAGCACTTTAAGTTGCTCAGAAGAGTCTGTGATGGTTTTAGGTTCTGCTTGGCCTGTTTTTCTATAAAACATAATGAATCTCATCTTCGCTAGCCAAGTGTTCTCTTCGTATACACTCCACTTACGAAAACTTGGCTTAAGCGAAGATAAATGAATCTAGAATCTATTTGCAATTAAAAAAACAAGAGTTCCGCGAGATGATACAATTGATACGCCCGTCAGNCCGCCCGCCCGCCCGCGTGAAAACATACGTACCATCAAAAGAAACAAATTTTAATTTTTATGGGTAGGTAACTTCAATTGAGCAGGCTTCTAGAGTTAGATTTCTGATGAAATAAAATTGTTATCATATAAATTTCATCTTTCCATTATTTTTTTTAAATATTTTCATTTAAAAAAAATATATTGACCTTGTTTCTTGCGTGGCAGGGTTCAATTGTACATAGATTTAAGGTCGCCTTCTAGCTTCGAGCTAGGGGGAATTTCCCTTTAGCTCAGTGATAGAGCGTCCGACTTAGGAACCTCNCAGGGCTAGTGGTAGCAGAAGGTCAGACGCCTTAACCACTTGGCCACCACAGGTCATAGATGTATGACAGACAGAGGTAAGCTTTAACAAGCGACTCTGTAAAACAGCCAGTTTAATGGAGTCACAATTTACACATCAGCAAAATTTATAAGATTGACAGCTTTAAATATTATTGTACATCTAAAACTAGAATTGTAAGCTGAAGGTTAACTTAAATACATTTATATGTGAGTAAAAAAAATCATGGGAATTATAAGCTTGACTTCATATGATGGTGAATAACTTTACAAGGTTTCCAAGAAACTGAATCCAAACTTATGAGCGGATATAACTGTAATAATCGAAAAGGATATTAACTTCAACTGTAAATAAAAAATACAAGACATTAATGACTACCTTGCTGATAAAGTGTACAATGGTTCATTGAAATCTACAAAGTGATTTCAAAGTAGTCTGGACATGTTATTTTTTTCTGAACTCAAGTTTGGAAAATGTTTGCCTACAAACAGGTGACAGGCTAATCGGCAGATAACCTGATTCCAGTCCCTGATAATTTTGTTGTGTCACTGTTGGTATATCATACACCTCTAGCAGTTCCAGCAACATAGTTTTATGCTCCTAAACATTCTTACCATGCTGCTATTTTAAGTATTTTTTTCATTAACAATAGAGAGAATTTCACATGCTGCTATCATTTTTCAGTGTGCTGTGGTTTTATATAGCATACTGCCTTAACTTTATTTACCACTATAATTTTAGCTAGTATGCTGCTGTTCTTTTACTTACCATGCATTAACTTTATTCCGTATGCTGTTGGAATTTTACTTAATTATCCTGTTGTAAAGAAGAAACACATGTTATAATACTTTCAACATTTTCTAAAGAGAACATTAAATTCTTATCTTGAGGATCTATTTACCTGGTCGTACATGATGATTTTATCAGCGGTGGTGTAGAGGAGAGTAGCCTGGGTGAACAGTTCTCTCTTCTTGTCCTTGTTCTTCTCTTTGTGGGCCTTCTGTACATAAAATGCAGCCAGTGTGTCAAGTGCTCGCATCTGATCACGCTCGAAGTTTGGGTAGTCCAGTCCCGCATCTGTTCGGGATGCATCTAGGATCTTCACAAAGTCCTCTACATAGTTGGACTTGTAATACTCCAGCTGAAAAATGGAACAAATCATTTATGCATTTGAAAATTACGTGAGAAATCAATGTAGCTTTAAAAACTTTCACTGTTACTTTTGGTTATTGTTACTGAATGATTTATTTCTATCGTCACCTATATTCCTATTTAATTAGTATGCATTTCATGTGCACAACTACAATCCGCCATGTAGGATATTGGCAATACCACAGTAGCATCAGTGAAATAAAATGTATGTATATCTGAAATCATTTGCATAATACGGTGTTAAAACCTGACTGTTATATATTTATCATCCTGGTAGTTCCCCAGAGCTGATTAATAATTAATAAATAGTGAGTAGATTGTGAAATATGCTGGATTAGTAATTACATGGACATTTCAAAAAGTGAAAATGAAATTACAAATAATGTTTTTCATGGTGATTAGTAAAACATCATTTGACGCTGAGATGTGACTCAGATCCTGATTATTATGGGTTGAATCTACAATACAGCATCCCAAAATTCCTCTAATCATGACTGTCACAAGTTGGAAACTGATTTAGACTTACAGCAAGAGTGACCCAGATGTGAAGTGGAGCCACTTCCTGTCGCAAAATACTGAGAACTTCATCTCCCTCAGGCAGCTGGTCAAGATCGAGCTCGATCACCTAAAGTAACAGAATAACAAAAAGCTTTTATGCTGTATCTTATGCATGTTCATATTCAATAAATATATGTTAACTTATAAAATCACAGTGGAAAATAGCCAGTCCCTGCAGTAGGTTTGTTACTGATCCAGTGTGGAGGGATCTTTTTCCTGTTGCTAAATTGGCATATGCTAGTACATTGTATTATCTTTTTATAAAGCAAAACCTGCCTCCATTACACATTGAAGTTGTTTTGGGGCTGAAAATGTGACTTCCAGTTTGATAAGCAGTGAGGTTTTTCAGGTCGAACAATATTAATTAATGTCCCATAGTTGTGAACTATTAATAAACATCATTCATTAACACTGGATTAAGTTTGTGGAGACTCCCCATATGATGTTGTCTGGTCATCTCTTTGAATTGTTCATGAAATAAGTAACCACTTTATATATATCTCTATTGTACATTTCAGCTGGAATTTCAGTTATTTTTGTCAGCCTTTAGTCTGGAAATTGTCTAAATTGATAGAAACATCGCGAGAATTATACTGACTAATTTTTCCTCAAAACAAAGAATAAAGTTGTTTTTCATCAATTTTTGTTGGTTTCATAAATGTTTGATTGTATTAATTCCATTAAACTACAGGCAGTTTATCATTTACTTAGCCTTCAGTTGAGAGCATGGTGAAACATGTGCAAAAATGTGTAAGAAACTAGTGTATTGCACTTTCCTGGGGCAAGTGGGCCAGCTTATTGCACTTGCCAAAGCATTAAAACTGGTTGTCCTGGGCATTGGGCAAGTAGATTTTTACACCCCTGCAGACCTTACTACATTTACTTGATAAATGTTTAGAAAACAAACCTAGAGATTGGCAATCTCATGTGAAATGTTAACTTTGAAAACATTAAATATCGGTTGAACTAATTTTTCAAACAATATGTCTGCAACCTCCACCTTCCCAGTCCGACACAATACCGATCAAACTTAAGGAAAATTCCTTCGACAACAGAGCTAGGTGACCATAATCCTATAACTAAAGTCTGTCGCACATCATAACCAGGAAATCATGGAATATCAATGAAAATTGCTGTTATTTTTTTCATTAAATGTTTCCCTTCTCAAAAATGCCAACATCAAAGTATAGACAACACCTCACACTTAGTAAACCGATAAGCGACAAGTAGAACTCTTCCAACTTCAACTGTACTGCAGTACACTACTGTGACTCGCTCATCATGTCAACAAACAGACAGCTGCAGACAAAGGTCCGAACGCATTGTTTACATTTAATCTATTTGGTTCAGGCTTACGACGAAGCATTGAATGTCCGAAATTTATCCACTCAGATAGCTCGGGATAAAACATGTAAAAACCAGTGCCTCCATAGCATAATATGCAGTTGATCGGTTATTTCGGTTCAACGTAACAATGATAAAATTCGAACTCAGCATATCAGCATATTACATGTAACATGAGGAAGTATGTTTACTCATTTGTCATTCATATATATAAAAAAAATACGAAGAAAATATACGATATTATATTTGGTAAAAACAGAGACGAAATTCGAGTTTAAACAAATTATTCAGATTAACATATTGACTTCTTACTTCATCTGTATCCCGGAGAGGGATTTCAATCGAGCCGGCCGCCATGCTGCTTCCTGGGAGCGGTGTTTAATGAAGTTTCATTTTGGAAGACATCAATTTAAAGATGAAGAAAATCAACATTATTATGTTCGTAAAAAACACAATATTAATTTATAATAAAATAAAATGTTATACAGATAAAAGGTGAATCAAATGTGAACAGAAATAATGAACGATCCTTGTAAACGCGACATCTATATTTCTTGTATTTAACTAAGGACCAACAACTCTTTGATGTTTTCAAACTATTTAAGCGGCAACTTTTGAAAGTTATAGCATAGGGTGACCAGTTTCTAAAATCTAAAAATGAAATTTGACGTATAAACAAAAGAGCACAATTAAAGATCAATTTGTTTCACGTTGTTTATCAACAATGTTTTAAAAGTCTTAAATTTTAACCGGAAAGTCAGTTTGCAATCACTCCATTTTAACAATACATGAACTTTCTTAATCAGCGTGTTGTCATAAAACGATGCCATTAAGTGACCAGTTCCTTTTCCTGTCAAGTGTCTGTTTGTATACATTGCTACATTTTAAAATCAAAACAAAATGTTTCTTTTTGGTGCCGCCTCACTGCCACAGGGCGAGAACAATCAGGAACCATATTTTCTCGTTTACGGAAAGGTCACGACGGTTCCCGATTGACCACAGATAAGTTTAACATTTTTGCTATTAAATTTTTTAGCAGACAATTATGAAATGTTCTATATAAATTAATGTGTTTTTTTTTACCTTTTCCAGGTGTATTTCCATTGTTTTCTAATCCAAAGGTAAAGGTAGAAAAACTTAACTTTTCCTAATGTTTGAGCAAAACAATATTGATATAATTTGTTTTGCTTCCTTTTCTTCACTTAATCCTTGCAGATGTTAACTAGGAGTATTTACTTTCATTACCAAAAAAATAATGACGTCAAAAACTCGCAGTTTTGTTCACAGCATAAATGCATAAAATCTCTGGGCACAGAAACAGCACTTTAAGTTGCTCAGAAGAGTCTGTGATGGTTTTAGGTTCTGCTTGGCCTGTTTTTCTATAAAACATAATGAATCTCATCTTCGCTAGCCAAGTGTTCTCTTCGTATACACTCCACTTACGAAAACTTGGCTTAAGCGAAGATAAATGAATCTAGAATCTATTTGCAATTAAAAAAACAAGAGTTCCGCGAGATGATACAATTGATACGCCCGTCAGATGTAGTCAATGAGCAGTTTCCCATAAAGGGCCATAAATGCATACATTTTGGAGAGATTAAAGCGTCAAATCTACAAAGGGCCATAACTTCATAAATAAGCGGCAAATAATTTTGGTTATCAAGCTTGTCCGAGCTTTCATGGCAATGAACCAGTTCCTACCAAGTTTGAAATTAATCCATTCAAAATTACTCAAGTATTCTAAATATTGAGCGGAAACTGTGTCCGCAATTCTACCAAGGGCCATAACTCCGTAAATAACTGGCAAATATTTTTTGTTATCGAACTTGTCCGAGCTTTCATGGCAATGAACCTTCCTATTAAGTTTGAAATGAATCCATTCAAAATTACTCAAGTTATTGAGCGGAAACTAATGTGTGCCCACCCGCCCGCCCGCCCGCGTGAAAACATACGTACCATCAAAAGAAACAAATTTTAATTTTTATGGGTAGGTAACTTCAATTGAGCAGGCTTCTAGAGTTAGATTTCTGATGAAATAAAATTGTTATCATATAAATTTCATCTTTCCATTATTTTTTTTAAATATTTTCATTTAAAAAAAATATATTGACCTTGTTTCTTGCGTGGCAGGGTTCAATTGTACATAGATTTAAGGTCGCCTTCTAGCTTCGAGCTAGGGGGAATTTCCCTTTAGCTCAGTGATAGAGCGTCCGACTTAGGACCCTCGAGATCGAGGGTGCGATCCCTGGTGGAAGCACACTATTCTCTTTCCTGTTACAAATGGTGTCCGTGGCCCTCTCTGTAGTGAGAGGGAGTTAGAACCTCGGTTGTGGTGTTCGAGGGCGAACACATTTAAAAAGGGGGGAGTAGTGTGGCAGGGTTCAATTGTACATAGATTTCCCTTTAGCTCAGTGGTAGAGCGTCCAACTAAGAACCTGGAGATCGAGGGTTCGATCCCCGGTGGAAGCACACTATTCTCTTTCCTGTTACACTTGCAATTCAATTAATGGTGCAAAATTACCTCCCCTGCAATGTTCAATGTCCAACTTTGAGTGAATTGCTATATATTTTCATGGAATTAGATTAGAAGTATTATCAAGCGTATTTTGCCCCAGGGGAAATTTGCACTGACTGAGAATGATATTTGATCGAAGTCAGACTACACTATACTTTCACTTGGATCCTGTTGTCATCTTTGGAGACTCCTTTATTCATACCAACTTCTGTTGATTAGATTTATTCATGCTTTTCTGTTGCTAATTGCACAGTATTTGCTTTTCATGTGTCTGTGTTTATTCCAACTATCTTGTCCCTAAGTCTGTAATAATGATCTCCTTTTGAAATTTTCTGATGGGGCTGATCGTCAGCTGAAATTGGAGTTTAATTAGGAAATGTGTTCACGAGTTGGATATTTCATGGTCAATCTTGGCAGCATATATATCCAAATCTTCATTTCTTGCAATGGTATATATTGTTTAGGTGGAGATCTCATCCAGGGACTAAATCCTAGGGTGAGGGCAGACCCCTGGACCAATCCAGATAGCATATCTGTACAAGTATTCTCATGCCTAGCAATAGTTTACTGGAAAATAGGGTTATATGGCAGCCTCATCAAGGAGGGGAAAGAGCTTCTTCATTTGTACAATTTGGTTGATATTGATCATAAGCTCTAGGGAGAAGTCGCTTAAAAAATATGACCAAATTACCGTTTCTGATTATATCCCTCCATTTTAAAATTTCTAGTACCTACCACCTGAAAATGCTTCCAGTCAAAATTTGGTGAAATTCTGTTTATAATAACATTGTCGATCACTTCGAATAAAGTGTATCAAATACCATAGGTTAAATTCTTGCAAGAAACCCCCCATAAAAGTAAAACAAACGATGAAAATCTTTATATTAATATTTAATTCCAATATTGTAATCGCTGCAACCTTTGGGTTGGTACATCCCAATTGCACTGCTGCCCCCATACATACATGCATTAGTGATATAACATTCAGAAATACACCAACTGTTTATAAAATTCTATCAACAATGTTAACAATATACACAATACCAGAACCAAATTGCTTCTAAATTGAAAATTACTTGCAGTGAACTGAAACTGTGTAGAGAAATATTGTTACATCACTTAATAAATTAACGATCGCTTGAAAAAAAACACCTTTTATTTTTCGCTCTCTTAATTCACAATTTAATTCACAAATTTGTATTGTTATCTTGCATAATTTGAAGACTTCTTCAATGCATTTTTCTTTCTATTAAGGATGCACACATATCAACAATAATTACTAATATATTGTAAAAAAGACAACAACATAATTCAAAAATAGTTTTAGTTTAGTCTGAAACACACCTTTTTTACTCATGGTTTTATTTTAAAATTCTTTACATTGCAAGCTTAAAATCAAAATAAGAGCAATTTGGTCCTTATGGTTAGACTAGACAAGGTTTGGTTTCCTCGCATAATGATTATCTGTTTTTCATGGTTTAATATTACACCTACAAATCTCTGTATCTGTGTTAATATCTATTCTCAAAGATATCATTACGGGGAAAGTCTAATTTAATTCATATAGATAATTTGATAATCAGACAAATAAAAATGATTTACACTATATTTGCAAAAGCCCATGATGTACATAAATACATGTTTTTAACATACAAGTTCTGGTTGATAGAAAAATACATAAAATATGAATAAATAAAAGGAAATACTACATGATAAGATGAAACACTTAAAAAAATCCATAGTGCAGTGTACATTTAATACATTACAATCGGTTTTCTGTATGTAGCTAAGCCATAATTTGTAAAGAATCAAATAAGCATAAACTCTTAACAGAAAGATGTGCAGAAGTGTGGAATAATATCCTATAGATATTGAGGATTGTCTCCCCTGAGGCAAAGCTGAGTGGCCAACATTTGACTGAAAGAAGAGAAATCCACAATACTCCTAGTACATGTACATTATCTTCATCTGTTTCACTGACTAATGTTAAAAAAAAGTTTGTAGATTGATACTCAATGTCATAAATAAAAGTAAACTGCTTTAGAAAGACTTGCAATAAATTCACCTTTTAGGAAAATAAAATGTGGATTGGAATGGTTAAAGATGATCCAATATTGAACCTGGTCCCTTACAACAGAAGTGAATCAACAAATGGATAAACAAGTACTCATAACTGTGTAACATATCCAACCATATAGAACAGCTGCTCTTAGGTCTATATTCTACATGTTTCTGACCTAAAAAATAAAACACAAAATATCTTCTCATTTACAATATAATGTTGCCATGTATTTTGTTTATCTATTTAAGATCCATCACACCTTTGATTAGGCATCTCACATATTTGACCTGTAATAAACCACAAGGACCATACATCCAAAAGCATGGGGTCAAACACATACCAGGCAGAGGCTTGTCCTGAATGGGACCCCATTATGTCTTCAGAACCATCGTCTGGAAAACTGGGGATGGCCTTATTACTGAGCATGGCAGGTAAAATATGGATGAATATGGTACATAATAAGTAAGTACATATAACATTTTTTTTATATAGACTTATACACAGAATGTCTATATAAAACATTCCAGTTTACCTTTTAAGACATTATAATCTAGACATCATTGTTAACAGCTGTTTGTAGAATGTACTATGTAAATATACATAACAATAACATTCACGTCTGGATAAAAATGGTCTTTTACTTCTTATAACAAACATTCAACCTTAAATATTGATGAACAATTGAAACTTTTTAACAATAAAAACCTGTATATACATGATATGGTAGGCTTTATGTGACACCGGTAATCAATAGGTCTACATCTCTATGTAAGTCTATTTACAGAAAATCACCCAGGAGAAACAGTACCTTTACTGCCAGGTTTCATGTCTCCAAACTTGTTTATTTTTGGTTAAGAATGTAAATATTTATCTAAAAGAATCTATATTTTAACAATATATAGCTACCTAGTGGGACAGTTTAATTCTCTTTCTTCCCTGTGTACAATTCTGATCATAGGATGGCAAAATTTAAGTCTATAATTTCTTCTACATCTGTGGTCTTGATATACAATGGCAACGTAAAATTATACTTTATAGTATCAAACATCAATAAAATATACAGATTATAATGAAGTTCACAATAATATTGTCCTTTTGCCAACAAACTCAGTTATATGAAATAAATAAGTTACACTCTAATAAAATACTTTGAAGCTTATTTCATAAAATAATCTTTTAAAGTTGGTTCTAGTAAATAAATTATGGTATGCAGTCTACAGATTTATCTAATTGATCAAACATTGAACTGGAAGACAAAATAGAATGTTTAGCTAATTCCATTCATAACTTGAAAAATGTTTATGCTCTTTTTCAAACCATACCCTAAGATTTCTTCACATTTTTAAAATGCCCAATGTTAAATATCAAGAACGAAATGAAACAAAACAGCTTTATCAAGGTTACACATCGTTACATGTACTATATTCTCTTAATTCTTAATAATTCAAAAACAAATGTGACACAAAATTAACATACTCTACACCAGTTATATTACAATAAGTTCTTAACAAATAAAACATTTCTTTTTATAACGTGGCAAGTTAAAGGTTGAAAGTAAACTGCAGTAACACATCATATTATAACATTTAGTTGGTATATTTTCTCCAAAAAATCTAAATTATTATGTATACTAAATGTATTTCCCTCTTAAAACAAGCAATCTATTAGAATTCTGTTTCATACTGTGTATGTGTAGGTTGATTCTATAATGTATTATATAACATGACATTTTTGTTGTTTATAAACAACAAACATTTGTGGTTTTCTTGTAGGCTACGAAACTAAAGAACCACGAAAATAAATACAACAAATTTAATTGATATACTTTACTAATCTTTGTTTATATGGGAATTTATGAAACTTGTACCACAAAATGATCTAAATAGCTTCAAGCCACGAAAGAAAATACCCACGAACATTTCATGTTATACAGTATTGTGTATCTACTGTGTTATTTTGTCCAAAACGGCTGTTTTTCTAACACTCAGGAACAACCTGCATGGTCAATGATTTTCATATGATAGATCCATGCAAATGTTTCAGAACAAATATATTATTTTTAACGTTTCATTGCAAACCAAAGTGTCCAAATGAAAACCTTAGACTAACTCTTCATGACAAGCTGTCAAATGTTTGTTTTACATAAAATAGAAAGAGAAATAAGCTACAACAGAAGCAGCCCTCTACTGCTCTAAAGGAGGAGGAATACAATCCCTCTGTTTATAGTCTTTAGTGTTATAACATCACTACACAAATCTTAGAAAAGTAACATGTTATAATACCCATTATGTGGAGTAGACATCACCACTCATCACTTCATAGTGAATGGCCAATGGTGGTGGCTTCCTCTGCTTCATTTTAAGATCAAAAAGATTATGTGCATGTTACATAGAGAAATCATATGATAAATAGAATCTGGAATTTGTTCCATTTTCATCCTAAATGTATAAAACTCACTGCAGCGTGTTTCCTGTCATATATTGTCAGATCGTCAATATACAACAGCTGTAGATACAATTTCGTATTTGATAACGAAGTACAAATATGTATTTTCTAAAGTGTTGACTTTAAAAAATTGCTGATTATATCATATGTCCATGTTAGTTAAATGGTCAAACTGTCTATTTTTGCCTTTGGTTGAAATATGCTGAGTACAGCTATATGTACACGAATCAACATCAATGATTATAATTATTTACGTAACTGGACATCATTTTTAAGATGCAATACAACCAGAAGAAAAACAATAACATCAAAATATTTAACAATCCAAATTTAACAGAAACATATTGGAATGGGTTTTTGTGTAGAACAAACAAGTTTAAGCTGATACTTCCAAAGTAACATATGAACATAGCTAACAACAGAAAACAAATTTCATGAAGACATCAGTTTCTTTTCACTAAATTATCTCCCCTTGTTATGAAAGTTACATTTTCACAATAAAAATTGGTGGATATGAACAATATCTTCCACATATCTTTCAAGACCTTCTCTATAACCTGTACTTTAAAAAAATTGTACCTGTATGTGCCCGAAGTGATGCTAGGTTAGAGGTGGTCAGAGCTACAGTACTTAAAAACATTTATTTCCTAAGTTAGAACATTGACCTATCATTGATAATATTTTCATTGATTTAACAGTCCTTGTCTTCTTTACATGATAATTATTCATACAGCATCACTTTCTGTCTAACAGGATCTCCTGTCTCCATCACATAACACTATAGTGATTACATAACGCATGGTCACAATGGAAAGGAATGCAGATATTGTGTGGGGTGGTCTATAGGAATTGCAATGTTTTGTAAAAAATGAAATGACAAGATGCAGTCCCATAAAAGTTGTTTCTGCTGGAGAGGAATTAATGAGAGATGAAGTTTTCCCATCCTCAGCTGTGGAGGATTTTGTCTGATCATATGTCCAAGTCTTATATAGTATAGTAGGACATTTTCCAGTTCCCTCACACCCACACCCCATTAGGGTTCTTGCTGACGGAGAGGACTTTACTGAGAGGACTGGCAATATACTTCCTCCCTCCCAGGCCGGGGTGAGGTGAGAGACGACCCTCCAAGGCTTGCAGCACAGCTGTAAACAAATACCACATATTTAGTCATAATAGATCAGGTTGATGGTAATTTTGTTCTGTCAATGAACAAACATTTTTTAAAGTGGACAGTAAAACTAATAATAATGGTTAAGTAGCCATATTACACTGTCTGTTAATACTACACTGTCTGTTAATACTACACTGTCTGTTAATACTACACTGTATGTTAATACTACACTGTCCGTTAATACTACACTGTCCGTTAATACTACACTGTCTGTTAATACTACACTGTCTGTTAATACTACACTGTCTGTTAATACTACACTGTCTGTTAATACTACACTGTCTGTTAATACTACACTGTCTGTTAATACTACACTGTCTGTTAATACTACACTGTCTGTTAATACTACACTGTCTGTTAATACTACACTGTCTGTTAATACTACACTGTCTGTTAATACTACACTGTCTGTTAATACTACACTGTCTGTTAATACTACACTGTCTGTTAATACTACACTGTCTGTTAATACTACACTGTCTGTTAATACTACACTGTCTGTTAATACTACACTGTCCGGTAATACTACACTGTCTGTTAATACTACACTGTCTGTTAATACAACACTGTCTGTTAATACTACACTGTATGTTAATACTACACTGTCCATTAATACTACACTGTATGTTAATACAACACTGTCCGGTAATACTACACTGTCCGGTAATACTACACTGTCCGTTAATACTACACTGTATGTTAATACAACACTGCCTGTTAATACTTCACTTTTAATACTACACTGTCTGTTAATACTACACTGTCTGTTAATACTACACTGTCTGTTAATACTACACTGTCTGTTAATACTACACTGTCCGGTAATACTACACTGTCCGTTAATACTACACTGTATGTTAATACTACACTGTCCATTGATACTATACTGTCTGCTAATACTTCACTGTTAGTACTACACTGTCTGTTAATATTACACTGTCAGGTAATACTACACTGTCCAGCAATACTACACTGTCCATTAATACTACACTGTCCGTTAATAGTACACTGTCTGTTAATACTACACTGTCCGGGAATACTACACTGTCCGTTAATACTACACTGTATGTTAATACTACACTGTCCATTAATACTATACTGTCTGCTAATACTACACTGTCTGTTAATACTACCCTGTATGTTAATACTACACAGTCCGTTAATACCATACTGTCCGTTAATACTACACTGTCTGTTAATACTACACTGCCTGTAAATACTTCACTGTTAATACTACACTGTCTATTAATACTACACTGACTGTTAATTCCACACTGTCTGTTAATACTACACAGTCTGTTAATACTACACTGTCCAGTAATACTACACTGTATGTTAATACTACACTGTCCATTAATACTACACTGTCCGTTAATACTACACTGTCTGTTAATACTACACTGTCGGGTAATACTACACTGTCTGTTCATACTACACTGTCTGTTAATACTATACTGTCCGGTAATACTATACTGTCTGTTAATACTACACTGTCTGTTAATACTATTCTGTCCGGTAATACTACACTGTCTGTTAATACTATACTGTCCGGTAATACTATACTGTCTGTTAATACTACACTGTCTGTTAATACCATACTGTCCGGTAATACTACACTGTCTGTTAATACTATACTGTCCGGTAATACTATACTGTCTGTTAATACTACACTGTCTGTTAATACTATTCTGTCCATTAATACTATACTGTCTGCTAATACTACACTGTCTGTTAATACTACACAGTCTGTTAATACTACACTGTCCGGTAATACTACACTGTCTGTTAATACTACACTGTCGGGTAATACTACACTGTCTGTTCATACTACACTGTCTGTTAATACTATACTGTCCGGTAATACTATACTGTCTGTTAATACTACACTGTCTGTTAATACTATTCTGTCCGGTAATACTACACTGTCTGTTAATACTACACTGTCGGGTAATACTACACTGTCTGTTAATACTACACTGTCTGTTAATACTATTCTGTCCATTAATACTATACTGTCTGCTAATACTACACTGTCTGTTAATACTACACAGTCTGTTAATACTACACTGTCCAGTAATACTACACTGTATGTTAATACTACACTGTCCGTTAATACCATACTGTCCGTTAATACTACACTGTCTGTTAATAGTACACTGACTGTTAATTCCACACTGTCTGTTAATACTACGCTGTCTGTTAATACTACACTGTCCGTTAATACTACACTGTCTGTTAATACTACACTGACTGTAAATTCCACACTGTCTGTTAATACTACACTGTCTGTTAATACTATACTGTCCATTAATACTATACTGTCTGCTAATACTTCACTGTAAGTACTACACTGTCTGTTAATATTACACTGTCAGGTAATACTACACTGTCCAGTAATACTACACTGTATGTTAATACTACACTGTCTGTTAGTACTACACTGTCTGTTAATACTACACTGTCTGGTAATACTCCACTGTCTGTTAATACCACACTGTCTGGTAATACTACACTGTCTGTCAATACTACACTGTCTGTTCCCTGTGTATTTACTTCAATACTACACTGTCTGTTAATACTACACTGTATGTTAATACTACACTGTCCGTTAATACCATACTGTCCGTTAATACTACACTGTCTGTTAATACTATTCTGTCCATTAATACTATACTGTCTGCTAATACTTCACTGTAAGTACTACACTGTCTGTTAATATTACACTGTCAGGTAATACTACACTGTCCAGTAATACTACACTGTATGTTAATACTACACTGTCTGTTAATATTACACCGTCTGTTAATACTACACTGTCTGTTAATACTGCACTGTCTATTAATACTACACTGTCCGGTAATACTACACTGTCCGTTAATACTACACTGTATGTTAATACTACACTGTCTGTTAATATTACACCGTCTGTTAATACTACACTGTCTGTTAATACCATACTGTCCGGTAATACTACACTGTCTGTTAAGACTACACTGTCTGGTAATACTACACTGTCTGTTTATACTACACTGTCTGTTAATACTACACTGTCTGTTAAAACTATACTGTCCGGTAATACTACACTGTATGGTAATACTACACTGTCTGTTAATACTACACAGTCTGTTAATACTACACTGTCCAGTAATACTACACTGTATGTTAATACTACACTGTCTGTTAATACTGCACTGTCTATTAATACTACACTGTCCGGTAATACTACACTGTCTGTTAATACTACACTGTCTGTTCCCTGTGTATTTACTTCATATGCAAACAATGAGCTGATTATATAATTATCCGTGAAAAATTTCACAAACCATTTCTCCATTCATTTAATATATATTCCATATGCATTAAAGTACTTGGAACAGATAAAATATTATTAGAAATACAGAATTTGACAGTAACATCAGGATCCTTGTAATCTCTCTATGAACATTGGATACAATATTGGTTTCTTGATATTGTACATCACTGATTTAATACTAATTGATCTATTTCATTGTTATTGGTTTGGTGACACTAATACTAGTAAAAGTTAAGTAATTGTAGCCAGACTTTGTGCTCACAAAAAAACTTACAAACCATATACAATGTATATCTCCAAATGATTTGTATATACACTGGTCTTAACATGGCTTTGAAATTAAAGTTGACATATATATCATCAGAGATTCCAAGGCTAAGATTGATATATCAATCACAATGGAATATTGTAATTAGATCTAACAATTTGGTTTATACAAACCACTATGTACTGATGTTCACTATACCCTATGCTTTCTGACTGCAACAGAGTTACCTACCCTTGCCATTTTTTCCAGACTTCTCTCCTTTACCGACCATGTTAAGCTCCTGAATGTTGACTTCCTTTATCTGTTTCTCCAGAGTTTCAACTTCCTTGCTCTGGCTTTCTTTTTTCTCATCTGAACTTTTTAATTCTTCTTCAACCTCCTCCATGCATTTTGAGTCTGTATTAAATGTTTTTACACCTTTTTCCAATTCTCCCTTGACATCCTCAGCATCCTTTCTAATTTGAGTGATCTCCCTTTCCTGTTCCTGCCTGCACTCCTCCAGTTCCTGTTTTTCTGAGGTGACCTGTTTTTCAAGTTCCGAAATCTTTTCATTGTTAATTTCAAGGTCCTTAACACAAGTGTCAGTTTTGTCTTTAACAATAAGTATATCAGATCTGTAGGATTTCTCCCGGGTTTTCTCCGCATTGATTATGTCAACCCAACTGACAGCTGCGAGTTGAACCACTTCAGCCTCGTTCTGATTGTAGGTCTGCTGTAGACACGTCATCTCCTCCCCGATGCTGTGTTTCTGGTCTAGACTTTGACGATCCTCATCCTCCAGGCTTACCAGTTCTGTTGGCAAGTAAATATAATAAAAAGATAAATATAATCATATTTGTAATATTGTCTTTTTATATCTTAAATGTATTCTCTAATTCTACATATCTGTGTATTGTAACTGTTTAATATGTACATGAATGAGAGAAGGAAAATAATAAACAACAGGTCGGACATATCATAATGTAAATATCCTACATTCCTCAATATGTATTTCAGATTAATTCAAGAGTGAATGGTCATTTAAAAACAATTAAATGAGGAAAATTTATCTCTTGATATTCTTGTTGCTTATTCAAATCATCACATCAGAGTTATTGGAAAGAGAGCCTAAAAATAAATGTGCATGAAAATGAAGCAATTCGGAGAATTTAATTTTTTACTACATATGCATGCTCTGTGAACGTTTTATGGCTGACAATTTAATGTAACTTGATTGAAAACAGATGTAAAGACACTATAACATACCTGTATCTATCATCTGTAACTGGGACTCCTGCATTCGTATTCTTTCCTGTTGCTGGGACACAAGTCTCTGCATCTTCACCACCTGAGGGTCAGGTTCAAGGACCTCTTTGACACCCACTAACGCACTTCCATTGTGGTGATCATCAGGCATGGTGTATTCTTCAATCAGCACCTCCTTACGGGAGTTTTTAAGAACATCTGGAAAGTTACTGTCAAGGTCATATTCCTCAACCTCACTGTTGACAGGACGTGCGTGGTATACAGGGAGACTGCCTATTGCATGTGCTGGCTGAGTCAGATCAAGGCTGTCAGCCCTTGGTTTCTGTGGAACCGGTTGAAATGCTGAAGGTCGCGAAACACGATTCTGCACCAAAGGCAAGATAGAAATACTGCTTTCATTGTTATTGTTGCTACCTATACTTGGTTTAACATTTCCATGGGTATTGGTAATGCCAGAACTGTGTTGATGAGAGAATGAATGATTGGTTGTTTTGCTATGAGATCCTCCTGCCTGCTGGAAATTATTGTAAGGGGAGGCAACTCTATGGTGCTCAGTTCTGTGCTGAGCCTGACGAGTCCGAGGCCCAGTTTGCTGTAGTAAAGAAGGATGTGGATCTGGATTTACATGAGTTCTTTCCCTTGGATACACATTTTCCCCCTGAACTTGGGAATGGAGCTGAACACGGGGGTCAAGGTCAGAGTTTACACTATTATGGCTATTAAGGGGTAGAATATTTGGTTGAGGTTCTCCTCCTTGCGTAGCTTTCAAGCGAACACCAACCCCATAAACTGGATTCTGTTTAACCTCTCTGTGCCGAGGCAAGATTGGTTGAGAATTTACAGAACTGGTTTCATGTTTGTCTAAGTTCTTTCCCATCTGTAAATATCTCTGACGCGGCCGTGCTGCCTCAGGCGCGACATGATGAGCACCACTAAATGTCAATGACTTACGAATCCCTGTGTCTCGGGGAGCAGAGGTCAAGTTTATTTTTGGTTTGTTATTCTCCTTTTGTTGATTTGTAGGTGGAATGTCTGTCTTTTGTTTCCCAGAATGCTTCAACAATAATTGCACCTCCGTGGCATATTCCCCCCATTTCTGTAAAATCTTCACGGGACATTCATCTGGTAAAAGAGGGCGCTCATTTTCCCTCCATTTCTCAATGAGCGTGAAACGCCCTGTTTTGCCCATGGCGTGGGCAAGAGCAATGACGACATCCTGACAGGTGGAGGTTTCTGTCACCCCACACACAACCCGTAATATTCCATCCACTCGAACTTTTAACTCCATTACGAAAATAGTATCAAACACAAATCACCGGAGATCTGCAAATTAGCTGAATGAGTTGGTAGCTTCCCCATGGTGACTGTAAGAGAAAAGAAGAATGTTAAAAAAATACCAAAATTGTCACCACTACTTGGATGATTTTTGATTACCTATTAGTCTTATTTATTCCACAAAGTCAAACAATAATTTGATACAAAACATCAAAGTCTGAAAATGATAATCTGTTTACATGTACAGTATATACAAACTGCAGGTAGTCAACTATGTTATGTTCTATGTCTAAACTGTTACAGTACAGTACAGTAAATGTCAGGTATACCCCAATATATTCATCTGTACCATGTCATCAATGTTGTCATTATCAGTATGACACTGTATTACATTAAATTCAAAAATGGTATTGTTCAACAATTGTTTCGTTATTGTGAAAGTCCTATGTAAATGTGATGTATCGGCAAAGATCTGGTATACTAAAGTGGAGTATACAAACAGTCTAAACGCTAGGATGCACAGAACGTCATTCACAAATAGACACACTGCTGCACACACGTTACACTAAATGCATCCCATCAGATCATGTTTTGTTACTATTCCATGAGAAAAAAATATGCAGTTATGTAAATATAAAGAACATGGTGTTCATATATCATGATACTGATACACATTATTTAAATTGGTCCCAGATACGGTCATACCATGCACATTATGTAAATAAGTCGAATATAAATTCCTTGTATCATGTCAGATGCTCCCTAAAATTAATGCACGTATACTCTATCAAATGACAAGTTACGAATAGAATTTGCATAAGATATTAAAAATATCCGGAGTGACTATGATGCATGTACCAAAGTGTAGGCATACAAATGTCTACCATATACACAATGGATATAGGTAAGGCGTAGATGACCAAGCAAATGCATGTATATATACACCAGTATGACACCAAAGCACTGAGGATATGTATCCTATGATGGACCAGAAATCCCCAGCAGCTTATAAAACTGTTCATCAGAAATCCAATGATTGATTTGAAATATGATGCATCAATGACATCAAAGCCTATATACATAGGTAAAATGTACTTCTACATCTCACAGTATATCAACAATCGTCTTTAGCCAGCCGCGGATGAACCATTCTGTCACCCGGTCACTGGCCGTATAACAAATGTGTCCGGCTTTCCTCCACATTAACTCCACAGATCTATCAGGATCAGGACCCTGGGGTTGAAAGCCTGATCAGCTCTACACAAGTTCATGGAAATTGTTTGTGTAGTCTTTTTTTCAAAATTAATGAATTACATATCTCAAACAGCATGATTATGCATGAGATATGATTATCCTATGACAAGAAACAGAAATATTCATATTTTTTAGGATGTTCTCTAATAACTGTTGGTATGACATATTGTCATTAAGCTGACATAGTATCAAACAGCAGGGACTGAGACAGAGGCTCTTCCTCTGAACATCTAATGGGTTGTGAATGGGGGAGCTCTTCCTTGGACCCACCTAATGGATTGTGTAAGAGTTCGACTTCCTCCGACCCTAACCACTTAATCGATTGAGATAGATAGAGTCGGACTTCCGCACAGTTTTGGGATAGTCCTAGGTATATCCTATCAATATAATATACTTAACCCACTCACTATCTTTTGAAACATCCAGATTATTTTGTTGTTGTTGTTTTTTTAACAGGAAGCCTCTATGAGTCATTTAAGAGATCAAATACACAATGGGAAATATTTTCACACAGGTGTTGGCACTATATAAGCACATGTATAAACACCACTTCAGCTACTACCTATATACAATATCAAAATAATTAATATTTAATATATATATTGTACTCGGAAAGCAGTTAAAAATATCTTTGTTCCCAGTATCTCACCCTACATTTACTTCAGATACATACGTACCCTATATGAATTTTGTTTTTAAATAGGCACAGTAACGTCCAGTTATCTAGATCTCCTTCAATGACATATGTAAAGAGATTGCAGGTACTCGTATTAGACGATCACAATCTCAAAGTTGTCACAATACATAGGACTATTTGGAGACAAACTACAGTAGGTTATGTAAAAGTTGTATGAAATGGTAATGAGGTAAATTTTACTTGTATCTATGAAATACCCTGATGAGTGGTACAGATGCCCTGACGTGTGCGAGAAAACAATAGGTCTATAAATACCAGACATCAACGTTGTGTCCACTGTTTATGATGTAGTACCCCGAGAATCTCCTGACAGATTATCACCGTCAAATCTTCATTGATTACATTTATTTACCTGTCATACATCACCAAGGTATGATTTCACACCCAAACAAAAGTAAAACAGTCAGGTATACACTCTAATCAAGCCTACTGATTCTCTGTCAATAACACTATAGTACATTACTGCCACCCACATTATCCCTGGCCGTACAAAAATACTAGCTGTGTGTACGCTACCACGCCACTTCATTACAGGAAACACAAAAAGGAAATCACCTTGAAATTAATATTGATATCCACAAAAACATCATTTAAATCTGAATGTTATGGCATATCATCAATATATAGATCACCTCATCCATCTTCAGGTCTCGTAAAAGCACATACACAGTATGTACATTATATCTTTCATAGACGTAAGTTTTCATCAGCATACTGAATTGGTGTGTACATACTGTGTACTGGTACAATTATCACATTATACAGTAACATTAACAAAACTACATACCATTATCATCTACAGTATGTATATATCTTACTCTATATGATGCACTAAGTATAAATTCACCTGCCAGTATGTCCTGTATATATATAAGGCTGTAATACTACAGCAAGTGTCAAAAACGTGTCCTCTTTTAACCTAATAAAGTGAATCATGCAACAAGGAAACTTGGAAACTCTATATTTCCTGTTTGAAATTAGAACTTTTCAATCCAAGGTTATATATCAATGTCTCTTTACCAAGGTATTACCATACTGTTTCCTGTATTTGATTGGGAGTCTTTGTCAGTCCTTGTGGCATGTGGCAGTATACAGGCAAACTTTTCCAATGTTTGAACAGTATTGAAATTTTAATCATAGTGCCCATGAAAAACTTGTGATCAATACTAAAAAGCATTTAATTCCTTCTTTTGAGAAAAATCAAAGCCCCTAAAATCTTGTTTACATTTAATTATTGAACACACAGACCCTTAATCTACGGGTTTATCTGGTCTGACCGTAACAGCTGTTATATATCAAAGCAGGTAGTTATTAATTTTACTAGTAATTTAGATTTCTTGTTAGGACAGCATGACAATATAACACACAATGCACTAGTGCAGGAAGTACTGCATTATTCATACATATATAACCCTCAGAAATAGTCATCAGTGTATTCAGGTAAATAACATATTAAATGTATCTTCCTTACATACCACGGTATGACATATTTCATCTATGCAAGTCAACATAATATAGACTGAGCTGGCAATCAATACAAACATGTACATATACTTAAGCATGTTAACGTTGCCAGTCTGCTTTAATTTCCCAGCTCTGAAGACTTTTTAATGAAGTGGCTCATTAGATGACATATTAGACATACCGTATTTATCCAGCAATAAGCCCATGCCTGGTAATGTGCCCACCTACAGTCAAACTTTCATAAATCGAACTTCGAAGATTGAAACTTTTCGGTGTGTCGAACATACGACAAAGTCCAGATTTGTTCCCTTATATAACAAATGCCTTAGCCTGTGTTTCGTCACATTTTTTAAAGAATCATCTTCTGTCTTATTTACAGGATTTTGATGTTCAATATTCGTGAGTCGAAGTCCCAATGTTTCATTTTTTTCTAGATGGTCGCGCAAAGTTTGAAACATCAAAGTTTGACTGTATATGTACAACCTTTGAGTAGACATGTTGGCAAATGCTATTTTGTTGTCATATGTAAGAAGTCCATCCCCTTGACTTTGAGTCGGAGATTATTATTGGACTCCCAGGCTTTTTGATAGATAAGTACAGTAGTATCTTGGGTATTAACGGGACTGTATCAAAATAGAACAGGTGGTTTACATGGCAAGTACCATACTAGGGCTGGTGGTAATGACAGGTGGTGTACACAGTACTTATAATAGGAGTAAAGATTTCCTTCTATGGACATTAAACCTAAGTACTGTAATTCTAAGATAAAGTAAAGTATCATTAATGAGTTTTTAATCTATATAGCAACCTTAGGCCTGGTATTTTTAAGTTAAATTTTTTCTGTATAATACTGATCAGATTTAATTGCGTTGATCATCTAATGACATGGGATTGGTATTGAAACACTTGGATAAGACAAAATACTACAAATGAATAACAAGGCTTTGCAGACAATAATAATACTCTCCTGACTACAAGTGATCAGAAATGTACTCAGCAACACATAAGTTTCAAACCAGTAGAGCAATGTCAACAAAATTCTATTTATAGTAACAGTGACCTTGTTTTTTACCCAAGAAGGTTAAAATTAGAACATTTCATGAAATTTCACAACCATTGGATAAAAAAAGGGCGCTGAGATCATTTAGGATACATACGAGACATGTACAGGCGTATCCTTATATACCCTGAACGACACGTCGCAGGGGTAAATAACACTTTTTATTATTAAGACCTTGTATTTTTTAATTTAAACTGCATAGTATATATCACTCATGTGTTCATTTGTTTTTAATAACGTGTTGGATACAGTCTTATTTCTATAAATCATCTGTACATGAATTATTTACATATTTTAGGTTCTCGTGTCAAACATACTTAGCTTTAAAAATCTGTTAATGGCAAGTGAATACCAGCATTAAATGACTAAGGAGTACCAGTGTTACAATCAGTTTTATCTGTATTTATTTTAGACACCTGAAGGTTTAAATGTATCAATGTACTATAATACCTATTCTGTATCCATATTCAAACTAAAATGATTATACTGCAGCAATTTGTTTTTACAAGACATAGTATAATAATCGTATCATAATATAAAAGGCTATCTGTTGATAGAGCTTAGTACTATAAATTGTACATACCAGGTATAGGTTGAATGTGGTCCTGGTCTGGCCTACACACACAGACGACTGAGGAGGAGGAGGAGGAGACAGAGATGGACAGGAGGGGCCTACAACAATGGGTGATTACTGCCAATTAGCACTGGTTATCTGGTCACAGACCGCAGGTGTCTGGTTCGTATCAGTTACAGCAACAGTAGGGGCACCAGTGGGGAAATCATATTCTGACTAGACTGTCTTTTAACTAGAGTAGGTCTTACACATGTTGGTTGACCTACGGTCAAGAGGTTGTAGACTTGCTAAAGTCAATATATAGATTGGAAAATAATCGATAATCATAGAGAGTAATAGCCAGTCCATATCTGGACCTGCCATTGACTACATAATAACTCAAACAGCCAGCCATCTACATGTACAATAACAGGGAAGTCAATCATCAGCCTTTGTTGGCCTCATTCTTAAAGGGAAATATTTAAGTTACATACAAGTAAAGCCCCATTATGAACATGTACATAACATGTTAAATACATTAAAAATTCATGAAAAGATATCTTCCTAGTAACCACTTTCCTTTCCAAATTATCACTATCCCCTTCATACCAACCTAATTAGTACTCTGTCAATTATGTTCCCTGTGTGTCCCCGTTGAAAACCTTATTGTATGATTTTACAATACAACACTGACCAGACAGGCTGCCCAACCCAGGACAACTGGATTCCATCACTGTCATAGCACTATAACTACTTTTATCTTGTGAGGTTAGAAAATCAACACGTTTTACTTTATTTACAGGTTCCATGTCACTCTGAAATACCAATGTTATCATTTTTATTTTGGACTCTGAAACATTTTGTCATATGAGTTATCAGGTAATTTACATTCCACACACATGTTCATAATACCATTGACCTATCTGCAATCGAATATTTATCAGCAATCTTTAGTTAGAACACCTGGATCGTGCAATATACACTTAACCAACAAATGCTTTCATCACGTGATTTATTCATCAAACAACCAGTATCAGATATTTCATCGTGACAGCACTTTAAAATGGCCTGTGAGTCAGTGAGCTCACTGTGACCAGTAAACATTGTTATCGTCAGACCTTATAATCAGCTATTGTAAAGACCTTAACCCTGAAAAGAAAAACTTGTGTAAAAGTTTAGTGACACTTTTCGTATTATATTTACATGTACATGTACCAAAACTATAGTTTCTTACAGCTTAGGCATATATGTTCATTAAGTTTTTACAGGAACTGAAAGTTGTGTGTTGGTAGAAGCTGGGAAAACACTTGAAAACTAGTAGCATAAGTTATAAAGATCATGCATCATTCCAAAAGGACTCAAACCAATAATTAGAAGTGACTATTATATCTGAAGGGCTGTCTCAACACGCCCCCATCAACAAGCTAGTTTGTTTGTTGTGTGGTCCGTCCTATTAACAGATATGGTCATTTAAAGACATACCAGGTTAGGTGGTGGAGGAAAGCTAGAGTACCTGGCGTTTGCCCAACATAGGCCTGGAACCTGCGACCCAGTGGTAGAGACTAGTGATTGTAAACAGTCAGACGCCTTAACCACTTTGCTACGGGGACCCGACTCCATCAACGAGCAACAAACTGTCTGAAGGGCTGTCTTAAAATTTCCAAACACAATACCTATCTACATGTGAGACTGATGCCACTATGGACCAACAAACACAAAATGTCACTATTGGAGACATACAGTTGGAGATTTCAATCAAATAGTCTGGTACTCAGTACTGTAACCGAATGTCCGTGCTGTTCATGCTAATGACTAAGTCCTGGTGTTGAAGTACTATCTGTACTACACAAGCTTCACACAGTAGGAACAGTTAGTATCAGTGCAGTGTCGGTACATGTACTATACACAACAAAAGAATTCAAATAATTTCTGTGTCATGCCTAAAACCAAGACTTTATAGGAAAGGCATTACTTGACAAAGACTGCATAGTAGGATAACGCTACATGTCTTTATATAGTATATTACAGGAAGACACGCAAGAGCTCCATTTAAACCCATAATGAAAGGCAATAACAAGGAATTTGAATTGAAAAGAAGATTATAGATGTGATTGGCAAAAAAATAACACAATACAATAAAACAGGAAGGTCGAATTACCTCCCCTTTGTCAGCAAAGTCATAGAGGTCATCATGACCACTGTCAATGACATTGAAATGTCTTTTATATTACATGTAAACTTGAGGAGAGAACCTGACACCCAAGGTGACAAGCTTCCTTACAGATGACAGGGAAGGGTAGCTATACCCTTGACGATATTGTACAGAAATGGTGTGTGTTCATTGGCTCAGAGGCTGTGAGGAATGTTATCTGTCACAAGCCCCAATACTCACACAAATGTCTGGCAGGTAAAACAATGGCAGACCTTATAGTACTCCCATTTTTGTGTTAGCTTCATCATTAAAAGATGCACTATTGTAACGTAGGTATCTATATTTATACATGTAGGCCCTGGAGCTTTATAAAGTCACAGTCTGATTTCTACTACCGTAATGCAGTCAGGATATACATATACGGAATGTAAAACAACACCTTATTCCCTTCCTGTCACCAAATAAAATGTGTTCAGTGTCTGCACTGACAATGTTAACTGTATAGTGTATATGTATACCTAGATACCATATACCAATACCTGTTATTATCTACATACACAGATCTATTGACATCCTCTTGATTCAAACAGAAAGTCAACATACATTTTAATATGTTGTATTTGTTCTGATAAAACACTTTCCTATTATCAATTGTTGGTTTTACTAATAAGGGTGAAGTTTGTGAAAAAATATCAAGTCTTAGGGGGGCCATTAAATATTGATGCTGATGTACATTACAACTGTAATGGGTTTTCCCATACATTAGTATCACACACGCTCATTAACTTTTCATAAATAAGGTGCCTCTGACTGGTAGTACGACCGAGACTGATTCCCTGTACCACTATGTACAGGTACTCGGTCTGCAGGTACAGGTAGTACATATACAGATGCCCTATTCTATGTTATACCCAAGCATGGTACTACAGAACTTTAGCTACACATAATACAATAATAAAGTATACATGTATATATGTGTCTACATATTAAAGGGGCCCTAGCTAGATATGGCATTATAGTAAAGAACATTATATGTCTAGGTACCTGGTATTGATCAATCCAATCAAACTGTCTGTCCAGGAAATTCAATTTACAAGTTAATTTCTTCCCACAGCTAATATAAATGGCTGCTGGCTTCAGTTATAATTATTAGTGGTGGGGTATTTCACCAGATCCGCATCTGGTTACAAACTGTGATACACAGGAATACAGTCAATAATTAAAGGGAAGCTTAAGCGATCATATGATCCCTTTATCACTTTAACGATAATAGATATACAACTGTATAAATATAGGATTGACGTTCTGTGTTATGTGTCTAAGTCAACATCTGTGATACATGTCTAAGTCACTATCTGTGATATGTGTCTAAGTCAACATCTGTGATACATGCCTAAGTCACCATCTGTGATATATGTCTAAGTCACTATCTGTGATACATGTCTAAGTCACTATCTGTGATACATGTCTAAGTCACTATCTGTGATACATGTCTATAATAATATAAGTCACCATCTGTGATACGTGTCTAAGTCACTATCTGTGATACATGTCTAAGTCACTATCTGTGATATGTGTCTAAGTCAACATCTGTGATACATGCCTAAGTCACCGTCTGTGATACATGTCTAAGTCACTATCTGTGATACATGTCTAAGTCACCATCTGTGATACATGTCTAAGTCACCGTCTGTGATACATGTCTAAGTCACCATCTGTGATACATGTCTAAGTCACTATCTGTGATACATGTCTTAGTCACAATATTTGATTCATGTCTAAATTACCATCGGTAATTGATGTCAATTAAGTCACCATCACAATAGAAATCAGGATAATAGCTTAATAACTTTTTTATTTCTTGTTTTTCAATTAAAAGTTGTTTAAATGATGAATTCATTCACATTTAAAACAAATTTTGCATTTGAATACAGTATGTATATTCTAAGGTTAACAAAATTCTTAATCATTTCCCTACCAATAATACAAATAGAGTACCTTTAATATCCCTATACTATATATTGACTGTAAATATACCTTCCTTGGTTAAGTCTTACAATGGTTAAGTCTCAGGAAATTCGGAAATTTCAACATGTACCTACCTGGTACATTTACTCCCTGATTTGTGATACTGGTGGGCGAGTGTCGTTAAACTTTGAATACAGGTTTTATTCTAAAGATTTCCAAAGTTGTTTTTGAAAGGAGTATATCCGTTAGCCTGAATGTCAATAAGATTAAATAACAGCAGGTTCCTTTATCAGAAATAAAATAGCAGGACCTGAATTTCTTTCACCTACTCTGCACATATTACCATAGTTTGTATAGGTAATCATGGCTAGAATTCACACCTTTTCCCTTGCAAACCAACCCATTTTGAAGAAAAAAATGTATTTTGCATAAAAAATTACAATTTAATTCAAAATCTAAAATGTGGTAACATAAAGATACACTGTATTCCAGGTGCGGTGGTTAATACGTTCGCAAGTAAATGTTAGATTTGATAACTGTTCTTGATTTAAATTTATCCTTGGAGGAACCTTGTACAGGATATTTGTGTGTATACTGCATTCAGGAGAATTTATATCATACAAAGTCTTTAGAAATCCTATTTCTACAGCTGTTTATCAGCTATTAAATAGTCGACATGTCAGCAGGAGACTGACCTATATATATATATAAAACATTTGAATCGAAACCGAACTGAACCACTGTTACAATATACCTATGCAGATATAGACAGATTTAAATACCATACAGTACACACACAATAAACCTCACACTGTGCATACAAAATGTATCAGTTGATATATTTCTTTTGAAAATTAAAATATACATACAGTGACACATGTCATCAATTTCTGTAATCATACTGCACACACAGCAATTATATTGACAAAAAATACTTTAAAATGAAATATCTGATATTTAACATATTACATATTTAAATTGGAGAAAATTATGAATTCAAATCTCCTACCTGTATTGTCAGCAAGCATAATATATCCAATGTGAGCTGTGCTGTGATGTATTTGACACCTAAAGTTATATGCATTAGTTATATGAGTGGACTCCAGTACAGAAATGACACATGTGGACTGTCCAGACCCTAGTCATACCTGTATACCATACCTGTCTCTGTGAATGTTTCCCTGACAGGTATCCCATTGACACCACACCTCCTTACCTATATTGTAATCAGGACTAAATCCTGCCCCCTACAGCTTCCTGTGGCCCTTGCATGTCAACAAACACTCCACACAACAATGAGAGGACGACCAGCCTTTGTAAGACTGCCCTGCTTTGATACCCTCTGATCCCAGTTAAATCACTAGTACAATGAACTTATGACGATCTCCACGCTGTGTTATAAGCTTCCTGCGTACTGTCATGATTTCCACGCCTCAGTGACTAGCAAAAGAATCTACCAGACACCGTGAGATTCCGCTTCACAGACCAAACTATAGGATGTGGATACAGATTTATGTACAATGTATATACCTATAAACCCATTATAAATTATACCCACATTCAGATCATTACTGTACATACACAGCATATGTCTATGCTACCTATGTGTGAAATGACCAACATAAGGTCATACCCTCGGGTAAAATTTCATGCTCGGTCAGCCATTACAAACTAGGTCAATTGCAAGAAAGCCTTGTTCAACTTATCAGGCACAGTCATCTGGAAGTATTTTCTTTCATTTGTCAGGTAATTATGAAAAAGGAAGCATGTAGTTGTCAGAAAGATGCCCAAGGGGCCTGTAAACCATTAGCCGTGACTACCTACTAATTGAGCTACAATTTTAACCACTATAGCTATCGATAGCTAGGAAGTTAGTGTACATTTACCAAATTGCAATATTTCATCCAAAAATATGGTGACATTTGTATCATTTTTGTCAAATATATTTTAATTGATAAATTAAAACTAAGACAGTAGATAAATTATGCATTGCGCTGAGGGCCATATGAGCATTTAAGGACAGGATGCTCTACAAAACCGCTGACGTATAGCCCCATATGGCGATATTTAATGCTATCAACAAAACCCCTCGGTACCTTCTAATATGTTCTTTGTTCTTGATAAAAAAAAATCCATTAAAACTTTGGTCAAAAGTTTTTATCTCTTGATATCAAGAGGATGATCAAATTAAGACTGGGCAGGGAGCATTGTCCATGAACTTTTAATAGTTTTTCTATGTGCCTCCATTACGAGTTGAACCCAGCACTACAGATGCATGTGATCGGTACCCATTGAGCTTGCCATTGAGCTATAAGAGGAAACACACTCTAGTGAGTCAGTAACAAGCAACTAGATGGTTTACCACTATTGCATATTCCCCTCCAAGAAATAACTTTTCGTTGATTCTTCCTCATTAATCCAGTCCAAAATAAGTATCTCCATTTAAAAAACAGTTCTGATGGGCTGCCCCATCATACTTTTTGAAATGAGATTATCAGTTATTCCAGACTAGAATATATAAGGTTGACAAGATTAATGTACACAGTCCCAATGCAACCAAGGTAATTTTGCCAGGTACCTGATCTACAAGGAATCAGACATGGGACAGTTCCCTCTCGCTGAGTTAATAACTGGTGACTAGATGATTCATTGTTGAAACAGTTAAAATAAACATTCTGTTTAGTATTTCAACAATGGTTACCACTGCCTATGTTGATGTGGCATTTACATATGTCACGAATGTGTCATTCTTACTACCAAAAAAATAAATCATAGTGTAATGGATCACAGTTACTTTACTAACAATCAAAATGTCACTGCATAAAGGCCTAACATCATCAAAAACAACTGGTTTACAAGCACTGGGTGCCATGTCCAAAAATGATGGACTTTGACTGGAAAACAGTTCAAACTATCCAGTAACCGTACTATATCAGCCAAAATATTTAGACTGAATAAAAAATTCATCGCTCCCTTGCTTAACATAGCGATAAAACTAAATGGACCAGATGAAAGCCTCAACAAAAATCATCAAACACTCTTGGATGATTACAAAGTACTTTCAACTATCCGACTCCCTGAGCCTGCATATGTAAACATCTTCAATCAACTGTTTAAAATTCCAATGTATAATAGGTATATGTCACGCCTGTTAGTTAGTGACAAAGGAAGTTTATTTATATAACTTCTGATTTACTCCAAATTATGAATTCCACTTTGGGTATATGATAATTATATAAATTAAAAGTAACTCGGACACTTTTTGTCGGTCAACATTGGCCATGAATGAAGAATCAGTTTGCTTTGCCAATAGTGAATCTGAGACTGTATTACAATAATCCAGCCATTCTGAGTACGGTATGTATTAAATCAATTTTACCTTTAAGGAGGCACGATAGTCTAGTGGTAGGACACCGGGCTCGTGTCCAAAGGGTTGCGGGTTTGGTTCACGGCCGACACTGTGTTTTATCTTTGAGCAAGATATTTTACTCCGTTTGTTCCAGTCTACTCAGCTGTAAATGAGTATGTGGTTAGTCAGTGCTAGGATTGCAGAATGCTAGCTGTGAGTCATTCTGAATTTGTATTAAATCAACTTTCGTTAAAACAGACAACTTTTGTCTACAGTCATTCTTAGCTGGAGTGAAGCATCTCTTTGTATAGAAGTAAGAACATGCAAGGACATACAGGGCAAGGCTCTCTTCATAGTGGACCAATGTGCCAATAGACACTAACATAGCCACGTAAACTCTGATTTAAAGTAAAGCTTTTACATGAAGCAACATATACCTTCACAAGAGTTGAGTCTGGTGTTTCATTTGTTAATGAGGTACAGACTTCTAGTTCAGGAAAATAACATGAAATATTCACCAAGCCACGCTCGTTTGTTAGGTAATGATGTCTGACAGACAGAGTTACCTTAAAATATATATAATTAACAACAATTTACGGCTATAAGAGAATACATAATGTCTATATAATCTCAATATCATTATGAATTATGTAAAACTTTTGGTATAACCTTGTAACATGATGTTCCTCTTAGATTTTTATGTCCTTCAGACATGCATGCTGCTGCATGACATTTCTTTTTTGTGTACCGTATATGACCGCAAATAAGCCCCCACCCCTAGTGAAAAAACATAGACACAAAGTAGGGAGGGGGCTTATTTGCGAGCAACCCCCCTGTTCACAAATGCCCGCCATGTTGGATAAATACCACTGTTTTGATCTATGACCACACTAAATATCATGTACTTATACACTGTAGTTTTTTTAACTAACAGACAGAATATTTAATAAGTCACTAAAAGTTGACTAGTCGATGGTGCTGTTGTTTTTCTGAACTTATTTTCTATCATCAACTGGTCTCAATAATTCAATTTTATCAACCATCATTTTTATATTTTTTTTATTGATTAGTCAATCAGTACTCTTTAAGACACATTACCAACATTCAGAGGTGTAAACAATTTAATAGCACGACGATCAGGCACTCTGGTGTTTGGCTAGCGCCATTACATGTACCGTACTATATAGCTAGTCCAATAGACGAAGAAATTTGAGTATACAAGGCTGGTATATGAAATTGATGCCAGGAACATATATATTTGTGTGTGTATAGATATATATTTATATCAACTATGTAATCCTATAAGAACTGCCTGAGAAATGAAGGCAATTCAATGCTTAACCAATAACTTCTGATTTCATAATTCAAATAACCAGACTACAAATAGAAACAAATTTGAAGTCATAAAGTTAAAAAAAATATAGATGACTTTAAATCAAAACATTGAAAAACTTGATCATTTTGCAAACTTTTCCTTGTTTGGAGTCCAACATTTAAATGCACTATAAAATTTGAGTGATATATAATCCAGGGAAAGTTGGACTATACTGTGACCAAAGTTCCCCCAGTAAGGAGCGGATTGTTCAGTAGATTAGATAGCTTTCATTTCACCACTAGTGACTTACACATGGAAAACTGTGTTGTGGTCAAAATCTTCAAAATCTTCGAATTCTCATTCACTGACAGAGATTACTTTCAGCCACTAATGAAGATCGCTCTAACAGATAATCTCACAGTAAGATCATGCATTGTGATTATTGTCACTGATTGACAACATATACATTTAACTAGAGATTTAAACAAATCTGAGTCATAGTTTCTGTCCTTGTATAAAAGTGAAATAAACAAAATCTGTACTTGTCCACAGATTTTATCTAGTCCAATTTTAAATCCCAACAGTTATTGAACATGTACAGATATTTGATACTTGCCAGACTAAAACCTCACCACATTTCAATAGTATATTGTAGCTATACCACTTCCATGTTTCTCTATATGTAGCTTCCCGGCCCTCACCACATGTCTACCGTATATACACAGGTCTGGCTTATTGATATGTTGTATCTCTTAGGTGGTCTTTATAGACAGGTCTGACTACTTTTATGTTGTCTCCCTTTGGTGGTCTTTATAGACAGGTCTGGCTTCTTTTTACGTTGTCTCCCTTTGATGGTCTTTATAGACAGGTCTGACAATTGTCTATGTTGTCTATTGGGTGGTCTTTATAGACAGGTCTGACTATTGGGTGGTCTTTACAGACAGGTCTGACTATTGTCTATGTTGTCTCTATTGGGTGGTTTTTATAGACAGGTCTGACTATTGTCTATGTTGTCTCTATTGGGTGGTCTTTATAGACAGGTCTGACTATTGTCTATGATGACTCTACTTTTTTACGTTGTCTCCCTTGGGTGGTCTTTATAGACAGGTCTGGCTACTTTTTACGTTGTCTCCCTTGGGTGGTATTTACAGAGGTGTTTGACTTAACATTCTATGAAAAATAATAATAACTAGCTTTGTTCAGTTTCTCTAGAAAAGTGATTATGTGTTATGGATACTGAGTGAGACTATATTGAATGTTGCCAAATTACCATTATTAGCTCTGAATAAGCCAAAGACAGGGAATGTATACCATGATAAGACACTGTACACTGGTACGTACATGCAGTACTTGTTAGTGACCGCTTAGCTAATTGTACACGTCATATGTACATATTATGTCCTTTAAACAGAGGGGCTATAATCATGATTTGGGAATTTGAAACAGACCTATTAATATTTGGCCTTGAAATAGTTTAATGTTTAATTGGTAAAAGTCAATGTATTTCAATCATGATATACATGTATAGCCTTACCGTTTTATGATGTGATCAATTAATTGCATTACACTTGTACATATATGTCAATTACATTATAAGTGTGGAAGCCCGATTTCTATGAATATTGATATGTCTATAATTACATCTATCACTCTGTGCATCTCTTATCAATGCTCTGATAGAGTACAGATAATAACATAACCATCAAATAATTAATTCAATGTTCCCAGTCAGTATAATCAAATGCTGTATACACATATACTGATACCAAAATTGTTGACCCAATTACTTTGTTATAGAAGGACGGACTGTATCTGTGATTATAAGTTTCTATTTATTGTAATATAATTATATTTATGTATAATACCTATAAACTAAAGCTTCCATTTAATTTAGTACACCTTAGACCTAGGAAAACTTAAAACCAAAGATCCTGTGTATACACTACAGGTGTAAATAATAAGGAACTAGCAGAGTTATAAATACCTGGAATGGAATCCAATTACCTGTCACTCTAATCTCATTAAACCATAATCTACCTTAAATAGTATAACAACAACTTTGTGTACCTAGACAGATTGGAGTGTTATATTTATGGAGGAAGTATAATATAGCTGAAGGCTTTGCTTTTTATCCTCTCACAGAACTTTAATAAATAGGTTCTGATGTAATCACGTCAGTGAAATTCCTTAGCATTAATATGTACGTATTGATCAATCGACTTAAGTACAATTTAATGTGACACAATTACTTTCTTTTCCATTTAGTTTTGCAAACATTACTCTCTGATCTTTTAGGGGATCTATGCTCTTGGTCAAACATAATGCGATGTGCTTCAACAAGATCAGTCAGGTTTATATAGAGAAAAACAGTGGTTAAAAGGTTAAATTTTCAGAGGCTTTGAACTAAATCTATGTTTGGAAAATGTCAAAAGGATACGAAATATGAAAACATCTGTTAAGATTTTCTAACAACACTATAAAGTTTAGGCTCGCTAATGAAATAAATGACCTTCATACATTTTTACCTTTATATTTTCATGTTTTATCAGACTACCCGAAAGAAAAACAACACTATTTTCACATGAGGCTAACCAAACTGAACATGGCACTAATAAAGAGAATCTCGTAATCAAATAAGCTGCAGCCAAGTCAATTGATATCACATTATCATCTCCTAATTCAGTAACCTAATTCAGTAACATCCTTTGAAAATATAATAATAAACAGAACACCCTTATTTCTTTGTGCACACCAGTTGTATTTAAACTTGTGTGATTACCTGGTAATACTTTTGTTATATTTTTCATCTAGAAAAAAAGGGAATCTTCTTTATCTAATAGACAGTGTGAAATCAGTGAACGAAACATTCCAGCAAACAGTTCTTGTCAGATATCACAAAATGTAACCATTTCATCACAATTAAGACCAAGTTACTGAAATTAACAGACATTTTTGATATCTAAGTCTGTGTTAGAACACATACATCAGATTATATATGTATCAAAAACAGAGGTATGAGCTATGAACTAAAGAATTAAAAAAAAGTCACTAGCAAACGAATCAATATTACCTTACATTTGTAGTAAATATATCCTTTCAGGTATACTCATGTTTGTTTTTATTTATAAACACAATCAGACATTGCTTAATTTTAATTTGGGTGATGAACTCTAGCTGTTAATCATTAAAGTGCTGTAGATTGATAACACTGACAAATGCCTAGGATTTGATCAGTAAATAATTATTGTAATACATATTTTGTGAAGAGCTGCAAGTCTGTTGAAATATGTTTTAGATATGTGTTGTATTAGTAAATGCTAAATTTATATAGAGGTTGACATAGAGAATTCATATAAAAATGTTATCCTTAATGTATATATGTACCTTTACCTTTATATATGTGGTTCACCCTCTGGTCAGATGAATATATTTATCCATCATCACATTTTATAAATGACAGAGACTTGACCAGTGTAAAAGGTCATGCAGCGATAAACATCCCAAGGCACTGTCCATATGACAGATCCAAATCAAGGTAAATGTAGGTTACAAATCCCAGCACAACTTTCCCATGGAGTATATTCACTAACGCAATTATAGAGGATGGGCAGCGTTTTAGTCCAGCCCTGCATGCGTAATTGATACACATATACAGTTACACACACTAGAATGTATCAGAGGTCTAACTAATGCATGATGGACAGGCCGGTCACCCACAGGTAACACAGGTTACCTGTGCAGGTATAAACCCCTAGCTGTGTAAACACTGGGGCCTCCCTGTGGTCACTCCAATTACAGACTGCGTACTTGAGATAGCACTAATACCCTGTACAGACAGTCTTTGTTTTCCTAATAAGACTAGCTGTTGTAGAGTTTACCTGGGTAGATTTACAGCCTTATCTGTGGACTGGGACAGGATTAGGATCAATGGACTCTCGTGGGCTGTTTGATAACTGGGCAGTACCATGTGGGCTGACACATTATGATTAACTTGTTTTCACAAATATTCGGCTATGCTAAAAGTGTGGTACTTATATTGAATCATTTTTGGATTTCAAGAACACAAGTAATTTTGTATAAATAATTTTGAGAGTGTCACAGATGGTGAATTCCTTTCCTATTTCATCATTTCTTAACAATATTTTATCCTTGCGGTTCATGATATTTTATATATTTACTGACAACTTAATCATTACTTTTGCAGAACAGCTTATTAATTGACAAACAAATCTACTGTTGTATCACGGAATTAGATTAGTTATCTAAGTCCGTGGTTGTATTGTATAATTTTAACAATCCATTTGGTTCTTTTTATTTTAACACTTTATAAAAAGCATTGGAAAATCATGGCAAAAGTCTGAGGACGTTTAAATTGAGGAAGCTCTTTTATTTATGTTTTTTTATAGTTTCTAAATTCAAACTTCTTTAATAATAAAACAGGAATTCACTTCCAGGTGATAGTTTACAAAAGTATTTGTCATCTTGCACAAGAAAAGGAAAACAGATCTTACAAAGATAACTCAATTACCATATACAGTTGGGCTCGTGCTTCAATATTGAATAAGCTAGGACCCATTTTTTTCAAAAGCATGTATTTTTATTAGAAAGATTGCTCAACAGCACGTAGGTGGAAACATCTGTCTCAAAAAAAAAAGTTGCCTAACTGCGATAAAAAATCATTATCAAATGTTTTAATGACAATCAATCCACCAAAATATCTGAAGTCAGAATCAAAAGAGAATTATAAACTTGACCAAGACATTACATTGATCAATACATTTTTTTGACTGCACGGTCACTACTTAAAATAAAGCTAACATTTTAATACATTTTCCTGTCCATAGTTAATAGTTCTTTCAATAGAAATATGACTATAGTATGCATGAATAATTGTTTTACCACTTACATTCAAACTGCAACCTCCAAGGAACATATGTAATAATCAAACAATCAAGCTCTATTGTTTAAACTTGAAATCAAAAGTAATGGGAAATATAATTACAGCCTATAACCAACACTACATGAATGACTTTACCCCTGCTCCCATACAAACTTTTGGCGGGTCAGCATATCTAAAAGCGGCGTCTTTAGGTCTCGAAGGGATTATGTATGCTTTATATTTTCTCTTACCACTATTTTTGTGTTTGTCATTACTGTCTTTTACAAAAGACATTATTCCCAACACAACTATTTACAAGCCAATTCAGTGCTTAGGAGAAGAAAAAGAAAAAATTGAAATGCACAGACTCGGCTTCAAGCCCAGGACCTAGTGAGTCAGAATTGAAAATGGATTGATATGCTACCAATAGAGCGACCCAGTCCTGTTCCGCTACACAATTAAGCAATTTTGAATTCTTGCTTTAATTTGTTTACCGAGTACCCCTTCAAGTACATGCTCCTAGAAACAGTCATCTGGCCTTATTTTTGGAGTTTTCATCCCTTTATAGACTGTTTCTGCTCTAGCTTCATCATCTTGCTGGACAGGAATTAACTCTGTGTGGAGTGTGTAATTCTAACGGTAACGGGTTGTTTCGCCCTAAATCCCATTCGCGCTGAGGGTTGTTTCTCCCTATTTTTTTTTAATTCATACAATAATATCATAAAACATTAGGGCAAAACAATCTAGGACGAACAGGATTTTGGGCGAAACAACTCGGAACCATTCCTGCGACATGCTGCAAGCTTACCTTACATGCTATAACTTTATCAGCAAAGCAAATAATCATACATCTAAAACCACTTATTTCATTGTTTCACATTTTTTTGTGTATGGACAGTCACATCCAATAGCTTTACAATTTTAGATGTTAACCTATGATCTACTTACAACATCACATAAATCTACCCTGGTACTGTGGTATACATGTATACCAATCAATATGGTCAACTTTTGACAAACGCGTACTCACCTTCTAAATGGAGACGTCAAACGGATGGTATGTCAACAATGTCTAGACGTCTTTAATTGAGCAATAGCCACCCATCGTTCTAACGATTACACAACGTTACATCCGATTACCACAACATAAACCCCCATCACAGGTGAATCACCTACTTTGGATCATAGATCTGTCATCGGCAATCAAGCGATACACTGTCACTTTAATTTCATTTTTTTTACTATGAATAAACTTATCAAACTTTAAAGTTATTTTTATCTTTTATCAGTGCAGCAAACTCGATTCAACTTAACATGATAAACGACTTTTAAAACTCCAAATACATACCTGGTTCCTTATCTTCCGACTTTCATCTCTATACCTGCTTGTTGATTACTCTAACTTCCGGCGAATACTACGCCTAAGTTGATGACGTAAAACACGCAGCGGCTATTCAAGAGAAAAACCTAGAGAGATTCCGTATGCGTCATAGGAACACCTCTGGACTATACATGTGGTCGTTTGGTGGTAACCTGTTTACAAACAGCTAAAACTTCAATATGTAAGTTATTTGTGTGGATTTGATCAAAATTAGGAGTTTTGAGCGAACGCTAAGACATCTTTGTGAATGCTTTTGGAGTCATAACATCGAATTATTTAGTTTTTTAACATGAATGGCAGTATTGTGAAATCGTGTTATGATCTGATGATGGATGCATGACACTTGAAACGTCTTGAGTAACAACAGCTTCAATATTTTTTTTAGACTACTCTACATTGTCAGAACACATTGCATTCAAACAAATAGTTGAAACATATTTCTGAAGATAACCAAAGTGTAACAGCCGACATTTAATTACACATTCAAAACAATTACTTGCTATGTTTCTAACCTGGGAGTTCCTTCCTATTTGTCACTCTGGTAAACACTAGCCATTTCTTTCTGACTCTGCTAGAAAGAAATCATTTTTAGATCTATCTCTTTAGAGCATCAGGGTATTAAGTCAGAGGTCCAGGGTTCGTCACACCCATCGGAGGCAATGCAAAAAGGTATAAGACCGCTGTTATATCTGTAGCAGAACTGTGATGGAATGGGTCAGTGTCTTCAGGAGCAAAGACTTAGAAAAAGGAGGGAGGACTGTAGTTTTGCTGGGTCGAGCACACGTAACAAGATTTCCAAATCCAGTCTGGCCATTTTCATCTCCATTTAGTGGTGCCTCTTATCTGCATGCAACCATTTTTTTCGATTACAGGGTGTACACTTGGCAATATATCTGTCTGCATTCTCAGAGTTGTAGCCGTTTCTCTTCACTATCCTGTCTTGCCCAAGTCAATATTTTGAAATCCATCAGTGCATCAAACAAACTCTACAGTTCAGAGACAAAACAAAAGTTACATTGATTGAATAAATATTGACAACCTAGCTGTCTATAAATGACAGCTTTAATATAAGTCTGAACAAATTGTCTGTTAACTTAAGTAATAGTTCCTAGAGTAAAACAATCAAAACTTAAGTAAGATGACAACCTGTCTATAAAATTAAAATAAAACACAACATCAGCTAGCAATGAACAATTCTCAGCTCAAAATTGATGTGAAAGGATAAAACAGGAGCTGATAAGACATGGTAAACAATAATGAAATGCTGTTCTGAGACACTAAAATAGAAATGAAAAACAACAGAAAAAAGAAGACATGAAGATTTTGTTTAAGAAAAAACAATAGAAGGAATTGAAGAGTCATCAAAACATAAGGAAGCCAACAACATGAACAAAGGGAACATCAAAACAAAAGGAAAACCAACAATTTAAAAATGTGGGAGACTCCAAAACAAAAGGGAAGACAACAATAGAGACAAGGGAGACAACAATTCAAAATGAAACACAACAGCAGAATCCTAGGTGACATCAAAACTAAAGGAAATACTGTGGAAAAGATCAATTGAAGAGGCATAAAAAAGACATTTACCTACAAAAAATCCAAGAGGTCAAACCAAGTTGTCAAAAAGGGTGTAATTGAATGTATCTGGAACTCATTTCTATGTCTCCAAACAAATCTAGGCAGGTATTAAAAACAATGTAGCTCTTTGGATACTAAAAACATGTACATCTGGATGAAGAAGACCAGCTGTTTTTGTGGAAAAGCTTTCCATAGTGTAAAGGACAGCTCCCACAGTGAATTCATCTTCTGATCCACTAAGTAACTACAGGATTATGTCGAACTGGTATTGTATGTCACATCTAGAAATAGTGAGGAGGACATTATTTTTTTATAGATTAACCCTTTACATAAAACTGCATCTGTCTGTGGACACTTCCATGCTCTGTTATAGACAGGTGTCATTTGTGTTCGTAAAGTTTTTATTTACTCTTTTTCTTGCAGAGTCGACTTAGTGAAAGTTATGGTGTCTTAGCTAGAGCAACATGGGCCAGGGAAAAAGTTTTCCTGACCCAGAGAAGACGGTGGGACTTATGCATGGAAAGCTTAAATTACATTTGGGGGTCATCACAAAGATCGCCAAGCTGTCGTATGAAGACCTCATACAATCTGTAAAGGATATCAATGAACTGTAAGTTGGGGAAATAGTAAGGTAGTGAATAAATGTATATTTTCGGTTACAAATTTCTACAGTAAATCCATAGAGAAAATACCATTCAACAAAATGTATACCTGTAAAATCAGACAAAACTTGACAGTCTTGTGTTAAGTTTGTTAGTTTGGATTCTGCAGACCCTTTTTTGAGTTATTACTGTATTTATTCTGCAATCAGTCCAGGGGGCCAACACTTAATTTCTGATTCAAAGTAGGCAGTAGGCTTATTACCGGACAATGAAATTGCATTTGTTGGAGTTTCTACTGAAGTGAAATAGATATGGGTTGGCTTATTACCAGGCATAGGTTTATTGTTGGATAGATATGGTATTACACTGGAGACCTTCAACATATGCTGATATATTTAAGTCTCTCAAAAATCACTTGTACCATAATTTATCATGTTACTATTTTGATTCTTGCCAGTTTTGTTATTAAGATGTGTACATAAAACATTTTCACAAAAATCAAATAATGGTCAGTGATTTGTGGTAGGGCATTCATTGATTCATATAGAAAATAACTTGCACAACCAACTAAAGGTTGTATGATTTTTGAGAAATTTCAATGTTTCAGAACTACAACATTCACTGACCACAAGGGGAAGCAACTCCTCTTCTCAGTTGAGGCAGGTACAGATACAACCATCTTCTGGAAACATACAATACGCATCTGTTGTCAGAAGGTAAAAAAGATACTTGTTATATATTATATAAAGTATGTGTCTGTGGTTAGAAGGAAACATTTATTATGCTGATTGACCAATAAAATGTATACTGTATATGTATAAGGTTATTTTCACACTGATCTCCAGTCCCCTACTTGTTCTGCCAAACAGGACTAAAAATCACTTCTTGTCAATCCTTCTAACTGCCTCCTACATACTTACAGAAAAACATCTCTCCTGTACTTGTTCACCTAGAATTACCAAATATGGTAGGAGAGTAAACTAAGAGTGTTGCATACTGAATAAATTAGGCTTTTATCATAGTAAAAGGCTTGTCCATAACACCATATAATGATATATATTGATATATCCTAGGATAAAAAGGGGATAAATAGGAATACGCAGTGTAATACACACCTGTATCATACTGACAGTTTATCGACATAACAAACAGCTGTACTGTATTTCCCAGGAACCCCAAATCTGCAGACATAAAATAAAACTGTTCATCTAGGTCAAAGAAAATCATACAAGTGTACCCATGTAATATTGTTCCCAATTATCAGTTGGGGGACATGTTTAGTTATTAGTTACATACAGAACAGTATTTACAGTTTATAATGTATTGTTAGAAATTTTAGAAAAAGTAATTTCTCCTTCCCAGAAAACACATTGTCATTTCTTTTATAATTTTGATACTACTCAATACAAAGCTTACTAGCTAAAAGAATATGTGTAAAAGACTTAACAACATGCCATAGAATGTATTTCTAAACACTTTGTGTTTGTCACATGACATCATAGGTGGCACTGTTGTTCCTCGACTGACCAGGGCAAATCTTTTTCTTTGGCTTCAAATTTTTTTATTTTACAAATAAAATAAGATGATGTGAAAGCACAAAAATGATAAAAATATTACCACTGTGTGTATTCAGTGGTCGTTATTCAGTCTTCTGATCATTCCCAAACACATGAAATCTCAGTTTGCAGTGATATACATATGTAATTGTTTTCTTTAAGGCTGAAGAAACAATGTAACAATCAATGTATTTCTATCTGATTGTATTTCTATTTATAATTATATTTCTAGGTGAACACAAGACGTAACGTTATCGAGTCTTCCCGAATCCTCAAGCTACGTCAGTATATAGAAGTGTACAGCGAGATCACTGACCAAGTGTCCAGCCTCTCTCTCGCATCTGACCACACCGCCATGCCAACACCCCTGGCAGCCACAGCTGATATTTCAGCCTCCATTATATTCGATGAGTAAGGGATGTAAATCATGTTTGACCTGTGTGCAGTCACTTTGCTGCAGTCACGTTCCATTTTAAGTGGTTCTCTATTTCCTATGCATGTTCCCTCTACAGATAGATTGATACCAATCCTTGTATTGATGTGGTAATAATCAAACAGATCCGTACATAAGAAATGTCTTGACGATGATGCATGATGACTAGATTATGTAGCAAAACTAGTCCTGAATAATTGTAATTCTTGCCATTTGATACAGGATTCTGTGTTTTGGTGGGTGGGTAGGTCGGGGGTTAGCCTTAACCCAGATTGGTATTAGTACAGAAAACAGATTTTTTTTTATAGAGCTTTAGTTCTGAAAATGCATTTCAGAATATACATTTTTTTCATGATTGTAGAATTATTAAATGATTGAATAATCTTAAATACTTTGTATGTGACCTTGACCTTTTGTTAGTGAACATCAATGAATACCTATTTTAGGGCAGCAAGGAAAGGCGATGCTGAGGAAATGGAGTGTTGTATTTGTATGGAGAATAAGTCAGAGATCATCCTCGGGTGTAGCCATAAGTTTTGTGAGAGCTGTATAGATCAGTGGTAAGTTGACGAGAAGGAAATGTTTCAGTAAATTGAGTTTAAAACCCTGATTAGCTTATAAAAGTATTTCTTTCTTTTTTTTAGATAATTTTTCAAAATGCTGAGGTTTCACCTGAGTCTCGTTCATGATTATTTTCTATCTCAAATTTGTTAACAGTAAACCCACAATTTCAGTTTATTCAATATTGCTGACTAGAAGTATTTCTTTTGTAGTAGCGACATATTATTTGATTCAGGACAGAATAATCACTTTGTGAGAGTCTGAAAAATCTGATTCACTTTTATTGAGTATTTTGTAGCTTTTTTTTTAGGAAAATTAAACTTTTGTGTGATATATGGTCAGCAGCCATCTGTGGTGCAAAAATACCTCAACACTTAATATTTTCTTGCTTGTCACTTATGATGCCATAGACTGGAAGTAACTAGGGTTAACAAAAACAGAAAGGCACATGGCTGATATGATCTAAATTAGAGTACACATCATTTTGGAACATACTCAAAATGCAGCTCTTAGGAAGAAATTAGCCATTACAGGCAAACTACTACTGTCAAATAATTTGATTATTTCACAAGCACACACATATATCAAAACATGAAAACTTTTTAAAATTCAAGATATCATTGTGTTGATGAATGAAATGAAATAAAGCACAAGTTTTAAAAATTATTTTCCGATAGTCCTTTCAGCTCTAAAACAGTAAAAGCCCTCAGACTGCATTTTTTTAACAATATAATCGGTTCATCATTGAAATCAAAGTATTTAAATATCTTCCATGTAAAGTATGCTTTGAAAGTCATATATTCTGGTCATTATGTTATATGATTGATAAAAATGCAAAGAAGTTGCCTGATAACTATTAATTATGAAAGAAGGAAACCTAATGTATAGTGAACAACTCTGTCTGCAAGTGGGAACCATCAGCACTTTCCGTAAACGAGAAAATACTAAAATATTTTCTCGTTTACGGAAAGTGCCGACAGTTCCTAATTGCACTGTCTATTGATGTAATAGTAGTGCTCTCACTGTATTTGAGTGTTCAGTTCCATAAAATTATAAACCGATTGTGCAATCGCTCATTGATCAGTTTACTACTTCCAATTACAAACCGATTATCGATTATGATTTTAGACTGATTGCCCATCACTAACACATATATATATATACATATGAACACATACTGTTCACTGATAAAAAAAATCAAGCACATATATAAGCCATCATACACATACAAATACACACGCATACACATATGTACATCACGCCATCAAATTATGTGTTAGTAGACCCCAGCTATTCTTTGTATTTTATCTGTAGACTTCTGTCATGCTTTTACGGATAATCAGTAGAATATCAAACAAACCTTTGTATTTTATGTCTGAAGCCATCAGCCTTTGAGTTTTGTATCTGTAGAAAATTCAACATTTACTTTCAATGTTAAATAGGAATGTCACAAGTCGCACCTGTCCTATCTGCCGTGCAAAGGTACGAAGTACGGATGACACCTGGGTCCTCACGGAGAAGCCATCTACTAATGAGTTCCAGTCGGAGGTCAAGGAGTATCTAGTGGGAATAGTTGACAATAAGGGACAACCTGATGAATCCAAATAGTGCTTTCACCGAGGCCGCAATAGTGATTTGTGTTGGAGTCAAAGTTGTGCTATGTGTTGGAGTCATCAGTGTAATTATTATTACTAGTGCTATGTGGGTCACATCAGTGCAAGTATTTGGGTAAAATTAGAGCACATGTTGGGTTTGCACCATTGCACATTAATTAGTTAGTATATTGTGTAATGGCCCAGCAACAGTGAAGTCATATTGGACCAAACAACAATAACACAGGGTCACTAAACAATTTAAGAAATTTTTCAAATGATAAAAGGATAAAAAGGTTCATACCTATTACGGTATAGATCAATTTCATGTTAACAATCAAAAGTCTTTTAGAGATTGACAGTACAATATTTTCATATCGGGCACATCATAACGATTGTCTCAAACCTTTCTAAATATCTGCACATTTGATAAGTATAAGAGTTTAATTTGTATGTTTGTAAAGAAAACAGAGAGACAGCTTTTCCTCTCGCCAAAGTAAGCAAGTATCAATGTGTAAAATACAAGTGAAGTTGTGATAAAGAATTATCTACCAGGTATGTGTTAAAGTGGGGTTATTTGGTGAATGTTTTGTTATGTTTATGTGCAGGGATATATTGCATCATTTATTAACATCAGACTTTGAAAATCTAGTCTTATTTTGTCTTTTTACTCAAGATGAATTGACAAAACAGTTCATTAGATGTCACGGGGAGGTAATCAATGATAATCAGGAACCAATATCAATGGTACTACGATACAGAAGTACTTATTGACTAGGTGTGCCATAGGTGTGTTTCCCTCTATTTGAAAGAGGTAAGGTAACTGTTGTTATGTAATATAATATGTTATATGACTTGGAAAATAAACTGTAAAAGAATTGGAATAGTATCTAAGATAATCTGTCAGATGATTTGGAATATTACCTGTAAGGTCTAAGATAATCTGTAAGATGATTTGGAATACTACCTGTGAGATTAAAGATAATCTGTTCGATGATTTTGAATATTATCTGTGAGATCTAAGATAATCTGTAATATGATTTTGAATATTATTTGCAATATCTAATTGGAATATTATCTGAGATCTAAGATAATCTGTAAGATGATTTGGAATATTATTTGTAAGATCTAAGATGATCTGTTAGATAATTTTGAATATTATCTGTAAGATCTAAGATATTCTGTATGATGATTTGGAATATTTTCTGTAAGATCTAAGATAATATGTCATATTATTTGGAATATTATTTGCAATATCTAATTGGAATATTATCTGAGATCTAAGATAATCTGTAAGATGATTTGGAATATTATTTGTAAGATCTAAGATGATCTGTTAGATAATTTTGAATATTATCTGAAAGATCTAAGATAATCTGTATGATGATTTGGAATATTTCTCTGTAAGATCTAAGATAATATGTCATATTATTTGGAATATTTTCTGTAAGATCTAAGATAATCTGTTAGATGATTTTGAATATTCTATCTGTGAGATCTAAGATAATATGTAATATGATTTGGAATATTATTTGTAAGATCTAAGATGATTTGGAATATTATCTGTAAGATCTAAGATAATTTGTAAGATGATTTGGAATATTATTTGTAATATCTAAGATAATCTATAAGATGATTTGGAATATTTTCTGTAAGATCTAAGATAATCTGTTAGATGATTTTGAATATCTGTGAGATCTAAGATAATTTGTAAGATGATTTAGAATATAATCTGTGATATCTAAGATAATATGTAATATGATTTGGAATATTATTTGCAATATCTAATTGGAATATTATCCGAGATCTAAGATGATCTGTAAGACGATTTGGAATATTATTTGTAAGATCTAAGATAATCTGTAAGATGATTTGGAATATTATTTGTAATATCTAAGATAATCTATAAGATGATTTGGAATATTTTCTGTAAGATCTAAGATAATCTGTAAGATGATTTGGAATATTATCTGTAAGATCTAAGATAATATGTCATATTATTTGAATATTATTTGCAATATCTAATTGAAATGATATCTGAGATCTAAGATAATCTGTTAGATGAATTGGAATATTATCTGTAAGATCTAAGATAATCTGTAAGACGATTTGTAATATGATTTGTAATATCTAAGATAATCTATAAGATGATTTGAAATATTTTCTGTAAGATCTAAGATAATCTGTCAGATGATTTTGAATATTATCTGTGAGATCTAAGATAATCTGTCAGATGATTTGGAATACTACCTGTGAGATCTAAGATAATCTATAAGATGCTATGGAATATTTTCTGTACGATCTAAGATAATCCGTTACATGATTTGGAATATTATTTGCAATATCCAATTGGATTATTATCTGTGAGATCTAAATTAATCTGTAAGACGATTTGGAATATTATTTGTAATATCTAAAATAATACTACAGTACTTGTCAATGCTCATTAGAGGGATATACATTATGTCTAATGACTAATTTTCAAGTTTTGGAATTTCAAATGGCTACTTTGGTCTCTGATACAATGATTTATTTTTACCCGTAAGTTGAGTTCTCTTCGGTAGATTTAAATATCGGCGTACTGTCTTTTTCATGCTTCATTTGCGACTACTGGAATAGTTTGGGGGACAACAGTCGCAATCCTCATAAAGTAAGAACTTATTGTATCTTGCCAACTGCTGATACAAATTTACATGAAATTCTCACTCTTTGTCATCACCTGATATTCATTGCAATATATTTTTCATTTTGACCATTGTGGTGGATTTTCAGACAGCCTTCAGCTTGCATCGCTGGATTACACTGTGTAATCTACTGATATTAGTTTTGCTTAAAATTGAAACGTAATCTGCATGAAATCTGAATAAGAAATCTTCGTCTTGAGTTCAGAAAAAGATCTATTTGATGGCACCAATAACTTTTTCATCGTGCAATGGACAAACAAATCTTGTTGATACAAAGTTATTGGGTCAGGTGACAGCTATCCTTGTTTTAGACTTCGTGATTTAGAATGGCTATTGAATTTGTTTGGTTGTGTTTGCAGTAGGTTTGCTGTACATGTAAATTAGACTCATCTGGGGCATTACACTTATACAAAACCCTTTAGTACCGGCATTTCTTTGAGATTTTACAGTATTTTCCTTTTGATTGTGACGTATATAATATAGTGTGATTGTGCATAACAATGCCCAATTAAATGACACAAGATTTTTTCTTGTTGCAGTATGCTTCCCTATCATGTAATTATACCCTGCTAAATAGTTTATAAAGTTTTATCCAATAATCATGATTTTTCATCAGAAGTATTATATTTACTGTTCATACAAATATGGTATTACATGAATTTCTATTTCATATGAAATTTTTGAAGGAAATCCAGAAGTTATTCATTTTAGCAAGCTTGTGACAAGTTGAAATGAGACCTTATTCACAATTACTATGAAAATAATATGATTGACCTTTTACTAATGTATGCATGTCATAAATTTAAAAATTCCGTTTATACGATAAAACTTCACCTCACTATTTATAAATATATATTATATGAATGTTTATAAACGTTTCATACCCACTTGGCCTTGTATGGCCCCTGGATGTTGGTAGGCCATTATGCTTTTATCAAATCCAATTTAGAGTGTAAAAGTCTGTGAGATTGGCTCATTGTCTATAGTCCCCACTATGACATCATTCTATAATCAGGAGTCATTTTAGTTCATCCATTAGGAAATATGACATGGGTGTAGTTACTAAATAATACTGTAATCATGTGATTAAGTATTATATTAACTGCTCATTATTTTATATTTACTGTTTGCAATATTTACAGGATAAACACATAGCTGTCAACCCTCCCTCATTAGGAGGGAGACTCCCTAATTTTAACAAAAAATTATCAATCTCCCTCGAAACTCTAATTCAAGTCCATACTCACACAAACTCAAAATCTACATCCTGAGGTCAAATGATCTCCTAGTTACTGCAGGGTGTGTGTAATGATCATAACAGGTGTGTCTGAATTAAATGAATGCTTTTTGAAATTATTTTGATACATAAAAGGGAAAGATAAATTGAGCAAAGCAGTTTCAGTCGCTTTTCGCACACTTTCTTCCTCATTGGAAATGTGGAATGAGGGAGATCTCGGTCATTGGAGGTTTCAGAGGTTGACACCTATGTAAACATTCTGAGTGATAAACACATTAAATAAATCTACATGTTAGTTCCGAGGTAGATGGTCTCCCCTTAATTTGTACTCAATATTGTTCTGGACATTCCAGAAAAATCCCCCAAATCCCAAATGCTTATATCCAATACTCTCAATTTTGAGTTTGAGTGAAGCAGGCTTTTTGTGTAGTCCATCTGTTACTATGTAATCAGAACATGAAGTCCGAGTACATGTGTAGTAGTAACTATGTGTTTGTTTGTAGCATATGAACAGAAACATATTTATCTTCACATGATCAGTATAATTATTGAATATGTATTTCTTTGCTGTGTTTTATTCTGTATATATTTCACATAACTTATCCTTCACCTCGGACCTTAACATTCCAGGAAAATATGAACTCGGTAAATTTGACCACTGATCATTGTCTATCTTTGGCAGTAAACACTAACAATGGTGCCATGAAAAGAGTTCATGATAGAACAACCTGTGTATAATGGACACTATTGTGACATGAACTGTTTCCGGGTAAGTTGATCATAGGTTTTACACCGCTTTCTCTGTGTTTACCAGATATCTGAACTCTCCAATAGACACAGAATTTTATGTTCAGGGTTGTGAGGTAGCGCTGTGGATAGTACACTCGCCTTTAACCAAGACACTGGGGTTTCGATTTCCTGATAGGACATAAAAAGATAATAGGTCACCTGCCCCCAATCTCATGGGTTTTCTCTGTATTCTCCAGTTTCCTCCCACATTTAGCCCTCCCCCTGTCTGCTATCAAGGGCCAACAAGAGTGATTAATATAAGTTGATAGAACTTGTTTCGCAACTGTTTTTTAAAAGTTCTTTTATTTTCTAATGTTCAAACAGGTTTTACTGTCACTTCATTGTAAACACAGTAAAATATTGATATACAATTCCTGTTTGTCTTCCCACCTAACTTACTGCCAATGTATTTCAAGGTCCTATAACAGTTCTTTGTTTCCTTTATTTTACCAAAGCCTTTTATAAAGACAACATTTTGCATGATTAATGGTAACGGTATAACAAGGTTTTACTGTATACCCAATGTACACCTTTAACATTTGTACAGTTTTGTGACTATCATGTCCATCCCGCCTAGACTCCAGACCTTATACTTACAGCAGTCATTTTTATGATTATTATCTGGAGATTTGCAAGCTCAATAACAGTTGCAGTGAATGTGAGGATTGGTTTTTGTTAACGCATTATCAGTAGTAACTGTACTATAAAGTTATCTGCTTGATCAGTAAATCTGAATTTGAAATTTGGCTCAAGTGATTTTGTTTCCACATTCTGTAGTACATGTTGTGATACAAACTTATTTATTGTTTGCATCTTAGTGATATTTGGGATCATGAAACAATCTTAGACTAAGTTTTTGCTAGTCAATCACGTAGGATGTCACTTTTCATGACCTTATTTGTGATTAGTTAAGTGAAGACTCAAGATCATTTCATGATCTCAGGGACAGGATATTTAATTATGTTTGATACATATGAGTGTAATCATCTATGACATGTTCCCAGCTCCCTGAAACAACTGTACCAAGTGGTAACAAGGGGAGTTAACTCTGATTAATGTTTCCATTGTTTCGGGTGTTGATCAGTGAACTTTTCGAGTTATACTACAGTCGGACTCGGTGGCCATTATTTAACACAATGTTTCTGTATTTCATTAAAACAAGAGATTCTGTAAATGTGAATGTGACCATAGCATTGTCATGTAATGTTACATACTGTGATAGAATGATGTGTACTGGTAGAACTTAAAAAGTTATTTATAACTAATTTAACAGGTGTTTACAGGTGAACCAGTAGAAGTTATCTATGACTAAGTTAACAGGTGTTTACAGGTGAACCAGTAGAAGTTATCTATAACTAATTTAACAGGTGTTTACAGGTGAACCAGTAAAAGTTATCTATAACTAATTTAACAGGTGTTTACAGGTGTATCTGTATACATGTTATTTACTTGTTAAGAGACATTTTATGTGTAAATGTTTGTGTATCATTTTTATGCAAACTTTTCTAAGATACAAAGTAGTATTTACCAGTTATTGAGCCAATTTTGTCCCTTTTAATGAAGAAATGACAAATTCAACCAGTTCTAATTGATCATACATTTATACCAATTGTTACATATTTAATTTACACCATTATTATGGAAATAGTGTATTATCATATTAAATACATGTATTGTTGTTTTGTAACAATTCATTGTTCATGTCTCATTGATGTGGAAAGATTAATAAAATAAGATAACAAAAATCCCAACTCTCTTCACCAGGTATTTCTGTATAAATAGAATGTTGTATCACGGACTTAGATAGCATAATCTAATTCCGTGGTTGTATACATCTCCACATCCTCGATACCCAAAGGTTACGCCCACTTTCGCTCTCTACACCCCTGGAATATGTCATAGCAAAATTGAAGGCTCAAAGATAGCTGGTTGATTGGTCTCGGGTAAAAAACCTGACCAATCGCTAGGCTGATACCTGTCCTTTATAGATTACAAAGGAGAGATGCTGACTTTAGAGCCTGTCAACTTTTACCGTTATGTGACCGCGAGATTCTTTTGATGTACATCAAAGGATCGATCTAGTCTTCTTGTCTCGTCCACAAGGGGGCACACGCCGAGCCTTCAATTTTGCTATGACATATTCCAGGGGCGTAGAGAACGAAAATGAGTGTAACCTGGAATATCGAGGATGACATCTCCTGGATATGTCGTAATTGCTCCTCGTTTATATAAGCACAAGATTTTTTTTCAGCAGTTCCAATCTGCATTTGTCTCTGGAAATTGTTCTAAAGGATGAACCACTTTAAGAGATTGATACAACTTTTTTTCAGAGTTTTCAGAATTGACAAGTGTCACATTCAGTGTTATAATCAACCAATCAAGGAGCATGTCGTTTTATCATCACAAGCAATTAGCAAAAACACAAATTACAGTATTCATATAAACCAAAACGTAACAAACAACAAAACTGGTCTTTTTGAATAATTTCATATTTATTTAAAATTTGATAAGAAGATAATGCTAAAAATAAACCTCTCCATAGCATTCAATGCACAATTCCAACCCTTACTACCTGGACGGAAGGTATAAACATTTCTACAAAGCACAGATACTGTGGTTATCTCCCTTGATATATATCCTAATAATGATTAGTGGTAAGGAATACCAGTTCACTTTAACTGTAACCCTGCCTTACTTGTAAAGTATTACAACAGGACAGACTAACTAATCACCGATACCTATACCATCAAATGGATACATTACCACAGAAAAACCTTTACATAACATCTTGACAAGTTCCTAAAAAAGTAGAAAAGCAAAATATATTTTCCATTTTTAATTACAAGATAGAAATTTGTCATTATTATTACAAACTAAAAAGTATGAATATGACTTAATCATATATTGAATGTGAGAAATCATAATGTAATTGTGCTGTTAAATAAGAATATATATATATATTTCTCTCTATTATATACAGATTGTTTGCCTCTTCTAATGACCCATCCAACATCTAAAACCTTCATACAAACCAAATTAAATCAACAAAATATAGAGTCCCCCCTACATAATGATATATCTGTGTAATAACCAGTTAATAGCATGATGCTATAAGCTGTCTATATATTTATGTATATTCAAGCTTGCTCTAACTTAAGCAATATATATTATACAATGTAAAATATCACAGGTTTCTTTGGAGGGAATGAATGAAATAAAATGATATATCATCAACAAAATCTAGGCACATGTAACAGCGTGAGATAGGACGGAGAATTATCACCAATCAGTAAAATATAACTAAAAAAATCTAATTTAACCTAACACATTGGTTACAAACAACAGACTATCTTGATAGACATAACAAAATAGTGAGGATTACAAATATATAACTAAATACTAAATTAGGTGGGTAAACTATTAGAGTTATCTCCCCTTGTAAGGAATTATTTCTGCTTATTAAAGATATCTTAAGGGATAAATATATAATAAACTTATGCATCAAACGATGGATTATATTGGCGGTTCAAAAATAAAGATAGAACTATAAAATAAATTTATGACGGAAACATCTAGATAAATATTTAAAGTACCGTTACATATTTGTAGAATTATGCATATCAATATGGTGTTCCCTGAATATCTTCTTGTTTAAGCCACTTCAGTTAAGGACAGGTGTTACAGTATGAAATACACTAAGATCTGTTTTCTCATTAAGTATGATTCTGGCTCCATACTTTCAGTTCTAAAGTTTTGTTGGTTAACTAAGACAATGAACATTGTTACTTTTTGTGAAGATAATAACACAGTCATATGTAACTAAATCATGTATAAATGACATATGGCATAAAAACACATACCATAAAAGTTAATCCCTCATAATTCATACTCAATACTGTAACTGGCACACACCTGGTGACTGACAATAGTACTACATTCCCTCAGCATACTATGTTGGTATTACACCATATCCTACTCTGTACAAAGGTCCCAAATGGCAGTAAGGCTTCTAACTCACTCTGACAGTTGTTGTGATTATAAGGTTCTTTTCCTTTCAAATGAAATTCATGTTATATTCAACGGTAATAACACTAACAGTACATGGTATCAGTTGTCATTATGATTTCCATTTCTCCTCATGGGATTATATTTTTACTGATATCGTTCATTAACATTTTGAATTTTGATGAAATGGACCAATTTGAGAAACACATGATGCACAGTCTTCCTTAAAAGACCAATACAGCTATATTGACAAGTGACATATATAAGTTGTTACTTTTTCTGCAGATCAACAGCAAGAAAGGAAATTTCAGAGTGAAGTAGAAGACACATCACAAACGAAACAGAGCGAAAGATTAGGAAGACTTGTGTTTTCAAAATGGTCCACTGAAAGACGCGATCACAATACAGTTGCCATCTTCAATAAAATAAATCAGTTGACATTGATTACTCGGAGAACATTTAAGTTATAACAGTACAATGTTGACAGCAACTTGATAACAGCCGATGATGACACAATGAAACGAGGGCATAGCACTACCATGAGGAGAAGAGAGGGGGGCGTGGCATAGGGGGTAGAAAGTCCATGTTGTGCTGGGACTGGATCTGCTTCAGTCCCATCTCAAATCTGTTGTGGGGTGTCATGAACGAATTTGGAGGAGTTGACGGCCGCTCATTCTCCTGAAAGGTAAATCAGAAGAGTTTTCTTTAGAATCAAGCTGAAATAATAAGTTTGTAATTAATTTAATGATCACTGACTTCAATGTATTACCGGTAGGTGATTTTATCTGTATAAACAGTATATCTGACAATTATACTATCGTGTCATCTATGTGAATAACATACATTTGAATATGGACTTGTTATTATTACTGGCATTTAGTGTTAATATTTTTCGTCACTCTTGTTTTACTACAGTTTAAAAGTTCAAATATTTTAAAACTAGCATCATTTATGTATAACTTGTAGCTTCTAGTATAAAACCTTTCTGTCAGCTCCTGAAAGTGCACCCACTCCTTAACCTTAGATCCAAAGTGTTTGAAGGTACATCCCCCCTCCCTACCCTAAAGTGTATAGTAATGTTCCACTCACCCCTAACCAACAAATTTATTCTATTCCCTTGTGTTACAGAAGTGGTATTATTTGTAAGCAGAAACTGATTATCTACTTAATAAAATGAATAACACTATAAAATAATTCTAACAAGGAAGAGAAGAAAAAGCTCGCAGAAAACAGGGACTTGACGCTTTTTGTTATTTGTTTGATAGCCCAGAAAAGAAAAAAGAAAAAAAAAAGCTTTCATTGTTTAAAAGTAGTTAATTGTCTTTAAAATCATATTGATCCATGACAAAAGCAAGAAACACATAAGATAAAACCTAAAGTTCAAAACATATCCATCAAGATGACTGCAAAATTTGGCAGAAAGAACTGCCTTCTGCAATTTATTTAAAGTGATTATGTGAAAATATTAACTGTCAAAAGGATGATAATATTGTACCCAACTTTTAATTTAAGAAAAAGACAAACTCAAAACTCCCGATTATATTGGTCCTTTTAATAGTTACATACAATCTGATGGAACTAATGGTAATAACTTTAGTATCTAGCATTTGATGTACAGCAAATCAGCATAAAGCCAAACTATATACAATTTTGCAATGACCGTCTCCAAAACTGAAATCTATGGTACATTATAACACATGTCTCCTTTGAAGACATAATCATCTACTGATGAATTCCAATCCTACACAAATCTTTAAACAGCAAACCACACTGGGTGTGAAAAACACTCGCACACGGGAACATCATGCAACCAAACAAAATCACACATGATAAAGTTGGCAAACACAGATGGAGCACTGCAAACTAAGTAATGTTCACGGGAAGCCTCAACATCCTTATAGCAGTGGTTATTTCTGTAGGGATATGATTATGAAGTAATGGTTTTCTAATATCTGGACTAGAGAATAGCCCCCCTCCTGACTTATGCATATACTAATATTTACAGACGGATTTCTCTCACAGTATTTTGGGAAGTTCAAAGGTCTTGTCTGTGGCACTATCTTGGTACCACTGTGGACTTGAAAGGTCTCGTCAAAACAATTATAGATGAATTATGTGCTACATTGGGAAGTAGGACTTGGTCTCAGAACTGAACTGTACCGAGCCTGATAAAGCCTATCAAAGAGTAACCATCATAAATGTACGAAATGACTTCTTTTTCTTATAATATTTTCACTTTTGGAATATTATGATGAAAACTTGTTAACACACCTAAGGAGGGTCATGATTTAACTAGTGAAGCGAACTAGTGAAGAGGAACGGCTGTTGAACTCTTGCTGCAAGGGAGATAAGAAAGGTGTCGGTGGTCCAAACCGGATAGTACCAGCCTAAAATAGAAACAAAATGGCAGCGCCTTGTCATTTTGTCACCCATAAAACTCAAACCTGATCAAAAGTTTCCCCCTTTGACAGACTGATGAGCCACGATGGTCTTGTAGTATGATATGTAATGGTGTTTAGTATTTGATACTGTAAACAGCAAGGATGGTATCACAGCAGTGTTATTTTTCATTGTAAGATAAAATGCAAAAATAAATTTGCAGGGATTTTTTTTTCCTGATATTGATAGTGTTTGAATGAATACAAGACTAGATCACTGAGTAAATCCAAAGCTGTTTACACAAATCAAATGGGTTTATATAAATTCAAAATGAAGGTGAGGAGGTCATTAGTCAAAGGGAGGCAACTTGTGATCAGATTCTTGGTGAAATCAATATGTGACACTTACATAAGATATTACACTAAATAATGATGTTTAGTGAAGGAAAAGGGTAAATTCAATTAATGTTCTGTTAATGGTTAGGGACTCGAGTTGTTATTACACTGTTAGATTATGCCATGAATTTTATTATCACATTTAAATGTTATGTTCTGCAGATAACAGTAAAGTTTACATATACAATGCAGTCATTTCCAAGAGAGATACCTCACAGTATAACAGTGGTCAACATTTATATTTCTAAATGAATCATAAATTATTGCCTGTTATGCCAAACATAATAAAGAGTTTAAATGTCTAATGGCTCACTACATTGTGATTGTTAACACTGTGTGACTGTGAAACGTAAATAAGCTGTTAGTCATCTAGAGGAGATAGAAGTATACCGTAACCAAGGTTACAATGGACTCGGGAGTATAGCATAACTATATAAAAAAGGGACAGAGTAGTACAACAAAACCATGGGTACGATGGGCTCAGGAGTATAGAATAAATATATCAAAAAGGGACAGAGTAGTACAACGAAACCAAGGATACAATGGGCTCAGGAGTATAGCGTAACTATATCAAAAAGGGACAGAGTAGTACACCGAAACCAAGGATACAATGGGCTCAGGAGTATAGCATAACTATATCAAAAAGGGACAGAGTAGTACAACGAAACCACAGGAGTACACTGTAATAATGGCTATAAGGGACACAAGAGTAGAGTAACAATGACTATAAGGGACCTATATAAAAAAGGGACAGAGTAGTACAACGAAACCACAGGAGTACACTGTAATCATGGCTATAAAGGACTCAGGAGAACACTGTAATGATGGCTATAAGGGACTCAGGAGTACACTGTAATGATGGTTATAAGGGACTCAGGAGTACATTGTAAGGATGGCTATAAGGGACTCAGGAGCACACTGTAATGATGGCTATAAGGGACTAAGGAGTACACTGTAAGGATGGCTAATGACTATAAGAGACACAGGAGTACACTGTAAGGATGGCAATAAGGGACTCAGGAGTACACTGCAAGGATGGCTATAAGGGACTCAGGAGCACACTGTAATGATGGCTATAAAGGACACATGAGTACACTGTAAGGATGGCTATCAGGGACTCAGGAGTACACTGTAATAATGGCTAAAAGGGACACAAGAGTAGAGTAACAATGACTATAAGGGACACAAGAGTCGAGTAACCATGGCTATAAGGGACACAAGAGTAGAGTAACCCTGACTATAAGGGACACAAGAGCAGAGTAACCATGACTATAAGGGACCCAAGAGTAGAGTAACCATGACGATAAGGGACACAAGAGTAGAGTAACAATGACTATAAGGGACCTATATAAAAAAGGGACAGAGTAGTACACCGAAACCAAGGATACAATTGGCTCAGGAGTATAGCATAACTATATCAAAAAGGGACAGAGTAGAACAACGAAACCACAGGAGTACACTGTAATCATGGCTATAAGGGACACAAGAGTAGAGTAACCATGCCTATAAGGGACACAGGAGAAGTGAAACCATGACTATAAGGGACACAGTAGAAGAGTAACCATGACTATAAGCGACACAGGAGTACACTGTAATGATGGCTATAAAGGACACATGAGTACACTGTAACCAAGGCTACAGGGAACACAAGAGTAGAGAAAGGACTCAGGAGTACACTGTAATGATGGCTATAAGGGACTCAGGAGCACACTGTAATGATGGCTATAAAGGACACAGGAGTACACTGTAATAATGGCTAAAAGGGACACAAGAGTAGAGTAACAATGACTATAAGGGACCTATATAAAAAAGGGACAGAGTAGTACACCGAAACCAAGGATACAATTGGCTCAGGAGTATAGCATAACTATATCAAAAAGGGACAGAGTAGAACAACGAAACCACAGGAGTACACTGTAATCATGGCTATAAAGGACTCAGGAGAACACTGTAATGATGGCTATAAAGGACACAGGAGTACACTGTAATGAGGGCTATAAAGGACTCAGGAGTACACTTTAAGGATGGCTATAAAGGACACAGGAGTACAATGTAAGGATGGCTATAAAGGACTCATGAGTACACTGTAATGATGGCTATAAAGGACACATGAGTACACTGTAATGATGTCTATAAAGGACTCAGGAGTACACTTTAAGGATGGCTATAAAGGACACAGGAGTCCACTGTAAGGATGGCTATAAAGGACACAGGAGTACAATGTAAGGATGGCTATAAGGGACTCAGGAGAACACTGTAATGATGGCTATAAAGGACACAGGAGTACAATGTAAGGATGGCTATAAGGGACTCAGGAGAACACTGTAATGATGGCTATAAGGGACTAAGGAGTACACTGTAAGGATGGCAATAAGGGACTCAGGAGTACACTGTAATGAGGGCTATAAAGGACTCAGGAGTACACTTTAAGGATGGCTATAAAGGACACAGGAGTCCACTGTAAGGATGGCTATAAAGGACTCATGAGTACACTGTAATGATGGCTATAAGGGACTCAGGAGTACACTGTAAGGATGGCTATAAGGGACTCAGGAGTACACTGTAATGATGGCTATAAAGGACACAGGAGTACACTGTAAGGATGGCTATAAAGGACTCAGGAGTACACTGTAATGATGGCTATAAGGGACACAGGAGTACACTGTAATGATGGCTATAAAGGACACAGGAGTACACTGTAATGATGGCTATAAAGGACACATGAGTACACTGTAAGGATGGCTATAAAGGACTCAGGAGTACACTGTAAGGATGGCTATAAAGGACACATGAGTACACTGTAACCAAGGCTACAGGGAACACAAGAGTAGAGATATGGCTATAAGGGGCACAGGGCTATAGCATAACCAAGGCTTCTGAGGCCAAGAGAATGGCATAAATATAGACGGCAAAATTTTTAAAAAAATTGTCCAGTAATCTGAATTATGAGGGAGATTCTTATACAATGTACGTATGTTTGTATTAGAAAATTACAGATGGTCATCAATTCATCATTTTATCTACAGTAATCAGCTATTTTAGATCTGAAGAGCCTCAGTGATGACAAAGTCAGTTACATAAATTTCTATCAGCATACATGTTAATTAAAGCAACCTACCAGGTAATACTATGATAAAACAATAAGTTTCGCAAAGAATAGTTTCAAATTAACATAACTCCAATCTTGTTGAAATATCTTGCATAAGTTAGTAACTTCCACCTATAGCTATCAGATATTTCTGATAATAGATGTTCTGCCACTTCTAGTTGAATGTAGAAGGTTTAATGATAATGTATGCCTAGACATTTTTAACATAATAAGAAATAAGAAATAAGTTGTCATTGTGCTATTTAGTAACATTACAGTACCCAGACCTACTGTAGCACTACTACACGGGGGCCCTGACCTGACCTTTATGAAATAATGAAAAATGCTCTATGTAACCATCACAATGAAAAAAATCTAATCCCAAAAATCTAAACCTACGTTAGTCACAATCAATCATGTCCATGGGCTTGATTGGCAATGCACACTTATAAACACTCGAATCATGCATGTGGTTGTTAGGATCATCACAAAACCAGGTTGTCATGGTTACAGGGTTACAAGGTCAGATATAGGTGAGTATAAATGTTTACAGTGAGAATCAGTGCTCAGGTGCAGAAGCCAACAGGAAATTCAGGAAACTGGACTGTGACCTCTGAAAGTGTGGTAAAACATAAGATCTTACAATATGGCCGGTTACCATGGAGACCATTTTATACTGGTGAACAGCACCACAGGCACTTGTATTGTTTCTACTGATAATTTTATTTTATAATCAGGTACATGTACAAACATGTCCCTGTAATCACCAATCTTTGCATGTTTAAACCAAGTTCTACATGTTTATTGTTTCAATTCCCAGTGATCACCACATTTGTTTGTTTTACATTGTAGATGTTTTATATTCACCCTTTAGATATTTTTACGTCCTTTTACATCTACATTGGACTATTAAATAATGCATTTGTTTTGTTGCTGCAAAACTTCTAAACAATTCAATTTTTTTAATATTTGTCAAACCAATTTGATTGATAATGTACCTGCATCCATAAAGCTCTTTGCTTTCATAAATTATTTCTCTATTTTTCCCCCACAATCTGTTTTGTCCTTCATTTAACAAAGAAACCAGTACACCATTGATTGATGTCAAGAGTTTAGACAAATACTTCTCAATAGCTAATGCTTGAAATATTAATCATTTTTGTTCCAGAAATGACAGGGAAGCAATAATTTTAAATTTTCAAACAGTATCCTTCCTGTAATATATTCAGCTTTGCTCTATAAGAGGAGATATTTTTGTAGGTTTTCTGGCTCCAACAGTGTCTATTGTTTTATTACTGGTGGTGTGTTTGTGATAAATCTAACACAGTGAAGTGACAGCATGCATGTGTAAACCACTCGGTGAGGCGTTACTTAGTATAGAACTGTACCGTGACAATGGTTGTCAGGCATTGCTATATCAAGCAAAACTCACAGTCTTTCGATTTCTTGATGAGTTGTTCCAAAACGACTGAGGATAAATTTAGCACAGTTAAAACAGGAATATCTACCATATAAGTACGCCTTAAATAATAACTCTCAATGCAGATACTCATTTGTCAGCACAAATAATCAGGTTCTGTAAATCTGGTTTTCTCTGACCATATTAGATTTTAGTTAAGCATCCATTTTGTTACTCTTCTAAGACAGTACAGACCCTGTGGACCACCTTGTGAAGTAACTATGGACACCATCGAGTTTCTATGGAAACCACATTTCAGCACCATATCCTTGCAGAATAAAGTATTATATCATGAATTTGAACTATCTTAGTATGTACTATACTTGAGAATTTAGTTCGTTATTACAAAACAAAGCTATGACTTTGATTAGAAAGATAAGAAAGGTAAATAATTTTGTCAATAAAGCAAAATGGCCCAAAACCACATCATCTCACAGAAAATTAAATGGGATATTTGTACCACAAACTTTTCAAAATCAAAAATTTGTTAACAGAACATCAAACGTTAAATAATAAGTTTTGTCAAATTCTGCAAGGATAGCACGCTGAAAAATACAACCAATGCACAAAACCACTTTCCAGCTGAAACCAACCCAGCATTAACAGGGAATACAGAACTATAACTTTGGAGAATAAATCTTTCATCTCATATGGAACTCTTTAGCAGATTACAGTACCTGGTAGCCTGAACTATAAAGTCAATCAAACTGATATGATAGTAAACACTGAATACTGGGAAACTTTCACTGCAGTGAAACTTTTGCCCTTTCCTGGTGAATTTATAGCGGCAGCGAAAAATTAACACATGTACACAGACTGGTACACATAGCATTTCCACTATTCTGGGATGACTTTAACACAATTGGTAAATATGAATTTTACTGAGTAAGAGAAAATATATTACACGGGGTGAAATTTCCCGGCATACAGCAATTACATTACAGTTTACAAAGGAAGCTAAGGGTTTCACTAAGGAAGCTAAGGGTTTCACTAAGGAAGCTAAGGGTTTAACTAAGGAAGCTAAGGGTAGCTAAGGGTTTCACTAAGGAAGCTAATGGTTTTACAAAGGAAGCTAAGGGTTTCACTAAGGAAGCTAAGGGTTTCACTAAGGAAGCTAAGGGTTTAACTAAGGAAGCTAAGGGTAGCTAAGGGTTTCACTAAGGAAGCTAATGGTTTTACTAAGGAAGCTAAGGGTTTCACTAAGGAAGCTAAGGGTTTCACTAAGGAAGCTAAGGGTTTAACTAAGGAAGCTAAGGGTAGCTAAGGGTTTCACTAAGGAAGCTAATGGTTTTACTAAGGAAGCTAAGGGTTTCACTAAGGAAGCTAAGGGTTTCACTAAGGAAGCTAAGGGTTTAACTAAGGAAGCTAAGGGTAGCTAAGGGTTTCACTAAGGAAGCTAATGGTTTTACTAAGGAAGCTAAGGGTTTCACTAAGGAAGCTAAGGGTTGCACTAAGGAAACTAAGGGTTTCACGAAGGAAGCTAAGGGTTTCACTAAGGAAGCTAAGGGTTTACCTAAGGAAGCTAAGGGTTAAGGTAACCAAGAAATACCCTCTGAGCTGGAATGTCCGGGGGGGGGGGGTTGGAGTGACATCATACAGACATGCTCCGATTAACATTAACATGCAACATGCACAGATAGATTATGTAACATATCTCCCATAGCTAGTTATCAAATATAAAGAGGAATGCATTTATAACGACTCCTGTAACTTTTAGTTATAAGAGTGATACAATAACTAAGTAAATATATATATATATAGTTTTTACACAAAAGTATTCAAAGGATATCATAATGGTGAATTAAGTGACTGCTCACTCTATACTAGACAGACATACAATAACTTAATCCACGCTTTGTGAACATGGTTCTACAGTGTAAAAAGAAACGATTAAGTGTGGCAAAAATTGAAACATTCCTTTCACTTAGATATCTAAAGAAAAACTAGTACTGGATAAAAACAAATGTTAATTCACAATATCAGATCAATATTTACCACAATTTTCAAACTACATGCTGTAAACCAGTCAGAATGATTTTGTTGAATCAACTAACAATACCTACCGACTGTTTAGACATATTTGTGTTTCCACGGGTCATCTGGTTTGGTGAAAATTTGCGCAGTGGTGCACTTCCCATCTTTTGAGCTGCTGCTCCTGCATAAGGTTGACCTATACAACACAATACAAGTCACCTGTATCCTATACTGTTACATATCAATATTAAAACATGACAGTGTTTTCACATCGGCACCATTCGCAGTGTGATGTCAAAATCAGGCTTTCTTATTTTCAATTTCCTGATAAAAAATATATTTTATTTACTCTTCAAAGTCAAATTTGAGATCTGTACATAAGTGACTGATGGCTGTAGCCTTGACCACTCACCAGCGACGGGGTCGGGGCGTGTGGACTGAGACCGTGACTGACGATTCACCGTGCTGTTATCGTTGCCGTATGTTAAGGGACGGGCTTGTCCAGAATGAGGATGGGACTCTCTGCCAGGGCTAATCCCGTGTGGGTGTTTTTGTGGGGCAAGTGTTGGTGGTGCTTGCTTCTCTCTGCGTAAGTACACGGGATCTGATCGCGGTTCATTGATGTTAACAGTCATGTCTGTTAAACTCTCCAGGTCACCATTCACACCAGGTTCCATGTTTTCTATAAGAAACACAAATGTTTTTCATAAAACATTCCATCCATGTGTAGGATACTATAGAGCTTAGGTTTATCCTATCTACTGTAGCATTGATGGGTATGGTGTATATGATTCCTATATTTCACATAATTACTACATCTTTAAGATGCTGGTACACATTTATTGAGCTAGGTAGACTTGAACAATCTGGATAACATGGTTTCTTTGATGATACAACAGAGATTGTAGTGATTATAGAGCGCAAACTTCAATGTCTAGGAAAAGCAGTTCTTCACAATGATCCAATGTAAAATTCCAAAGGTATGTTGTTTTCAACAATCTGATTATAGAAACTAAAGCTTTTTTATTCTTTATCAAATAAAGCATCCAAAAAAAATGTTTATGTCATAGGATATCTGGTATATACCTTGGTATTCTTCTAAATCTGAGTTTGGTCTTGTATCTTCAAACGCGTTTCTTGTAAATCTATGTGCAGCTGTGGTCCATGCGATAGCCTACAACATAAACAATTATCAGCTATAATGGTAACAGTTATAGTTTGTAATGTAAACAATTATAGTCAAGAAAATAAATACATTTATCATTAAATCAAAGTGGACAGTCAATCACAGACAAGATAATCCTGTTACCAATGAAAAATGACAACTATAAACTGTGGAGGCTGAGAGTGTTGAAATGCAACATTAAGGACACTGCCGCAGTACACACCTGGCCGTTGGGTTTACAGAGGATGGTGGTACACTCGGGCCCAGTGCCCCACTTGCTTTGCTCCTTCCACACGTAGTCTGTTGGGGGTTGGTGTAGGATCGCCTCGTTACTTCCTGACCAGATGGTGATCGTTGACTGTTTGGGGAATTTGGCGCGTGAAGGGAATCTGTAGACAGCTACTGGATGTCCTCCGACGTTCTGCTGGATCATATACCCACCAAACTCTGCTTCCTAGATAGACACAATGATGTGATTAATTTTCTTCAGGCTTAAAAAAATGTTTTTAACGAACATCATTCAATATTATGCGTAAATTACTGTTTTCCTTAAAATGCCTTACTATATTATAGATTAAGATTACATTATTTTCTATAGGTATTTTGACTTAAACTGACTACTTATACAAATCTTGAATAGTTTTCATTGATATCGTTTTGTTATGATATCAATATATATGTAATTCAAATGTGTTCAAGGTCGATCTTCAACTAACCTTTAATTCAAGCTGTCAAAATCTTTTACAAAGAACCATATAATTTTAGAGAAATTCAAGGTCTTGAAAGTAATGAAAAAAACTTGATGTATGCATGTTTCAGTCAAGAAAAGAAACTTGTCAATCCACTCGGTCAATGTCTCTGATACAGTTATCATCATGAGTAGATTTCTGGTTTCCAGGTAAAGATTGAGACTAGAACTAGTTTGTCTTAGACTTTAAGGTCAGGACTAGATTGTCTTAGTGTTTTAGCTCAGTAGCTGTTAGGTAACTTATAAATAACTGATCACAGTAGTATCTCATTCCTGGTACAATAGTGTGGCTGTGAGGCGATCGGTCTGGCAGTCATTCAGTAGATTGTTGTATTATTGCCGGGGACAATAGATAAGTCTACAGCCCATTATTGGAAGTTAGTGGGAAAAAATTGCATGAATTGTGGTTTTAACATGTCATACTGATAATAACAGGTGTGCTTTGTGTACGGGTAATACCTCATATGGTTCTGGATAAAACGGTCATAATATTGGTCACTTCATTCACCAGAAGGCATACAGAGGGCAGAATGGACAACGCAAATACAACACAGAGTACCGGGGAAATGATTTTAAATTTGTTTTTTGAAATAACAATTTATGTTATTTAATTTCATATCGGTCACAATTTACAACCTCACAATTCATGTCAATCTAAATCTGATAATGGTACCTTGGAAAAATCTAAATGTGGAATGTATTCAATACAGTTAAGTAATTAACAGCATATTTAAAGAAAGCAATAGTAAACCAAATAAAATCACATCCAATGATGATTTAAATGTCTTTCATTCTGAAATCATGGTATCAGATCTGTTTTCTTTTGAAATTGAACACAGATTGATTTTGTTCTAGGTTAAACATTCTCACAATATCGAAGGTGAAATAAAAACGGACACAATGAACGAAAAACAAAATGTAAGCTGGATTACTGAAGAAATCCAACATGATTGTTTCCATGGGAACACAGATCATTCTTCACCGACGTGAACGTCCGCTTCACTTGTTACGCTTCACTTGTCCAATAACAAGCTGAAGATATATTGGATATTTAATCTCGGCTTTATTACAGATTTACAGAAAGTAAATGGACCGAAAGATACCATTAGTTTACAAGTGATATTAAATTCTGGCATTTTATCCCACGAACAATCTAAAGGCCCAACTTTAATGTGAATCTGTATGAGAGAATTACTGAATAATCAACAATTTAATTAATGTCTTACACATTACTATAAAACACACACAAACCACATTAATGACTTCTGTCATACAACTAACGTTTATTAATCAAATCAACATGTTCAATTTAATATCAACTCAACTGTTCAAATGGAATTCAGAGATTTATTTTATATTTTATATTTTGTGTTAGTGTACAAGTGTGTTTGATATTTTGTTTTGGGGAAGAACATTATTCCAGTAAATAAGAGGAAAACTACATGTTCTGTTTGTTACTCCAGTAATATTAGCTATATCCCATGATAACATTGTTCACACAGCCAAAAACCTACCTCAGTACAATGTACTACCTTATGTGACAATATCTTCTTTATCATTACTACAGAGATTAATTAATACTTATCAAAATATTGTATTTAATTCATCAATAAAAATCAGATGCAACACAGTTATGTCTTCAATGTGAACGTAAGAAGGGATTGTTATATTTAAGACAGCTATTCAGTCGAAATTCACACAAATCCCATTGTGATAACTGTTAAATGTCTGTGAATGAAGTGTTTGTATTTGACACTCACCTGTTCGGAGTCGTTAGACAGCCGGACGTACTTGCCCTCCTGGTTCACCTCGAGGATCTTGATGTCTCCTATAGCACTGTCAATGTGATAATCCATGGAGAATGTATAAGTCACAATTAACACAAATATCGTTACACACCTATAACATCAGGTACAACACATGGCTTTTACTTGGTCGTATCAAGTCACTATGTGAAATGGCATGCATGCATTTTCAGTTTTGAGATATAGGTATTGTGTATATATACAAACTGCTCCCGCCCCGCACAATGCTGGTTTCTATGTAAACTTCTCGGTATTGATTTACACGCCAGGCACACTGATCACATATCACCAATCAAATGAATACTACCGAACAGTTTAATACTATAACAATTGCTGTATAGGGTAACACACTTACAGAGGGATAAAACTTCAATGATTTAATAAACGTAATGTCATTCAAATCCTGGAGGTCTTATGAACGGATCAAGGTACCATTGAGCCTCGTACGACCCAGCCGTTCTGTCACACACAGGGGTAGTCACAGGCACTTGGCATGGGTTTACCGTAAATGGTATTGATCTCCAATACACCCGCTCTAAACAGCTCATCGGATGTAAACTGTAAATTTTAACAATTAACTGAATGCAGCAGACTTTGCTTACTGTTAGACACCACGAAGGTATCTATAGGTACCTAAACTAGGATCTGATACCTTATCAATCTAACTCCTTGTAATCCTGAATGTTTTGTTCAACTCTGAAATACCTTGGTTATAATAATTTTAAATATATTTGTACACAAAGCATTGTGTTTTTCTGTCTACAAAAACCTGTCTACCTAGTGATACCTCTTCATCATGAAGTTTGGAATACAAAAAGTATTGATTTCCTGTGTAACTAGATGGTAAAATATTTCATTGGTTTACATCGAACATGGATCAAAAGGATTCCTCAAACATTTGCAATGATAAATCATACAAAATGTATTATACACATTGTGACAACCATGGGTTTATGGAGGTTATTGATACAGATACAAACAATTCAATACATTACCCTGTCCCTACACAACATTTAATAGCTATCTGGCACCACCGCCATTATCATGTATATGTTAATACAACCATGTGTATCTTCACTCGGGCTCAGTGACCATACATATATACATACTGGCAGCAGAACTTAAAGTCTAAATGAAACAGGACGGAAACTGTACACCAATCGTAAATCAATAAGTAGAAAAACGGAATTCCCTTCCGTTTTTCTACTTATTGATTTACGATCCAAATGACACAACATGAACAGAAATTTTGTTTCTAAATGTCTAAAAGAATCGAAATTTTCATTAAAAAATATATTGAAAGTCTCAATTGCCCTTAGATATTGATTCAGCAACAGTATCAATTTTACATACTGATCTATATATCGTACCTGGTATATACTGACCGATACATTGTACCTGGTATATACTGACCGATACATTGTACCTGGTATATACTGACCGATACATCGTACCTGGTATATATACTGACCGATACATTGTACCTGGTATATACTGACCGATACATTGTACCTGGTATATACTGACCGATACATTGTACCTGGTATATACCTCACCCAATGTTATATTTTTATATCAAAGCTTGTGTACCTTTACCACAGTTTCTGTACTAAAGCTTTGTATCACATGGAGATTTATCAACACAACAAGAGAATACTGGTAGCAGAAAGTGGTCACACAGCTTAGTGTAAATACTTTAATCAGCTAATCTCTGTCCACCACTATCCAGGTTATACACCGCCCAATACGCTGGATAATTTACCATGCTGATACCTGCTTTTATTACCAATATGGAATATAAGGGTACTTAGCAATATCAACAAGGCTTTCTGATAAATGAAATAAAAAAAAATATGACCACTGACTTAGCCAAAACACCTGTGACATGATACTTGAATATATAACCCAAGCAGATTTAACTGGGAGTGTGGGCTTTACGATACCCCACACTATCTGTTCCTATAATATCATAGTGTTGTAGATATGGCAATAAATGCCCTGACCATGATGTTCCTTCAAATTAAGTCTGACATCCATACTTAAAACAGTAGCCAAGGTATCCTCCAGAAACTTATAACCCTACACTGTTTGTATAACTTAGGGCAATAGTAAGGTTACAGTGAGACAATTGTATTACCCGTCACATGTTGCTCGAACATAACATGTACCCTTATTATAAAACAGTAGCCAAGGTATCCTCCAGAAACTTATAACCTTATAACCCTACACTGTATGTATAACTTAGGGTCATAGTAAGGTTACAGTGAGACAATTGTATTACCCGTCACATGTTGCTAGAACATAACGTACCCTTATAACTACATCAAGTCTGACATCTATATAAAAAACAGTAGCCAATTCATCCTCCATACCCCTACACTGTCTGTAAAACGTAGGGTCATATTGAGGTTACAGTGAACCAATTTAGTTACACAACACATATTTCTTGAAAATAATGTTGCTTGAAAATAATATACCTTAACATCAAATTTGAAATCCAATACATGAAATGGTAGCTAAGATATGTTCAGAAACCTATATTACATTTTAATAAACTATTTGAGGTTATCTTTACATGATGTACCTTAGTAATTTATACAAAGTTTGAATCCCATTCTTGACATTGTAATATGATTTTTTATCATTACCTTATTAATTTTAATTTTAATTTAGATGAATATTGTTGTAAGGGATATTTTTTCATTTGTTTTTATTTAATCATCTATATCAAACAGTCTTTATAACATGGTGCATTTGTAGATCAAACCAATATCTGGCTCATTAGTACTATCATATATTTTTAAAATTTAAATTTCTGAAATGTGATTCCTCAATTTTACATCTATTAGTTGGCACACGACAGAATAACAGCATTCTTATCTGCGTAAGAGGATATATACATGGCCCAGGAAGGTACCCTAAGCCAACACTGCCCGGTAACCCGACAGGGATCGGTAGACCCTGTAACCCGACACAGGGATCGGTAGATAAGAACAGATCTTAATTAAAACAATGTTAAAGGGGCTGGTCGGGGAAAAAAATTATAAAATAAATGGGTCTAAATGCGTTCTCTGGCCTTCCAAAAGTTATACCACGGCAATATGATGGTCGAGTTCTGCTTGCAATGTCCAGTTTTGACCACTGAATCTCGGGGAAGCCCCGCGTAAATTTAGCGCAGATCTATTTATATATGTCACGTGGTTGTTTTGAAAGTGAGGCAGTGAAGATAACAACAATAGCACGCCGTCATGTGCCATGTCGGACTCAACTAGCAGACAAGACAGTAATACTATACGTAAATAATTGTTTTCAAAGGTCATGTATGATGCAAGTGTAGTATTCCTACCCTATGTTGTTGTTATATATAACGGTATTGATACCTCGTGCCTGTCATGACTTTTGCATGCATCTTTTTCTTTCGCCGCAATGTTTACATTTGGCCTTGCTGATGACGCGCGTGCAGTAAAATTACATCACTGATCTGGGTCAATTGAGAGTTTTAGACTGTCAGGTGACGATTTAGGATTTCTTTAATATAATTATAATTTTTACTCTTAGGGAGTGAATTTCAGCAAAATTTGTATCGGTATATTTCATAAGAAGGTATTTTAAACATGTGTATGCCATTTTAGCAAATATGACATTTTTTCCCCCGACCAGCCCCTTTAACTCTGTACACTGTTTTTCAAGGAAAAACTGAGATGTGTCGCTTACCAGATGTGGAATGGAATAATACTATAATAGTTACTGAGTTGTGCTTGATTGCTTTAAAGTATGTAAATTAATCAATTTCTGATCTTACCTGACATAGCTACAATTCTTATTTCCATTAATCTTATTTTTATCATGCTGATTATGGTAGGTATAGATTTCATCATGATGCAGTAGAGCGGAAAAACTATGCTTATTATTGTAACTTAGTACAAATCTATATAAGCATATATAAACTATATAAAGTATAAACTAAGTACATCTAATAAGTTATAAAAATTTGATTATACAAAATTGAGCTAAAAAAATGAATAAGAAATCTAGAAAGACAGAATATATTTGAAGAAGACTGTTAAAAGTAAAGTTAGAAGATTGAGATATAGCTGTGATTGTGTAAGTTAGAGCTCATGCATTGTCAGGCACTAACGGTGAAGAGTCTGTGCTATTTACCAGAACAGACATTTGTTGGTTAATGCTAGCAATAACAAGGCTAAGTGACAGTTTTATCAGATTCTACAGTTCTACTACAATTCAGATAAATCTTAGTCTAAAATATGTATTCTTTTCATGTCAAATTATTTGAAATTTGAAAGTTAGAACATGGAGATTATGTTAAGCAAGAAAACTACTCTACTTAATCTTCAATAAGATTTATCAGTTTGGAAATATGTTAAATCACAGTACATGTAGTCACGACAAAGGGACCAGTAGTCACAGCTTGACAAAGGGACCAGTAGTCACAGCTTGACACAGGGACCAGCAGTCACAGCGTGACAAAGGGACCAGTAAGCACAGCTTGACAAACGGACCAGCAGTCACAGCTTGACAAAGGGACGAGTAGTCACAGCTTGACAAAGGGACCAGTTGTAACAGCTTGACAAAGGGACCAGTAGTTACAGCTTGACAAAGGGACAAGAAGTCACAGCTCGACAAAGGGACCAGTAGTTACAGCTTGACAAAGGGACCTGTAGTAACAGCTTGACAAAGGGCCCAGTAGTTACAGCTTGACAAAGGGACCAGTAGTAACAGCTTGACAAAGGGACCAGTATTCACAGCTTGACAAAGGGACCAGTAGTCACGACAAAGGGACCAGTAGTCACAGCTTCACAAAGGGACCAGTAGTCACAGCTTGACACAGGGACCAGCAGTCACAGCTTGACAAAGGGACCAGTAGTTACAGCTTGACAAAGGGACCAGTAGTAACAGCTTGACAAAGGGCCCAGTAGTTACAGCTTGACAAAGGGACAAGAAGTCACAGCTCGACAAAGGGACCAGTAGTTACAGCTTGACAAAGGGACCAGCAGGAACAGCTTGACAAAGGGCCCAGTAGTTACAGCTTGACACAGGGACCAGCAGTCACAGCTTGACAAAGGGACCAATAGTCACAGCTTCACAAAGGGACCAGCAGTCACAGCTTGACAACGGGACCAGTAGTCACAGCTTGACAAAGGGACCATCAGTCACAGCTTGACAAAGGGACCAGTAGTAACAGCTTGACAAAGGGGCCAGTAGTTACAGCTTGACAAAGGGACCAGCAGGAACAGCTTGACAAAGGGCCCAGTAGTTACAGCTTGACAAAGGGACAAGAAGTCACAGCTCGACAAAGGGACCAGTAGTTACAGCTTGACAAAGGGACAAGTAGTTACAGCTTGACAAAGGGACCAGTAGTAACAGCTGGACAAAGGGACCAGTAGTCACAGCTTGACAAAGGGCCCCGCAGTCACAGCTTGACAAAGGGACCAGTAGTGACAGCTTGACAAAGGGACCAGCAGTCACAGCTTGACAAAGGGTCCAGTAGTCACAGCTTGACAAAGGGACCAGTAATCACAGCTTGACAAAGGGACCAGTAGTAACAGCTTGACAAAGGGGCCAGTAGTTACAGCTTGACAAAGGGACCAGTAGTTACAGCTTGACAAAGGGACCAGTAGTAACAGCTTGACAAAGGGCCCAGTAGTTACAGCTTGACAAAGGGACCAGTAGTTACAGCTTGACAAAGGGACCAGTAGTCACAGCTTGACAAAGGGACCAGTAGTCACAGCTTGACAAAGGGACCAGTAGTCACAGCTTGACAAAGGGACCAGTAGTCACGACAAAGGGACCAGTAGTCACAGCTTCACAAAGGGACCAGCAGTCACAGCTTGACAAAGGGACCAGCCCGTTTTAAAACGTTGTGACATGTTTGATATGTACATTGTTTGTGTATAAAGTAAAACTATGATATACTACTATATTATTTTATGAAAATTGATATGCCTTTGGCTAAACATTATAATGTATAATTGGGAAATTTCTAGCAAATTGAAACAAAGTAAGAAATATATCTTTAAAACCATGTCCCGTGAGAGATGTAAAACATCCTACTTCCTTCATGCATTAAGACTTAAGTTTGTCTAGCCTTTCCCAATGTCAATAACTGAGGTATAGGTATACACCTGAGCTAAACTTTATGATTTGGTCAAAGAAAACCTGCTCACCCACACAATCAAGCTCAAGAGTTACTTCCCTTGCCATAACCTTTTAAATGTATAGATTTCATGTGAATTTTTCTTAAAGTGGAAGTTCAATTATTTCAGTTCATGTGAATTATATTTAAGTTTTATTTTTTCATGTAAATGAAATTTGGATTTATTTTATCTGAAGATCGTGTGAATTTTCATTCATTTAGATTTAAAGTGAATTACAACTGATGGGATTTTATTACATTCCTATGTGGATTTCTCGCGAAATTTATTCAGGTTTTATTTGTCAGTGTGAATTTTGTGTACATTTTTTTTTTTTTTTTTTAATCCAAATTTAATCTTTATTTCACTTATTCATTTCATATTGATTTTTCCCAATTATAATCTGCATGAATATCATTCAATTTTGTTTTCATAACAACTTCAATTCATGCCAATTTCATTTGAATTCTTATTTAATTAACTTAATTTCCAGGTGATTTTTTTTTCATATGAATTATAATTGAATATATTTAAAAGGATTTGAATTCATTGGGAATTAATTTTCAGGATAAGTTTATTTCAAATGAATTGTCTTTGCATATTTAGATTTTCTTCCATAAGAATTTTAGGTGAAATTCAGGCAAATTTAAATTCATGTGAATTTCAAGTAGATATTTTTTTCATGTACTTAATCACATTAATTTTTTTTCTTGTTTACTTCATTTTCATATCTTATCATGTTTACTTCTATTTTGCATGAATTTTCACATGATTTTAATAATATATTATATTTCATTTTAAGGCATTTTGTTTCTTGTGACTTGCATTTTTATGTAAATACAAGATGTATATACTTCTCACAGATTCTAACTTACTGGTAAGTGAATTTCGTTAGTCTATCTTTCATGTGAATTTTGATATCTGAATCTGAGTTCAAGTGAATTATTTTTAATCTGGATTTCATGTGAGAAAGCATGCCTGTTTCCCCTCCACCTCCCTAGCAATAGGATATAACATACATTTTTAAGATTTATTGCCTGTGAGATGACTGCTGTATAAAAAGATTTAAATTTTATAATACAATAAAAATGTATTAGATATGTGGGGAAAAACCCACGAAATATTCACAAAACAAATGTTCTGCAAAATTTCATAGAGTTAACTAGAACTACTGACACTTTATAGTGTCACACACACTGTTAAACCCATTCCTACATTTGTTCTATAAACTGTGAAAGCTTGACCCTAGATCATTTAAGTGCTCTTCACTAAGTATTCATATACTTGAATTAAGATTTGATTAAATATCTAATACATAGCATGCATACACGATATGTTAATGACTGTCCTGTGGACATGCGGGCAGTGGTGGGCAGGTCCTATTTGACCACTCCTTACCTGGCGTAGTAGTACTGTTCACCACACAATTTGCGTTTTAACTTGCCTTTCTGGGTTTTCTTACCCCGACTGTGAGATAGATACCACAAATTTGGTCAAATACATACTCGACATATCATATCTATTTTTTACAATACACTCTTCCAGTTTCTGAACTCATTCTATCAGCATCTGTTGATCTGGTTGCTTACAGGCTAATATAACCAAATTAATCATCATGAATATTTTGGAAATACTTATAATTAAGCTGTGCATAATCTGTGATACATGCTAACATCAAGTGTCAAACTCTTCGATCAAGTGTCAGATGTCCACTGTCTACTAACAGACATCTGAGTAATTCTATAGGTAACCATGTGTCAGATGTCCACTGTCTACTAACAGACAACTGAGGAGTTCTATAGGTAACCAAGTGTCACATGTCCACCGTCTACTAACAGACATCTGAGCAATTCTATAGGTAACCATGTGTCATATGTCCACTGTCTACTAACAGACAACTGAGTAATTCTATAGGTAACGACGTGTCAGATGTCCGATGTCTACTAACAGACAACTGAGTAGTTCTATAGGTAACCACGTGTCAGATGTCCACTTTCTACTAACAGACAACTGAGTAATTCTATAGGTAACGACGTGTCAGATGTCCGATGTCTACTACCAGACAACTGAGTAGTTCTATAGGTAACCACGTGTCAGATGTCCACTTTCTACTAACAGACAACTGAGTAATTCTATAGGTAACGACGTGTCAGATGTCCGCTGTCTACTAACAGACAACTGAGTAGTTCTATAGGTAACCACGAGTCAGATGTCCACTGTCTACTAACAGACAACTGAGTATTTCTATAGGTAACCAAGTGTCACATGTCCACTGTCTACTAACAGACAACTAAGTAGTTCTATAGGTTACCACATGTCAGATGTCCACTGTCTACTAACAGACAACTGAGTAGTTCTATAGGTAACCACGTGTCACATGTCCACTGTCTACTAACAGACAACTGAGTAATTTTATAGGTAACGACGTGTCAGATGTCCACTGTCTACTAATAAACAACTGAGTAATTCTATAGGTAACCAAGTGTCACATGTCAACTGTCTACTAACAGACAACTGAGTCATTCTATAGGTAACCAAGTGTCACATCTCCACTGTCTACTAACAGACAACTGAGATGTCCACTGTCTACTAACAGACACCTGAGTAATTCTATAGGTAACCAAGTGTCACATGTCCACTGTATACTAACAAACTACTGAGTAGTTCTATAGGTAACCACGAGTCAGATGTCCACTGTCTACTAACAGACACCTGAGTAATTCTATAGGTAACCAAGTGTCACATGTCCACTGTATACTAACAAACTACTGAGTAGTTCTATAGGTAACCACGTTTCAGATGTCCACTGTCTACTAACAGGCAACTGAGTAGTTCTATAGGTAACCACGTTTCAGATGTCCACTGTCTACTAACAGACACCTGAGTAATTCTATAGGTAACCAAGTGTCACCTGTCCACTGTCTACTAACTGACAACTGAGTAGTTCTATAGGTAACCACGTTTCAGATGTCCACTGTCTACTAACAAACCACTGAGTAATTCTATAGGTAACCAAGTGTCACATCTCCACTGTCTACTAACAGACAACTGAGATGTCCACTGTCTACTAACAGACACCTGAGTAATTCTATAGGTAACCAAGTGTCAAATGTCCACTGTCTACTAACAGACAACTGAGATGTCCACTGTCTACTAACAGACACCTGAGTAATTCTATAGGTAACCAAGTGTCACATGTCAACTGTCTACTAACAGACAACTGAGTCATTCTATAGGTAACCAAGTGTCACATCTCCACTGTCTACTAACAGACAACTGAGAAATTATATAGGTAACCATGTGTCAGGTGTCCACTGTCTACTAACAGACAACTGAGTCATTCTATAGGTAACCAAGTGTCACATGTCCACTGTCTATTAACAGACAACTGAGTAGTTCTATAGGTTACCATGTGTCAGATGTCCACTGTCTACGAACAGACAACTGAGTAATTATATAGGTAGCCATGTCTCAGATGTCCACTGTCTACTAACAGATAACTGAGTAATTCTATAGGTAACCACGTGTCAGATGTCCACTGACTACTAACAGACAACTGAGTAATTATATAGGTAACCATGTGCCAGATGCTAGTTACCATACCATCTAACAATGGACACAACACAGAATAAATGTTTTTGTGAAAAATCATTCAAGCTAGTCCCTTTCTTTTCCTTCATCTCGTTTTATGCCATTATTCTCTTGCTTTCATATGTAAATAGTCCCTTTCTTTTCCTTCATCTCGTTTTATGCCATTATTCTCTAGCTTTCATATGTAAACATTTTACAACACAACAGCCAACAAGTAGCAACACATCTACAGTCAAAAGGGGAAATTAAAATTAAATTAAAACATTGGTCTTATGGAAAATTTTACATACTGTATAGCAGTTATATTTTGCGGGGGTTTTAATTTTGCTATATTCGTGCTTTGACTAATATCCGCGAATTCTAAACACCAGCGAAATTATCGAAAATGTTAACCACTTTTACAGACCTTATCACAACATGTTATAACCTAACAACTAGGCAGTCCATGTAAAAACAACGCTTACATATCGGTGGCTACAACATATTCATGTGTACACAGTAGGTGATTAATTGATTACAGTTTACTACTACAAACGTACATACACATTTGATTTTCTTTCGAGTGAAGTCACACTCTGGATTAGTGTATTCAATTGGTTTACCTGTTTTTTGAGGTTTAACCCTTAAATGATGACACTTAAAATACTTTGCACGACACATGGGATTCGGGTATTTATCCCCCGTGAATATGTACGCAATACGAAACCGCGAAATATTGACCCCACAAATTTAAAGCGCTATACAGTACTTATATCTGTGTGAAGAAGAGGTGAGCGACAACACAATTCAAAATTCTAATTAACAACTCTTAGCTGATACGGACATGTGGATGATAAAATGGTTATAATATGATTTCCAGTGAGGGGTAGAAATAAAGTGCTTGCGGGAAGTAATGTTTATACCGAAGCATCAACAAAGCATAACAGTCAATTATGGAAAAGCCAAACCAAACCATTCGTTATTGATTTTCATTAAAGTTCCACTTCCTTAAATCAAAATCACATCTAAGATATAATATCCCGAAATTATAAAAAAATCCCTCTCAAGCTTTTTATGCAGATCTGGAACCTCATTTTGAAGCCATATGTTGATGACCTCCACGAACATTGTTTTTCAGAGTCTCTTATAATTATTGATGATTGTGGTATTTGTTCACCGTCTATTTCTCATTATCCTTAAACGTCAGCATATGACATAATGCTTCAGGCCTCCGAAATTAAAGCACAAATTCTGAGCACAAAAATGAAATCAAATTACAGATTTTTGGTAGTTACTGAGGGTAAAAAATTAGTAATTAAATAATAAATCTAATAAGTAACAGGATGATGAAAACTGACGATGTGTAGGTTGTACCTATTAGTGAACGCTGCGTTGTCAGGAGATTCACGCTCCAGGATCTCCACACTCCCACTTTGGCTGCAAATTTGCAAAAATTGCCACAAATTCAAACCTTTTGATTTTTCTAAACTTTTCTGACCTAACTGTGGTATGTAATTGTGTTGTAAATAGTAACTTTGTTTACAAATTCTATAATAGAATAAATATTGCATACTCATTTCTTCAACACCATCTCCTATTTCTTTGCATGCTAAATCCAGAATAGTTTTGGAGATCTTATGTATAGAAAACTTCCTGACAGCAATATTCCTATGCCCATATGTAGTATTTCTATCTGGTTAGTAGACATTTACCAAAACATGTATCACCTCAACCATTCAGTTACAGTGATATCAGGAGTACATAGAAAGGGTGAAGTTACCAGAAACCCACACGAATGAAACGTTATCTCATTGAATGATACCAGTGATAAGCCCACCCCTCTGTTAATAAGGATCTACAGATGAAGGCTATATCTTGAATCCAACATTCCAGTATAAATAGGGTTGAAATCAACAATAAACCTAGAAATTATCTGAACTTTTGAAGGACTAGGTCCTCTTTCTTTGGTTTAATACAAATTTAATCAAGATTTGTTGTCTAACTTAACAGGGAAAACATGGCTAAAACAAGTAAAAAAAAAAGATATTTGCTAACCAGCTTTTGTCAAATCAGGGGCCCAGGCTTATCACAGGTAAACGATTAGACATAAGTTGTACATGTAAAGATGGATACCGTTGATAGTTACACTAAGATACAACTGCCCACATTTTACAAGTAATATAAGACTTGGTTAATTGAGGTGGCTTACCTGGAGGTGGAGGTGTTATAGTCGTGGTATGTCGATGTTGGCTGTCGTTCGGTGGGACTACTTTTTGGGCGTACTTGTGTGTAAAGTGTCTCTCGTGTAAGATCTTGAAACATTTCATCAAAGTAGTCCTTTCCCTGACCTAGACTGGCAGGTACAAGGCCTGACGCTGTGATCCTCCCTTGGTTACTATGACCAGAGGCTGGAAACAACGGGAGATAATCAAGTTCAAGTCCCACTAACTAACACAAACAGTACAAATTCTATTTTGATGAAATGGCCATTGTCAAGATCATTTCAAATAAAAAAAAAATCTGAAAATTAATACAGAGTTATTAAGAAACCAGTGTGAATCAGACCAACTAGCTGGTTCTGTTTAATTTCCTTTGAAATGGCAAATTGAACCTGAAATCTGAAAACCTGTCTGAAACATTTGCTTCTGACAGTATTTAGTGGATTACTTTCTCTACATCATACAAATACACCAATAACTCCACCTAAATCTTTATTTCATTTTTTTATGACAACTTCTTCTGACAAGATATCTCATATGCAATGCCATAAACCAGTAATTCTCTAAAAATCATCTTTACTTCTTTCTGACCAATGGTAACGTATTCATTCACCAATGAAAAATTAACACACACAAACATGTACAGTTCTAACACATGCAATCTTATGACCAAATTAGCAGATCTACTCACCAGGGTGATTTTCCATCTTTATATTGATACATAGTATATTGTTCAGGTCTTACACATACATGTAATGTAATTATAAATGGTAAAATGGTTTATATACAGTTACATAATGTCTGTACTATCATACTTTTAATTGGTGGTGGGCAGATCAGAACACAAACGGATGCAGCAATCAATATATACTTCAACTCATGCATTTATAGAGCAAGTGATTTCAATATATTTAGCAGTGATGTCTGGTGTTTAAAGCGTGACGTTATCAAATCATTTATACTTAAAAATATAACAAGATATTTTAGGAACTTTTCTTCATTATGATGAATACTGCAATGCTATTGCTATTACATCGTCTATTGTAACATGTATAAAAAATAAAAAAATCTGAAAATAACCCTTTCTTTGGCAAGTAACATAATAGCTTTTCAGACTATTTCAGTTGAGGAATTTTTACTTTGTCATCTTTAAGGTGTATGGTATAAGTTTCCCTGTTATCTTTGTAGTCAAGAGTTAAAATTTCACTCATCTTTAATTTGCTCTATTTTGTGAGAATATTAATAAACAGAGTACAGAGTAATTGATACTGGAATAAATAGACTTGTCTCGCCCCTAATTAAAAAGTAATCAAACAGGTGAGAATCTGTCAACACTAACTAAGAGATAGGTGAGAATCTGTCTACACTAACTAAGAGATATGTTGTCAGCATTCGTGGACCTACCACTGTGACCTAGGTAACGGGAATAACTCGGAGTCACATAGCTCACATGGCGGGGGGCATACATGTAGCCAGCAGGCTTATACCTTGGGTAAATATAAAATTTCTCTGAAATATAAATGTCCAATATACAGTGTCTATGGTATAATATTCCAGTATGATCTCATATGATTTATAAATACTGGACATATAGAAAGCATCACTATTCTAATGGAGTTATCTCCCTTTATTAAAGTGGTCCCTTGACTTTAATTTTTGATTACCTAGTAGTGTACAAAAAGTTACTTCAAAAACAGATAAAATGAAATTCTTGTGAGCTGTTTTGACATAAACAGCAATTTAATTGATTATATATCCATAGTTTATAGTAAAATCACATGTATGTGAATAAGATGACTATTTTTATGTTTATTTGCCAGAAGAAACATTGCGATCACAAATCCAAAGCTTCAAGAATTTATCCTTATATAAATGTGCTAGGGACAAAGGGTTGTTAATATTTCTGTTTAGACTTTACATTGGGTTTAGCATCCTATTTACAGCTAAGGTCGTTTAAGGACGTGCCTCCGTGTGTATAGTGTGTGCTGGAGGCAGTATGCTGCTGTATTTGCCTCCCTGCGATAATGTGGATCTGATGCTGCCTTTAGAATGCTAACTCACTGAAATACCATGCCGACGTCACCCGGCACAGTATTCCACTTGGTCCCATTATACTGACAACGAGTTAACCAGTTGTTGCAATTACCCTAAATGTTAAATATTATGATAGCTATCATTTTTAAGGACTTTGGTATGCCCCAGGGGACAAACCCTTTGCCTTCTTCACTTTGGCACACATTCAACACTAAGGGGGATCGTTTCTTCTGTTAATTCAAATCCTCACCAACCCTCACCAAAATTTAAGTATACAGGAAAACAATCTTATTTATAGTACTTTTTGAAACACAATTTCCATTCAAGAACTGTTACTAATGTTAAATACTTAGATACCTTACATACATCCTTCACACGCTTAACTGAGTTTGTAGTAATGGATATGTAAGAAGAATCCCCTACAGACATAGACAAAAGTTAATCAAAGGAATAGAAGTCTGTCTTTACCTGGGGCTGACTTGACTCTGACTACTGGGCCAACAGGTCGCGGCGTTATAGGTGGTGATGGTTCTATCTGTAGGCGATTCATACTGGGTGTGGCCTCATATGTGTAACGTGTAGCACTAGGAATGTCAGGGGAGGTGGCCATGGTTTCATATTCTTGTTTGGCTAGAGTTGAGGACACAACAGGATCAAGCATCTCTGTCTGTAGAACCATAGAATCCGGGCCCAACTCATGTAGCTGTGTGTAGGCTGACATGACTGGGGGAGCTGGGGAGATAGGAGGAGCTGATGGGGTCAAAGGTCGCATGGCGGCAGTGTATGCCACAGTAACTGGCGTAGTTGTGGTTTGTTGCGTAGTAAATACAGAAGAGTTACAAAGTCTGAAACATAATAAAATGTTAAAGATAAATCTATTCTACTCTGATTGAAACATTGCAGATAAAAGTACTTCCGCAGTCTGCGTAAGATATTCTGAACCATTATAGGTCAGTCTATTCTACACTGACATCTTATTGAAGTCATATATCATCACGAGTTAACAAAATACAGATATATAATAATTCATATTGAAGACTTCGACTTCATCACATATGCTGCACTTCAGGACTAAATGGGGGTCCAGATTGATAAAGATATTCAATAAAACCGCAAACAAGGGAGGTAATCAAGGCTTAAAGATAAATGATTGCCAGTCTATGATGTACCAGGTAATGTACAAAGTTAGATCTGAATGTGTCTAACATTTAAAAAAAGATTTGTAAGATGTATACTTGGTACTGTGGTGTGTTACACGGAGTAAATACCTGTAATACACTCTGTAAATACCTGCAATATACTGAGTACATACCTGTAATATACTGAGTACATACCTGTAATATACTGAGTACATACCTGTAATATACTGAGTACACACCTGTTATGTACTGAGTACATAAATGTTATATACTGAGTACACACCTGTAATATACAGAACATATACCTGTAATATGCTGAGTACATCATTAACATACCTATAACACATATATTAAGTACATACTGTTAAAGGAGAACTAAGAACTTACCTGCGCTCCTCCTCCTCCAGTAGAACTTTCATGGCCTCGATCTCGGCCTTCAGTGGAAGACTGGTGTCTCTCGACACATTTGCTTCCCTCATTTTGACAATAAGTAAATCTTGGACTTCCCGGAATTTCTTTTCCATGACTTGGATCTGTTCCGCAGATCTATATCGTTCTTGCTGTAACATTTCTTCAGCCGATTTCTTTTGGTGTTCCAACATTTGTATCTATTAACAAGTACACAAATAAATAACTGTACAAACAAATGCCTTCAGTAACGTGAGTGATCACTGATGGAGATGTTAAGAAAAAATAAAGATAAATATGCGATGGTTTGAAGTACCTTAATTTTCCTGAATATTTACTTTCTTTTTGTCAGTATATGATACAGCAAACCGAAAAAACATTCATCAAAACATATAACTAATTAATCTTGCTGATATTTGTCAGTATAAAACATATAAATAAGTAAAAGAACTGTTTTCCTACAAAATCCATTGGGAAACTGTTTTATCTATAATGTTTGCTTGATTGACACGGCTGAATGCAAGGGTATTTTACTCCCAGGAAAGATATGTCCTTAAAAAATATTCTGGTCTATAAATTTACTGCCATATCAATTTGCTATAAGTATAATACATTACCATGTGTAGGTACCAAATTATATACAGTAATGAAGATGGTAAATGAAAGTACAATTTGTATTGTGTTGTACTTAAATTCATCAAACATCAATTTTAATCTTCAGCAAATTCTTATCGTCTTTAAATTATAATTTAATAAAATCATAAGTATTCTGAATCTTCAAACATCTCTGATTATAAGCTTCAGCCTGTTGTGATAACATAACATAATATTGTGTACCTGTCCCTCAAGGGAGGTAATCCTGGCCTTGAACTCTCCTGTAGCCCCTAGGAGTTCAGACTTCTCTCGGTTGCTCCGTTCTACTGTCTGAGCATCATTGTCCATCTGGACCTTCAGTGAGTTTAACTGAGGACATAACATTAACACTTTATTATCTAAGTGTCTGTCTGGTCCAACAGAGAGTTAAGACACTGACATTTTTATCTATTATATGATATATCTAAAATCCATCTTCAACAGTTGCTACATTGAACACTGAACCAAAAACCAAAATAATGTGCTCCATATACCCCGCGGTATACCATTTCAGTCCTAGGCAGTTGTAATGTGTTTAACAGAACTATTTATACTTACATTGCGGGCAAACTCATTTTCAGAATTGAGCTTGTACTGGGAAAGTTCCTCCTCCGCAGCCTCCCTGACCTGACGAATCATCTCGGGTACAGTGGTGTCTGTCTTACTCAGGTCCCGCACACGACCTTCCAGGGACAAGATGGTGGCTGTCGATATGTTCAGGCGTTCACGGGCCTCATTCAGTTGCTGGTTGAACACTTGCTCATTGAATTCAATCTTCTTTATTAACTGACTCATCTTGTCTTCACATTCTTGTCTAACCAACTGCTCCTTCTCATATCTGTAAAAAGACAGGGAAAGTTCACCATATGTTTAACAGATCTAGGTGATTTATCAAAGCCAGGCTTTCTCCGAGATATTGTTACATACACTGTACCTTACAGTGTGTAAAATTCAAATTCATAATTATATCAGGCGTGATATTACCCCCTCCTAAAGACCAGACCTGTGGACTTACCAGTAAGCACCAATAACATATACATGAATATAGGATACACCCCAATGTGTAGGATAACACCTCTAGACTTGTCATATATCACCATTATTCTGAGGTGTTTTCATCTGTCACAGGTAGGAACTAGATATCTGGGCTTGTCCTAGTTAACACAAGTAAAGACTAGATAGCTGTGCTTGTCCTAGTTAACACAAGTAAAGACTAGATATCTGGGCTTGTCATAGTTAACACAAGTAAGGACTAGATATCTGGGCTTGTCCTAGTTAACACAAGGAAGGACTAGATATCTGGATTTGTCATAGGTAACGCAGTAAGTATTAATTTCTCAGCTTGTTCTAGTTAACACAAGTAGGAACTAAATATCTGGGCTTGTCCTAGTTAACACAAGTAAAGACTAGATAGCTGTGCTTGTCCTAGTTAACACAAGTAAAGACTAGATATCTGGGCTTGTCCTAGTTAACACAATTAAGGACTAGATATCTGGGCTTGTCCTAGTTAACACAAGTTAGAACTAGATATCTGAGCTTGTCCTACTTAACACAAGAAGGACTAGATATCTGGGCTTGTCATAGGTAACGCAGTAAGTATTAATGTCTAAGCTTGTTCTAGTTAACACCAGGAAAGACTAGATATCTGGGCTTGTCCTAGTTAACACAAGAAAGGACTAGATATCTGGGCTTGTCCTAGTTAACAAAAGTAAGGACTAGATATCTGGGCTTGTCCTAGTTAACACAAGTAAGGAATAGATATATGGGCATGTCCTAGTTTACACAAGTAAGGACTAGATATCTGGGCTTGTCCTAGTTAACATAAGTAAGGACTAAACCTCTGGACTGTTCATAAGTAACACAGGTAAGGACTTGCTTCTTGGCTTGTCACAAGTTACACTGATAAAGAGCAAATATCAGTCACAGGTAACACAGGTAGTGACTAGATATCAGAGCTAGTCACAGGTAACACAGGTAGTGACTAGCTATCAGAGCTTGCCACAGGTAGTGACAAGATATCAGAGCTAGTCACAGGTAACACAGGTAGTGACTAGATATCAGAGCTTGTCACAGGTAATACAGGTAGTGACAAGATATCAGAGCTTGTCACAGGTAACACAGGTAGTGACTAGATATCAGAGCTAGTCACAGGTAACACAGGAAGTGACTAGATATCAGAGCTTGTCAAAGGTAACACAGGTAGTGACTAGATATCAGAGCTAGTCACAGGTAACACAGGTAGTGACAAGATATCAGAGCTTGTCAAAGGTAACACATGTAGTGGCTAGATATCAGAGCTTGTCACAGGTAATACAGGTAGTGACATGATATCAGAGCTTGTCACAGGTAACACAGGTAGTGACTAGATATCAGAGCAAGTCACAGGTAACACAGGTAGTGACTAGATATCAGAGCTTGTCACAGTTAAAATAGGTAGTGGCTAGATATCAGAGCTTGTCACAAGTAATACAGGTAGTGACAAGATATCAGAGCTTGTCACAGGTTATGCAGGTAGTGGCTAGATATCAGAGCTTGTCACAGGTAATACAGGTAGTGACTAGATATTAGAGCTTGTCACAGGTAATACAGGTAGTGACAATATATCAGAGCTTGTTACAGGTTATACAGGTAGTGACAAGATATCAGAGCTTGTCACAGGTAATTAAGGTAGTGACAATATGTCAAAGCTTGTCATGGGTTATACAGGTAGTGACTAGATATCAGAGCTAGTCACAGTTAACACAGGTATGAACTAGATATCAGAGCTTGTCACATGTCGCACAGGTAGTGACTAGATATCAGAGCTTGTCACAGGTAACAAAGGTAAGCACTAAACTTCTGGGTGTGTCACAGTTAAAGTAATAGGATTTACATATTTTCCATTAGCTATTTATTATTATGTTGTTACCCACACATGCTGTGTGATCTTTTCTGATCTGAGATACTGATAAGATATTAAGTGTACATGGTACGCCTGCCCCCCGCCCACTCTCTAGAAATCATCATGTCCCTTCTTCACAGGGTTTATAGAATGTAAACTGTTTACATGTATCTAGAGAAGCAGAATCTCTCAGCAATGTCACTTCAGATTATGTAAGATATCTTTATCTAAGTATAAATTTCTTGAAGTGTTTCATTACTGGTTTGTTTAGTCAGGAAATGTGATATGATAATTGGTATCATAACAGAATACATTATGAAATCTAATAAAATCTATTTTACACTGGAACAAGTTATCACTTGTCATCAGCCATTTTAAAACCTACTTAATTTAATATCCTGGTCCAGTGTTATGGTAGAGTTATATAACATGACAATTCTAACATAATGCACTAAACATTCTGGATCATAAGTCTATGATTCACCAAATATACTGGAACAAAAGTGTTATTTACCAAACCTACCAGGGCACAAGTAGAATTTATCAAATCTTCTGGCCCAAAAGTCTATTTTACCAAACCTATCAAGGTCCCAAGTCTAACTCATGGGGGGTCTTAGTCGAATTTATCAAACATGTGGAGCCAAAGTCTAATTCATTAAACCTACAGGGACCCAAATTATATCCACCAAATCTCCTGGGAAAATACACCAGTCACTATATGTTAATTCTTACTGATCATTACGCCTGTAAGATACAGCTAATATTATCTGGTTTCCAGTCATAATTTCCTTCTAAATCCCTTACAAATACTGGACTTCATTTTTCATACACATCTTATGAAAGGAGTTTACCAACAGAATGATACCCCTGTAGGTTTCTCCTGTACTAGACCACTTCAGATAACAGCTAGTGTTTCAGTGTTTACATAAAGTTTTGTAAAAAGCTGTCCTGAAATGAACACTGGCAGCCTGGTACAACAGGTTGTGATCAATAAGGACATCCACTATTTTTCTATTATATGGTTTCATTTTGAACAGCACACAAAAAATAAATGAACTATCATGCATTATGTTGTGTACCTGTCTATATATTTACCTGTATCTAACCAGGTAAGTTACGCTGTGCTGACATCAATTATAAACAAGAGGCCCAGAGGGCCTGTATCGCTCACCTGTTTCTTTTGTTACATGAAACTGACAAATAGGTAAGACCAAATTTGGTAACTAGAACACAAGACATCTTAACACCTCTTAAACAGTTCTGAAGATATTGTTTGAAAATTGATATTTGAATTTAAAGCTGTTAACCCACATTGACCTTTGACTCCCGACTTGCAATTAAAGTTGACCTTTTACTTCATTACTGATATAAAGAAAACAATTCACACAGCTGGTCTACATAACATACCCAACATTATGACTCTAGTCCAAATGGTTCTTAGGATATTGTTGTTTGAAGTTTTTTAAATATTTGACCCCAGTGACCTCGAAAGTAGGTCAAGGTCATTTTAATGAGGAAATTTTATACACTCCATCCCAGGCACCTACCAGCCAAATATCATTACCCTAGGTCCTCCATATCTTCAGAAGAAGTCGTTGAAAAGAAAAAGTTGACAGACGGACGATGGACGCCACAGTACGGCGTAAGCTCTTATGGCCCTTCAGGCCAGGTGAGCTAAAAACTTAATACACCAGACATAAAATGACAAAATAAACAAACACATTATTGAGCAATATGTCGGTGAGATAACCTCACACCTACGTTACACATGAGAAAGAGGAGATAATTAGAATCAAGAAGAATCCTACCTTCGCTTGTAATTTTCGTTTTCTCGTACAAGGTTGTCCATGTCTCTCTGTAGCCGATTGATATCCTCGTACGGCTGACTGGAGGACATCCTGGCATCCTCTAGCTCAGCCTGTAAAGCCACGATCTTTCTCTGACACACATTCACATCATCTGTTATCTTCCTGTTCTTGTCAACCTCAACTGAAAGTCTAGGAAAGAACAAAACATTTTTAAATCACCTTGTTTTTGTCAACTTCTTCTGAATGTCTAGGAAAGAACACAAGATAATGTACGACATGTTAATAACGAGGTCCAAGACACCAAATTAACAGGTGTATCCAGCAATAAGCCCATGTCTGGTAGTAAAGCCACCCATACCTATAGAGGTTTAGTGACAACAAATGCTGTTTCATTGCTGTAATACAGCCAGTCCCTACTTTGAGTCAGAGATTATGTGTTGCCCCCCTGGGCTTATTACTGGATGAAACCAGTGTGTATATAGAATTATATCACCATTATCTTAGTTCCAACAATTAGTTTTTATCCAATTAATGCTAGTTTGTAATGGCTGATTCTTGTAATCTTGTTTCATTGTAGAAATGAACACAGATGATTCCTATTATTTTTTTGTTTTTTTTTGTAGGGATTAACAGGGGTGATCTGCAACTGTATTTAACTCACATTTGCGAAAATTAAACCTGTCTTATCAATAACAAGGTTACCGCGAGCGGTATATAATACGCCCGTCACACATTGAATGAGCAGTTGTTTGTATGATTGAAATATATGAAGTATTTGTGAGTAATTGATATTAAAAGAGAAATAATTCAACATAACTGGTAGATCAATGAGTGCAATACAACATCATGGAACGCATGCATCGCATTTATGAAATCAAGGGGAATAACTCCAATAATTACGGTCGGATACTAATGGTTATCAAACTTGTCCAAGGTTCTACGGTAATTAACCTTGTTGTGAAGTTTGAAGTTAATCCGTTAATAATTACTCGAGATATCGAGCGGACACTGTTTCGGCAAATCCATAAAGGGGCATAACTCCACAAATTATGGT